GATTTTGATTTGCAATCTTAAAAAAAGTTACTTTGAACTGAAATTTCTTCATTTTTTTCTTCACAAAATGTAGGCAAAAAAATTTTAGTGTTTTTTTAAATTTTAACAGAAATTTAATAAATTGTGAAATTGAAATTTTTATATCTCACACATTAGAGAATAAAGAGCTGGTTTTTCGAATTTAACACAATTTTTCAAAAAATATTGTTCCCTCGTAAGGAAGTCGAACTATTTTTGCAGTCCATATTTTGAAATCCTCAACTTCCTCAGAACTTCATCAAAAAAATTTTTGCATCGGGCATACTTAATTTCGCTCTAAAGTCGCGTTACCTCTCTCAGCTGTCCTATCTAAAAGTTCTTCTTTTTCATCAATATAAATATCTTCGAAAAATAAGGAAGAATAGAAAAATCGCTCTGAAAAAGCCGTTTTTCCTCGAGTTCAATCAGAAAACTCGGTTGAGTGGAAGTCTTCGCTTTGTGGATCGTCCCTCATTCACTTTTGCCTCGTCCTGCTCGTTTACGGCCCATTCCCGTAATGACTAGCTGCCTCTTCTCCAAACTCTTCATCCAAGCTTTTATAAGGCTTTTGAGGACTTTTCTCTCTCTTCTTTCCGTTTTTGAATGGCCTTTTTGGGAAAAAGTGAAAAATTTCGGTGTCCATTTTCATAAGCTCCTTATTGATTATTCATTACTTCTAACGTACTCGTCGTGTTTTCTCGACAAAAACAATAGAAGTCTGAGAGAAGGCTCAAGATTTTTGGAACATAACTTTACTCTTTTTTTTGTGTAGTTTGATAGTATTTCATCTAGAAAAAATCATTCGAAAAATTGGATAGAGATCTAAACGGTCAAAAATGACCAATATTGGTTTTTTTTCAACCGGAAGCCATGAAGTTATAAAAAAGATTAAGGTTTTTGAATTTGCTCATGAAAAAGTTCTCAGGCACACTTTCAATAATACTTGAAAAATATTCTTTTGAATTTTTTTCTGAAATTTTTTTAGGTCGGGGAGGTCAGTGAAAACATCGAGAAGTGTAAATTGAGACTCTTTGGTCAGACGCGAAAAAAAAACTTTCTCTCAATTTTTTTCTGATCCTTGAGGTCTGTCAGACCTTATTCTAAATTTTTCTTAGATAATCAGCCTTTTAATCATGTTTGATTCAATTTCCTCGTTATGACTAAACAAACTTTTTTAATTGTTCCAAGTTTTTTCCTATTAATCAAAAGGTCACTCGAAAATCAGAGACATGTAAAGTGATACCCTCTGGTCACATATGTGACTTTGAAAAGAAAAACAAAGTCGGCCGAGTTGTAAGTGGACCTCTCCTCGTTTCCGGCAAAGAGACTGGACACCAATTGGGCGGGTCGGTCGAAGATTTTTTTGTTTGGAAGGTGTAAAAATCGAGCCGCAGAGATAAATGAAGAGGGTAGCCTCGTGCCCACTGCATCGTGACTTCTTCTCTTTTCCTCTCTTCTTCCACCAGTGCCACCAATAATCAAAGTTTAACCTACGCTTTTTTTTTGCCTCTCTCAATTTATTGTTCAGGTGATTTGGTAACAATTCTCTTTGGTTTTGAAACTTCGTGACACCTAAAAAGAAAGGTCATTTTACTTTGCGGTTCAACAGTAAACTTTTTGATGTACCAGATAAAGATCTTGAATGTCTCAACCTTCACTATTTTCTACTTTTTGAGAAAAAAGAGCCCAGCCCATTTTAATGGTTTTTGGGGCTTCCTCTGACTTAGAGGCGTCTTTTATAGAAAACGAGAAAGTTGTACTGGTTGAAACTTTCTGGTAAACCGAGGATTGTCTGAACAATTTTCAGAAAAATCCTAACCGCCAAATTTACCTCCCTTGTAAGAATTTCAAAAATCAAGACGTTACATTTTCCAAGACTTTCTCAAACTTCTGAACAGTATTTAAATCTTCGTTTTTCAAAATCTTACTTAAAAGCAATAATTTTTTCATATTAAAATATTTTCAACTTTAAAGAATACCTCTTGTCCCATTTTCACAAAGCAAGGGTACACTGTAGCTTTTTTTTCTGGTATTTCGCAATTAGTGGAATTGCTCTTATTTATGAGCAGCTCTTTTGCGTTGCTACGGTTCCAAATGAAAAAAAAAAATTTACGACAACGCATGTTCGACGCTTTCAGAAAACACGTGGCTTGATTTTATTCTGAGACGCCGTGAATTTCGCTTCCTTTTTGAATATTTTTCGCGATTTCGGATACAAATGATAATTTTGTTGTTTTTCTAGAACGAAAAAAGTTACGCTTGAATAGAAATAAAAAAATACATCTATTTTCCCTTCGCCACTATTAGGATAAAAAAATCGGATAAAAAAATCATCAAATCAGAAATTTCTTGTCGAAGAATGAATTTGAACTTGCGTGGCTGACCTTTGCCTTTTTTTGTTTTTCGAAATCGTTCGCTGTCTACCGGTTCCTTCAAACGACGGAACTTTTCTGTTTTCTTTCAAGTATTTTCAGCAAACTTCTGAACAGATTTGATCTCAGAAAGCTCAAAAATTTAAATTAATATTGATTGAACGCTCGAAAAAGGCATGACAATAAAATAATTTTTAAGCTGCATCCGGTTTTTACCAGTCTACCTTTCAATGAAATATCAGAGGTCAGGACGGTTTTTCAATATTTCAAATAAATGAATGTTCGTTAAACAATGTTAATGTATTCAGGCCATTGTAAATAAAACTTGAATCCGGTTTTTTTAAATTGTGGTCATCCCTTCCGCAGAATTCCAGTGTTTCAATTTAATTCAATGAGTTGAAAAAAGAGATTTCTTGGCAAACGACCTGTGAAATCGTATTCGTGTTTTCAACACGTTTTTTTTGTAGGCATGACTTTGTTTGAATTTGACGTGGAAAACCTTTTTCTTTTCTTTTTTTGACGTAATCTCATTTTCGCATGTCACTTCGTAGTAAAGACTTGCGTGTCAAAGTTTTGTTTATATTGTGGATACTTTTTGTCCAGAGCTGCCTGGATTTTTCTGAAAGGCGGAAAAACGTTTCTTCTATAGGTAGGTACTCTCTGATCCAATTGTTTTTAAATCGACTTTTTAAATTTTCAATTTTTACTAGAAAGTTGGATAATAGTCATCGGAAAAAAGAGGTTTCTAGCTAAATCTAACGTGAGCAGGCGGATTGGGAAGTAAAATAATTGAGCAATATCACGTTCCTATCGGATGTATCACGTAAAGTACTTTTTTGTTCCATCCAGTCGAAAAAGGGAAATTTTCACACCCTCAAAAAATACGAAAAATCGTGATTTTGTTCGTAACTTTCTTACAATAAATTCAATATTCCTGAAAGTTTCTGAAGCTGTTACTTTTTCTGGGAACGGAAACATCATCAGAGTGTTAAAAAAACAGTCATCTTAATTACAAAAAAATTTTTCAGAAAGATTGGATTCTTTACGAGAAAGTTGTGACCTTTTTTTCTGACGATATTGTAAGTTATTTTTTTGAAAAATCGAAGCATTTCTTTTTTTCACAGTTTCTCAAATTTCAATTAGAAAAAAATATTTCTGCACACGTGTTTGGGTCTCAGAAAGATGTTTCTGTTACTATCTTCTCAATTTCTTGATTCTCAGGAGGGGAAAAAAAGTCTGTGATCGAAATTGAATTTTTTTTCACTTTTTAAACTCGTTCAAGTTGTACCCGTATAGGAAATTTGAGAGTTTTTTCTTCAAACCAAATTTCAGTCTTTTTTAATTCTCTTAGCTACTGTTATTAACAGAAAAATAGTAGTGGTTGAATTTTTATTTTACCTTTTGGTCTTATTTGGTCTTCTAATAGAGAAAAAAAGATGGTTGGGAAAAAGAATGTGATTTTTTTCTGTGAAACTGTTGACAGGGCGCACTTGGTAATTGGTTAGTATGTATCCTAATTGTTGTTTGCTTTTAATAAACCTTCCAAGATTCAATTATCGGTTGAATCGTTTTTTCTTCATTCAACTCCTAAGAACATTTAACAACTTCTCGTGACTCCTGATTCAGACTTTTTCCTGACGCTTTTTGATAACTTTTAAAACTCAGGTTGCAATTTTCGATAAAGTTATTCAACTCTTCAAATTTCAAATTTTTCAGACTTGTTATTCTTCTCCGTTCTCAGTTCACAACAACAGGTTCTTTTTGAGAAAATTTTCAAGAAAATTTATGCGGTGAGAATGGCGCAGTGAGACGCAATTTAAGCGTGAGTGAGCACAATCAAAGCTGCGATTCCGCTCCGGAAAAGTGCGGTTGCATGTGCACAAAAAAAAAGAACTCAAAGAACTTTCTCAATTTATTCTATTTCGCGCTTGTTTGTTCTCTTACGCTTTCTTCAATAGGTTTTCAACCCACTTATGACCTCGTCTCAATTTTCTTCAGCGTCCTTCTGATTAGGTGCAGGGTTCTTCTCATCTTCTTGAGACATGTCTAACAAGCTCGAACGTTTGATTTTTTTTGGGCAGTTCATTAATCAACTGGATAATTAGAGAAGAGGAAGACTGCGAAGACGAGCCGCCGAGCTCGCTATTATCAAATCTTTGCCGGCCGGCTGACGCCGCCTTTCGTCTTTGCCGCTTTTGCTAGCTTTGCGTCTTTTGTTCTCCCCTTCGTCTTTCTAATAAGGCTCGAATTTTCACAACAAGGCTTTGTTCTGACTTGACTTTTAACGAAAAATGTTAAGACTTCGAGCTCTTTTTGTGGATGAAAACATGTTTCATAGCCCTCTTGTTTTTTGAATTCCTTTGTCGAGTCTGGTTATAGGAATTGAGAAGAGACTTTTCGAACCTTTTTTTGATTGAGAAGATTTTGACCGTTTTTCAGATTTTATTCGATGAAAAGTTTAAATATTTGATGGCTTTATTTAAATAAAGGATTCTTTTTGATTTTTTTCGCTTTGATCGTTTTTTTCAATCGTTTCTTTTCTAAAATTTTTCAGATTGATTTCAATAAATTTCAGTGTTCTGAGTTTATTTTTGTATGTAGCTGAAGACTATGGGATGCCGGATGTCCCGTACGTCATCTACCGAAGAGATTCGCAAAATCGAGGAAAAAAACGCAGGTGAGTATGCTAAATTGTTTGATTTACTGAGTTTTTTCTTTAAGCTGAAGCAAAAGCCAAGGCAAAACAATCCTCGAGCAATGACTCGCGGATTAACGGACAATCCAAAAACTCGTCAAATGTCAATGAAGCTTATCGGTTCGTCTCTCAGTAATCCTCAAAGTATTTTTTGTCTTTTCCAGGCCTGCACAACCAGCGAATGGGAACCAGGGTACCGGAAAACCGATCGTGTGAGAATATTGTATTTTTCAGCCATCATGGCGTTTGTAGGCCAAATATGTTTCCTAATATGCAGATCTGCAAAGGAAGCTGAAAAAAGTCGTATTTTGCAATAAAATTTTCTTGCGCGTTGCGTTTTTCATATTTTTTTTTCATAGCTGTAACTTTTGAACTCACATTTCACTCATATCAAGTGCCTGTTTTTCCCGGATTTCCTACAAAATAAAGTGAAAGGAAACACTTCTGAGCTTTTCAGCAAGTTTTGAAGTTACGTCGGTAAACAAATCCTAACTCAATGACCATCCATTCTTCGGAGCAATTCTCAGAAACAATCAAATTCCAACAATTCTTTTTCAAGTCAGGTTTAGAAGGGGGAAAAGATCTTTCGACTGGCGCGCACAATCAAAAAGTGTTTTGTGCGATTGGCAAACTTAGTTAATTGAGCAATTGCAGAGAAGTGGAGAGCGCCAGCCAAGCAGATTTCTTCCGGATGCTGGACGATAAAATTGCACACGTGAGTAGGGAAGCTCCTTTTTTGTTCAGCTTTTTTTTTCCTCAAGGCCAAACACCTTCAATTTTGAAGTGAATAGAGAAAAGTTGCATCGGACGGATTTATAGGACCTAGGACAACGAAGGAAACAATGATTGTATCAATAGGATACTACTATCAGTATGAGAACTTGCAAAGATTTCCTTTTTGTTGATTTTAGGTTTCAGGCAGTAGCTTATTAGAAAAATGAGTTATCGAACAAATTTTTCTGTAGTAAAAAATCAGATCCGTTGAAAAAAACTGTAAAAAGTTTGACAAGAAGTGGACAATTCCTCGGAATGTTATGACAAAAAAATTGACATTGTATATCTCACGCCCCGGTACTGTACGCAAGAAAGCGGTAAGAAAACTAAATCAATCAAGCCGAAGTTTTCAAATTAAAAAAAAAAGAAATTACAGGGAAAAGACCTGGATTCGGAAGCTGAGAGTTGATGTCATCATGCACCGTACGCGTCGTTCTTTTCATACGTTGTAACTAACCCGATGTGATATTTCCCACCAAACGTGCTAAATTACTTGCAGCCGTAGTCATTATCCTATTAAAAACCCTTTCCACCAGATTTCGTTTACTTCCGCCTCGCATTAAATCTTCATAGAAAAAATCTTGAACTTGGAGAACGTGGAAAAGTTTAATTTTTAATACAAGTTCAAAGTTTTCCAACTGATAGTCTATTTTCTGAAATTCTGAAAGTTTTCCTGGTCCTCCATGGTTTGTAGCAGTGACACTTGGTGTCGTTTCGGTCTTTGTACTTATTTTTCCTTTTTATGGGATATCTCTCAAGCCGCTGTTGATGATTGTTGATTCCAATTCACGATAGCTTTTCAATAAATACGTTCTAAACTACATAAACATTTGAAAAAAATGGTTGCAGTTTTTTTCTTTCAGTAATAACGTGTTTCGAAGAGCTCTGAGAAATAATGAATGACAGGTTCTGACAGATTCTACACGTCTGCAGTTCTTTCTCACATCCATTTTTTTATTTAAAAAAACAACCTAGTAATTTAAAGGTTGTCTTTTTTTCTTTTTTTCTCTTGCTCAAACGTAGAAATTTTGCGCGAAAAAGAAAGCTGAAAGTTTTTATATTGAACGGTTGATATGAAAAATGCAAAGCAAGTTCACTCAACTATATTTCAAACGATTGAAACAAAATCGCTTTTACTTTTGGCTTATGGATGCATCCCGATAATTTCAGACAATCATCAGAAAAATTTTAAGAGAAGCCGTACAAACCGGCGCCGCACATCACTGAAAAAAGCTACAAAAACAGCGTAAAATTAATTTATCCGCCTTTGAAAAGTTCAAATCATGCACAAAGACATAAAAAAAAATCTCACACAACAGTTTCAGTTATACATGAAAATAAAGTGAAACGTTTATTTTTCAATAAGATTGAACCTATATTTGAGTTATGTGCGGTTTCAATAAGGAATTATTTTATTTTTGTCCTATTTCCTCTGTCGCAAAAAATTCTAATAGGTAACTGCAGTCGTCCGGACAGATCTCACACGTCGCCAGCCTGCAATTATTCTCTTTCCATTTTTGCTTGAAAAATGAATAACCCAGTAGAATGGCGGTTGTCCGTATTTTTTCTTCGCTGCTGAGAAGGTAGGAGCTTGGGATGACGTTCGACAGGTAGATGAACTCATAGCGGTGGATTTTCAATGCGTAGTCATAAAGTTGATCTTTTTCTTTCTGATAGTACCAATAGGTGTAAATAATCATGAAAACGAGAAGATGGATCTGAAAGCTAGGATTTTGGGAGATTTTTAGATTTTTCTTGAAAATGCTTGCAGGAGTGTTTCGAAAAGTGTTTGGTTTGAAAAGAAGGAACTTTTTGGAATAGGGTTTTAGAAAAAAAGCTCACAATTTTGAATAGTATGATGGGTATGATTTGATACAAAAGAACTCGTTCAGATTTGTTCAAACTGGAATGAACAGCTTTGATAGCGACGATCCGATGGAAGACGATAAAATTCAGAAATAAAGCTATGAAGGGACCCGCAAAGTCAATAAAAAGGACGACCTGAACACAAATCAATCATATACAGTTTCGTAGTTGGAATCGGGATTGCGGAGCCTATTTTTTTAAGTGGCAAGAAAAATGGGACGTTTTATTTCTCTCATTTCTCATAGGTTCGTCAATTTTATCTTTGAAAAGGAACGCGTATTGAAACAAAAAATCAACTATAAATAAATAAAACTTTTGCTGGAATTATAATGAAAAATGTTGAGAACAAAATCCGAAATTTGCAAAACCCATATTTTACTACTTTTTGCAGAAAGTATGTACATCAACGACTGTTGTGGATCACATAGTAGCCCAAAAACTAAACGGCAAAAATATTTTATGAGCTTCTCCTAAGTTGTTAAGAGCGGCTTATTACAGGAATGTCATTTCCAGAGAAAAAAAACGCGTTTTCATATTTGTTTCTGAATTTTATTGTACTTATAAGTGTGTCCCTTAATAATTACGATAACTCACGCAAAAGTTTTTTCACTTCCATTTTCCAACACGCTATAAATTGAAACCCCTCAAACTCACATTTTGAGCAGTCGTGAAAAAATTCGATCGACATATGAAGTTACCATGATACGTGGCAAAATTACAACCGTGAATATCGACAATAAGATGATATAATAACGTTGCAAACCAAGTGATTTGAACAAACCGTTTGGAAGCGTTTCTGAACAAGAAGTTTAAATTGAAAAAATGGTTCAAAATTACGATTTAGCGTAATTGAAAATGGACGGCGGGAAGAAGACGACGAGGGCTCGTTGAACGGCGATTAGAAGACAAATGACACCAATGACTTTGTTGGTCACCGGAACTGCTATCACGACGGCCAAAGCTACACATTTGAGCATAATTGGTAGAACAGATCCCCAATCATAGAAGTTTTTCGTGAAGTGACCCATAAATGTGAGGAAACAAAGTGCAGCGTCGATGACGAACAGTACGACACAGCAAACACACATCTGTTTGGTAAGAGGAAGGTTCATTTTCTAAAAAAAGAGAATAAAAAAATGCAGTTAGAGCTGCAACTCACCCCTCGTTCATTTTTATAGGTACGGTAAAAAACAACGAAATACAGTGGTAGTAAGCACATGGCGGACGTCAATGGTATATAAACTATGAAGATAAATCCCGAAGAAAGCTCGGCGCTCACGTCTATAGATGTGAATGTGGGCATTTCTGAAAGAAAATTTCTGCTAAAATAAGAGAAAAGAACTCAAAAAGGTGGTGAGAAAAAAGTCAGCTTTTTCTGGGAGTGACGTTAAATAAAAAGTTGTAGTTTTATCTTTTTATCGCTGAACTTGTTTGGAGCTTTTTTTTCATAGAGAATAAAATGGAAGGTGAATTGGAAAATAGAAAGAAAAGCGAGTATCTTTCCGAAATATGAGGCTATGAAAATAACGAACAAAGTCAATGCTAACCTCACCGTCATCAGACAGGTGTTTCGTGACAAACTTCCATTGGTGTTGGCTATTGAAGTTTGCGGTCTTTTTGAGAAAAAAAGTTTTTTTCGAAGAAATATTTTTTTCTTGGCTCTCCTGAAGAAATTATTTTTTTTCTCTGTTGATTGAATATTTTTTTGAGGATAATATATTTTTAGTTTTTTCTACCTCCCGAGTGGTCGGTGATCAGTTCCGCTCTCGGCTGAGATTTGATCCGACAGCTCTGGACAAGCTGGGCTCCGTTCTGTTCCTACAGAAGATGGATCTACGCGCCATTCTTGATCAAGGAATATTTTGAAAACTGACACATAGCTCTTCAACATGATTCAGCAGAGAATTTTCGAAACACTGAACAAATTTGCAAAGTTGTTACCCTCAAAGATGCATAACTCAAAGCAAGAGTACAGAAACTTTTCACGATCGAAAGCTCTAAAAAATTGGTTAATATCAAAGTCCCAGACATCCAGAAATTTTTTTTGTGTATTTAACTCTGCTTTGATGCCAAAGTACTTTCTTATCATCTCAAAAAACCTTCAAGCTTTTACGCATCACGATTGCATCACATAACAATAGTGATAAGGACCACACCGAGTATTGTACCCTTTTTTGGTCAGGAACTAAAAAATCAAAGGAAAAAACTTTGGAACGTTTGATAGCTTCATAAAAGTCATGGCATTTCCTGCTTCCTTTTTCGAGATTCAGCTGCTTTTGCAATGAACAAAAAACAAAGAGCAAAGTATTTATTGCAAATTCACCGGAGTAAAACCCGTTTTGTTAAATGACAAACTTGTACAAGCGCGGCCAAATTTTTCTAGAAGTTAGTTTCAAATATTATAAGGAGGAGGCGCAAGAAGAGGCCGAGTTTCTTCGATATAACAACGGTATTTTCTTCCGAACTTCCACGTCAAAGATCCCCATTTGGCTGTCATGAACATCCAAACGGCTGTTATCCACAAGTTCTCTCCCATTAAACCTTGAAACCGCAAGTTAATGGATAGATCGAAACGAAGTTTTTACCTTCCCGAGTCAAAGTTTGCTGTTGAATTCCGGCTGATATCAAACAATAAACCATGCCGATTGTACCCAGGAGAGCGAACGTCAACCCTGAATCCTTGTATTTTGAAGAAAACTGGAAAGAATGAGTTTACCGATGGTCGAAATGCAACGCAACCTATTCGGAGCCCAAAGGTGTATTCTTTCTTTTTTGAAGGCCAAATGTAAATGAAGAACTATCGTTGCGAAGGCGCTGGAAATGTATGCCAACGTCACCGCCGACCAGTTCTGAAATTTTTTTTTGATAATTTCTTCGTAAGCAGAAATTTTTATAAAACTATTTTAAAAAAAGCAATATCCACCGGGATTTATTGAAATTTGTCTAGTTTTGTTTAAATTATGATTTTTTCATTTTCGATTTTTTTTTTTCGAACGGTAGTTTTCAGTCCAAGTTCCTCCTTGAGGTACCAAAAGTAGATCCTGAAGGTCTCAACCTGCACAAATTCCTAGTTTTCGAGAATGAACACCTCTAAGTCGGAGAAAACCCTCAATGTCTGAAATAAGCCAATTTGAGGCTTTGAGTCCTCATTTCTCATAAACCCGGGAAACTGCAGGATATTTTTTTGGTAAATCAGAAAGTGTTCGGGCCAATTTCCAAGGATCTCCTAACCGCAAAAGGAAGTGACCTCCCTTGTTGAGTAATGTATGAATTTTTAAAAATTTCATAGGAACGCAAAGTTTAAAAATTTGTTGTTTTTGGCCTCAGGATTTCCATGACTTTTTTCCCACCTGATACTGGATGGCAAAGACAGTGCCAGCCATGATTCCGGCGGAAACTCCAAGCCAGGCGATGATGATCTGGGTCTTCAAGCTGTGGAACCAGGTACAAAACGCTGAAAAACGAAACTATTATAGTTCCCATATAAGAAAATCGCACCATTTGGTTGAGAAGCGGGAAGAATTATATGTTTCTCAACCTCTGTTTTGTTCAACTGGCCCAGTCCGCTGTAGACCTGGTACGACATTCCGCCCTGCAAGAAGATGTTGAGCTCGTATAAAAAAAACAAAGAGGTCAATGATAAGCGGCACAATGAATGGGAATCGTCGTGTTGAACCGTATTTATATCAGGAGGCTTATCAGTAGTAGTCAGGGTTGCACCATATGTTCCCTCTAGCCACAAAGCAGCTTATCACCCAAAAAGCACGCCACAAAACAGAATACTCTGAAGCGCATCTTTGCACTTCGTAAAAAGGACAATCTTCCTTGGGAAGCTCTTCAGATGAATCTTTCGCGACTCAATTTCAAAAAACTGACAAGGATATTGTTTCCGTTGAAGATCGCAGATCTGGTCCAAACTTCTGTGGTAGGTTATCCCAAGGTCGAGTAATCAAAAATAAAAAGTAATATCAGTAAGCTCAATAGGGTTTTAAGAAAAAAGCCTCGCGAAAGTGTACGGAGAAGCTGAAAAACTGATTTTCTTCAGTTTTAGACTTTCGAAATGTCTCCTAATATTAACTACAGAAAAACGAAAAAAAGCTTTCCTATAAAAACCCCAAAGAGAATTTTTTTTTTTGAGACTTGAGACATTTTCTCAGTACCTCAATTATTTTTTGTGTTTTAGAATACTCATACCTGGGATTACCTATCACGATGGTGTGGACCAGATATTTTTCTCACCTCACCCACTTCTTTCGTGAGGTAAAAAGATATTTAGTTCAAATTTCATGAGCTTTTTCAAACGAATGAAAGAATTTAATGAAATATTAAAAATAATAAACAGTTTTATCTATGTTGTTAGAAGCAAATAATTCTTTCATTCTGCCTGACCTTTCAAAAATAAATAACTGACACAAAAAAATCTGTAAAAAGTGTTCTTATGCTGGAACAAAAAAATATTACCGCTTGGAGTCGTCAGAACAAAAGGATGTTACTATTCAAAAACTTGGACGAAATACTTGATGATAATCAAAAAAATTAAAAAGTGTAAATTCAAGAAAATTCTTTTGTAAATTTAATAAGATGAAACCTTCGACGCACGGTACAAAAAACTAACTTTTTCGGTTTCTCAATCGCTTTCTTCCTTTTTTTATTCGTAGTGATCATTTACTTGATGGCTCCATTCTTAGAATTTCTTCCATTGGAAACATTAATTAAAAAACCATCGTGTAAAAAATTGCTTTCAATTGGTTATGTTTAAAAAAATGTCGGGTACAACTTCGATGCTGTCTTGATCTCCCAAATTTCAATTTACATGCACGATACGGGATCTTCTGTCTGACCTCTCTGCGCCCTCCACTGCACATCCGTGTCTCTGCTCTTTTTTGAGACTTCGCTCCGAGTCGGGACATGCGACTTCTTATATAGTGTCGGATCGAACCACTTTTATCAATCTGCCACGACTTCAAGGTTCAGAGGAGGCCTACTCTGTGCCTTGAAACGTGAAGGCTGATTTCAAGCTTGATCTAGATCATTTGATGAAGATCGTGCCTGAAATATTTTTGTAAGTCCTGTTTTAATGCAGGCAAAAATTTAATGCGAATCACTGAACTTTAAGCTCGGAGAAGAAGAAATTTTTTCAATTGAGCTTTGTTCAAAAAGAAAGTTAGAATTTACATTTTTCGGAAAAAAAAAGTACAAAACTGTTTTTTACTCCATCTTCTAATAATCGGACGGGATTTTATGAAATATTTTGGCTTCCAAAAAACTGAGACAAGACAGGGAGTCTTTTCATTCTTTTCCATGAAATGGACACTAAGTTTTGCAGATTTTATATTAAACAGCTTATTTCCAAAATGGCAGGACTTTTTTTCTGATGAAGTAAGCACTGTCTACGTCCAAAACCTGCGCTCAAAAAGCCTTCGAAAAGCAGTTTTAAATCGACTGTTGGAACCCAAAATAATCCTTCATGCTTGAAATCCTGCGTGGGAAGACCATGTAGCGCAGAAAAAAAGATTTTGAAATGCTTCAAAGACTCAAAAACCAATAGGAATCTTTGCAGATTGGCTAAAAGCAAGAGGCATTGCAGGATTCTAAGATTCTAAGAGGAGGATATAGCATCACCTTGAGACAAAACTTAGTAATTTTCTAGACCACAAAAAATATTTTCCAACGAGAAAAGTCATTTCCCTTTCTTTTTGCTCTAAGACATTCCAGATTTTGAGTGATAGGTCTACGTCTTCCACATGATGAAGTTGACCAAAGTTTCTTCGACCCCATGATTCCATGAAAAACGATCTCTCCGACTGTAGACGGTTCAGGAGTTCATTTCAAAGTGAGAAACGGGAAAAGCGCACGTCTCCCAGCAATCACGGGTGACAAATAGGTAATAGTCCACCTTCCCCATCCGTTTTTTTCTCCGTTCTAATCAGAAGTTTCAGTTTTCGTCGCCATGCCTTCACCGAGAAAAAAGTTCGTCTAATGGATACCACGATTTTTGCTGTAAAGTGAATACCCGTCGCCTTGTTTCGAACAAAAAATCAACTCCGATCATATTTCTTCAGTTAAAAGTGACACATTATCATGAAATAAAAATAATATTCCGTGACTTTTTGGAAAAAGGATCAAACAAAAAAAGCAAAAAAAGTTTGGTTTTTTTGGATTATTTGATTATTTTTTTAAGTGTCGAGAAAGCAAAAAGGGATCGCAAACAATATTAGAAGGAAACGTGGCATTAGAAATTCCCATCAATTAAAAAAACCCCAGAGTTTCTCATGGTATATAAGGCGCCGTGAATATGTCATTTCTCGAGATTTTTCATTTTTCGTGTCTTTCTGCCGTCGACCTCGACTCGAAGTCTTTTTTTCAGCTTTCGCCAAATCATCCAGTAAGCTTAAAAATTCACCAGAGAATAATTCCGTTTATGCTGATCTTGTGGTCAACGGAATTTATTTCTTTTATTTCAGCTCCTTTCGAAAACATTTCATATCGTATTCCAGGATTTTTAAAAAGAGAATCTTTTAAATACTCCTTCACAAAAACTTGCTGAGAGATAAACTTACTGTAGATTGTGCGACAAAATCCATTTTCCAAAAACTTTTGGAGAGCGGCAATCTGCGGATGTTTTTGTCTGCAAGATGAAAAAAAAAAGCTATTTGATATCTTCAATCACCAAACCCCACATCTAAGTGTCTGAACCTCGCAAAAACCGTCAGAAATTATGAAACGTTTTTTGAGCGAGTTTAATAAGATCTACAGAATAAGAAGCCATCCTCAAACGCTGTTAAATAAAAATACTGTCCTTTTTCGTTTGAACGAACGGAGAAGGTTGGAATTCCTATTTATCCTTAATTAAAAACATGTCGACGGATCTGCAAATATGACGTTAACCTACGTAAAAGGATGCTTGGCTAAACTCTGAGCGAATTTTTTTTCTTCTCAGGTTATTTGGACGTTTTCAATTCTTTCACAGTAGAATTCTCAAATCCACTGGGGCAAATAAGATTTTGAAACAACTTCAAAAATAAATTGAAAAAATCTTTCTATTTTTTTAGTATCTCAAGCCAAAAATCCATTATCCGCTATCAAAACCATCTCTTAAACTGTAATCGTTTTTTTCGAAAAATTTAAAAAGCCTCGCAGCGATTCCCAGAAAAACGAAAAAAATATTTTTTTAATGGATTTTCATTCCTTCGAAAAATTTTTAGACGCGGCACGTTAGACCGGCTTTTACAGCGCCTATACAGCAGTTTCAGCAAAATCTTCCTCTTCAAATTCAAAATGGGTTCGTATTTTTTAGAACGTTTTTAGGTATTCGTTGAAATATTATAATTACTTTTTGCAGCAGTAACACTTGCAAGAAAAAAAATTTCCAAAAAATGCATAAAAAACTTAGAAAAAACTTGGCAGCTTTTCGCGAACATTTCAACCGAACTTGGTCTCAGGAAATGTGTTCGGGAAGCTATGTGTGTAGAAAGCTTCCTTGTTGGGCAAAAAAAGCGTCATGGCCGTTCCTCAACGCGAAAATAAACGTTTCCGACGTTTATCGGTTTGTCGAGATGTAACTGCCGGTTTTCCTACTGCTGTTTATCAGAATAGTGCTTTGAAGTCCTGGAAAATAAGCCCGGATTTAATTCGTGTTTTCGCCTCCTACGTGCTCTCCGGAGCACTCACAAATAATAGGCAGCTATCTTAAAAGCTCCGAAATTCGGCTTTCGAATGCGTCTTTCTTCCAAAAATCACCTCTCTCGACAAGCGCCACTTGGAAGTTTCTCAGAGAACTTTTTCCCTTCTGTTCGACATCGTTTCTGGCAGCTCGGAGAAGATGAAAGAGAGAACACTCTTCAACCCAATCTTTTTTTTGTTGCATTCTTCCCAATTCTGGATGGGCAGGAAAGCCCAAGGTCGCCCTTCTTCTTCGAGTCAACAATTTTCCAGAAACGCCCGAAAGGAAAAAAATTAAGACGAGATGTGAGACGAAAAAGAGGTGATGATGAATGTCTAATGAAAAGCGTTGGCGGCGGGCGTGAGTATGAGTGTGGATGTGAGTTTGAGCGAGAGTGTGAGTGTGAGCGGGAGGCGACCGACCAACCAACCATCCGGCCGCCAACCCCGCGACCCAACCTTGCGTTGCATACGATCGAGAACGCGCCCATTTACATACTATTTGGTAAAGGTTTGTTGCGCGTGCTCTGTACCCAATCGATAATTTCATTCTCCAACTTCTTCATTGTTGAAAGCATCGCTCTCAGCGTTACGTTTCGAAATTCATGTTTTTGCGCTCGATGTTTTGAAACACGAAAATTCAGATTCAAAGCAATTCATTTTTAACATCATATTGGTTTTGGTTACGTTCTTTTTTTTTATATTCAAGTTTGAAAAGATAGTAATACATTTTTTTTTTGATTTCGGCTATTATCACTCGAAATCACATCTGTATAGTTTTAATTTACTTCTCATTCATTGAGAATACCCTTTTTAAAAAAATTTTTCTTTTTATGATATTGAAGAACAAATAAGACTATAAGCCTCGATAAAATTGATAAAAAAAGCGTAGGATCTTTTTTTATCATGATTTTTCTGACTGTCTACGGTAGATTATAAAATTTTGAAACTTGCACCGATTTCCCTACATCAAAAATAAATCAAAAAGATAAAAGAATTTTTTCAAATTCATTTTTTGCGCTATATTGAAGTCACCTTTTTGATTTTTTTCTTGCAGTGCGCACGAGTTTTACCTCTGATCTGTCACGCCGTTTGTCAGGAATTTGAAAAATTTCAAAAACACATTATGTTCACTTCAAAAGCACATTCATCTAATCTCGTGTGTCACAAAAACAAAGCGTTCTTCGCTTTCGAGCAACTGCGCCCCATGGTCAATACACTTTCCATCAATCTTCTTGTTGACGACCTTTGTTGTTGTTTTTGACATGATTCAAATTTTTTCTCTTTTTCTGAGGCGTTTTTTTCGGTTTCTTTAAGAAATCATCAATTTTCCAGGCAACGGTCAGACCATGCCACTTCCCATATTCGGCAAATCGCACAAGTCGCCTTCTGAGGTCGTTAAAAATCTAAAAGAAGCCCTCCTCGTGATTGAAAGAGTAGGTTTTTTTTGTTCAATTTCGAGCTTTATTTAAATCAGAAAGAAAATTCAATTTTTTTCAGGGAGAGAAAAAGTCTGAAAAGGCTATTGAAGATGTCAGTAAACTCCTACAGATGGTCAAAAACATCATTTATGGTGTTGAGGGCCAAGAACCGCACGGTGATCAGGTAGATCTTCAGGCATGCACTTTTTCTGTTCTTTTTTTAAATTATTTATCCGGAATACCTTATAAAAAAAGCAAATTTTAAAAGTTAATGGAACGCATTTCAATCAATAGTATAATTGCATGAAACTTAAGTTTGAGGGACTTGTTATTTTTTTAATTCTGCATTGATCAAGGGAAAAATTTTCTTCTATTTTTTTTGGTGCATGAAGTTCAAGTGAATATTTTCACACCTGGCTGAATATAAATTTTTTTTTAATTGATAAAAAAAGTCAAAACGACATGTCAGGGCACATCAATCATCTACGCCTTTTCATTAAGACTTTCAGAGATTTTTGGGCAAAGCAAAAACTCAAAACTCTCGATTAAAATAATTTCTTACAAAAGAAAGCCCAAAAGAGCTCTTACAACTTTAAAATCAAACAATATTCCCATTTTTCCAATTTCCCCTTCCCAGCTTCTGCATGAATAACACCCCAGGTAAACATTAATTTCTTTCTCAACTCTTAAAATTTTTTGTAGTTACAGGTAGCCCAACTTGCCCAAGAAGTGTACAACGCTAACGTGCTGCCGATGCTGATCAAACATCTGTGTCGTTTCGATTTCGAAAGCAAAAAAGACGTGGCTCAAATCTTCAACAACCTTCTGCGTCGTCAGATCGGAACCCGTTCTCCAACCGTCGAATATCTCGGAGCACGACCTGAAATCCTGATCAGTCTCACCAATGGGTACGCTTTTAGGAAATCAGTTTTTGTAAAAAAAAAAACACAGAAAAAACCTTTTCATCTGACGTTCAAAGCTTTTAGATAAACGGGATAGGTTGAGATTTTTTTCAGACCGATCCTGGAAATGTTTTCCCAAAAATCTTTAATAGCTTTTAAGCCACTTTAAACAATACGAAACAACGGGTATTGAGTGAAAATTTTTTACTGAAAGTTCAAAAAGTAGCTCCATTGAAGTTTTAGCTTTCTCCATCTTTGAAAACTTTTTTCGAACTTGAATTAGGCCGGAAAGCGCGAATAGTTTGATATCGGGTGCAATGAAAAAGCGAGTTACCATGAGAATCGCGCTGTTTCAAAATAAAAAAAAAGCTTTTGCGTTTGCGCCGTTCTAATTGGTGCGTTACGGTAAAAGCGTTTCTCAAAACGCTATAGATAAAAAATACCTACAATACAGATCTTTTCTTCTTTTTTTTTTTAAATCGCCATTTTCGTTGATTGCAAGGGTTTTTCCTGTTTCTTACTGACGGAAAAGTTTATGACCCTGTAAATCACAAAACTCTTACTTTTTCGAATCACCACCTCTGCTTAAAGTTCCTGAGAGTTTCTATTTTCAAATAAGTTCACTACTATGATTCTTGAGCCATAGAAAACGTCCATCACATTCATCCTGTAACTAATAATTATAACCTTTTCCAGATACGAACGTGCTGAGGTCGCTTCGGTTTGCGGATCCATGCTACGGGAGAGCATCCGTCATGACCATCTGGCCAAGGTACGAATTCTCCAAAAAAAAAAAAGCACATTTATCACAAAAAAATTATGGGAAAAATTGGAAGAAAATGCCTATTTTCAGCCTTAGAGCTGGAGGGGAAGCAAAAATGCAAAAAAAAATATTTCCGAGCAAAACGGTAGTTTTTCAGATTCTGCTCTACAGCGACGCCTTTCAGAAGTTCTTCCCGTACGTCCAAAGTGAAATCTTCGACATTGCTTCCGACGCTTTCTCGACTTTCAAGGTGGGAAAAAAATTTTACGAACCGATATAAGTCAAAGTTTTTGCACACCTTTTCGGACATAAGAGTGAAAATTAAAAAATTAAAATCCTAAGGCCCGTACGCCGACTTCCATGTACAGTACCGTCAGAAAAAGATATGAAGAAACGCGACTTTGGTCACAAATTTTTAGAAATAACAGTCATTACAACTCCAGGAAGTTTCAGAAAGATGAATTTCTTTACAAGAAAGTTGTGACCGATACCACGCTTTTTCGATTTTTTCTGACGGTAGTGTAAATTTTATTTTGTCCCCAAAAAGTGCACGCTTTTTTTTAAACTACAACTATATTTCCTTGAGCTTTACTTTGAGCTAAATATCCTTGATTACTAAACCTTAAGTTTCTCGGTTTGTACCAAAAAAGTTTTCAGGACCTTGTGACCAAACACAAAACTCTCTGCGCTGAATATCTCGACGGCCACTACGATGCGTTCTTTGGTAATTTTTTTTCACCAGAAAAACTGATTTTTTTAATTATCAATATTTTCAGGAGAGTATCAGAAACTGCTCAACTCAAAGAACTACGTCACCCGTCGTCAGTCCCTGAAGGTAAAAACTCTTTGAATATTTGGAAATAATTAAAAAGTTTCAGCTTCTCGGCGAACTTCTTCTCGACCGTCACAATTTCAACGTGATGACCAAGTACATCTCCAACCCTGAAAACCTGAAGTTGATGATGGAGCTTCTGCGTGACAAGAGCCGCAACATTCAGTTCGAAGCTTTCCACGTTTTCAAGGTTTTCAGAAGGAAAACTACGGTCATTTTATTTGTACTTTCTCAGGTTTTTGTCGCCAATCCCAACAAGCCGAGACCCATTTCCGACATTCTACTGCGAAACCGCGAGAAACTCGTGAGAATTATTCCTTGACGTAGATAACGGAGGAATAGGCATGATTTATCGAAAAATGTCTACGGTCGCTGACTTTTCAGGGAAACGCTATGAAATGTCTTTTGGTGCTTTTTTTCCTCAAAAATTGAAAACGATCAAGACAAATAAAAAAATTGAGATTTGAGATGAAAAATCATTTTAGGTTGATATAAAAATAAAATAAAAACAGCTTCTTCTCCTTTCTTTTTCAATTTCGCTTTTTTGGTCACCTCAAGAATAATTTGTTGAGAGATTTCAGATTTTTTGAAAAGTTGTACTAAACCTTCCCAAATCGTCATAGATTGGTTTTTAATACTTTGAAGGTTAAAATTTTCGAATATCTTCCACTTTCCAAAAAAAAATAACTCTATGGTTTGAAGGACCATCAAAATACGATTCTGATAGGTTTTTTTACATTTTTAAGGAGCCGGTCTTTCATTTCGTTTATTTTATAAGCTAGAATCTCGGATACGGTAGTTTTGAGCGCTTTGAGAATTTTCCAAAAAATTATTCTTCTTTGTCAAAAAATGTGGCCAGCGATTTTGCCGACTCAAAAAAGGAACTTTTCAAAAAACGCCCCGATACCTTTCTGAGTAAACTGTTCAGGTCGATTTCCTCGCGGAGTTTCACAACGATCGCACTGACGACGAGCAATTCAATGACGAAAAGGCCTACCTGATCAAACAGATCCAAGAAATGAAGCAGGGATAATTTCGGGTCCACAAAAATAACGCTCCTTCTCTTAATTCTTGTATTAATCGGCTGTATATCATTCACTAACTATCCCACTCTCCATCTCTAAATAAATATCCCTTCCATGCTTGTGTCGATCAAGGGTTAATGAATATTTCAGTAAAAGCTTTGACGAAACTTTTGGTTTTTTTTCATCATTAATCAAAGTTCTGACTAGAAATGTTCAGTTACCCTACCATCCTGTTGTGATAATGTTTGTGCTTGCAAAATAACTCTGCTTCTGTACCAACATACTGTATCAGCTGTGTTGTTTTTGGGAAAAAAAAGAAACCTGTGGTTTCGATATTTTTCGGTTCCGCACCTACTTTTCCCTGCACATGCTCAAAATCTTCGAAAAAAAATGGCAAAATTCCACTTAGGCTTTTATCATGTCTAAAAATGCGGGACCTTGCAGTGAGAATGATTTTAGATGACTCGAATATTGAAAATTACTTTATTTAGGACTTTCAAATTCTGTGACCCAGCAGTAGCTGCTCCAAATGATTTTGTCTTTTCTCTGTCATAAATCTGAGGCAGGTTTTCGGAAAGTTTCACTCATCGGCATTGACTCTGAATAATATTGTGAACTTTTATCTGTGGTTGATCGATAGCTAATGCTCACTTTTGATGAAAAAGTCCCTTTCTCTATTCTGTCTGAAATTCGGTTGTTGTAGTTTTTTTTTGAAAATAACAGGTAGTCAATCTTGTTTCTTCGCTCCAAAACGTCCTGCTTAAGGATCGTTGTGCAAGTTACAAAATGTTAATTGTGATGTACAATTCTGGTAACTATGTGGAATAAATTCATGTTTTCAAGGGCCAGTAGGCGTTGGAGATGTTGCACGGGATATGCATTCAAAAAATATTGGTTTTTTGAGCAGATCCGAAACTTTTTTGAGTTGGTTGGAAGTATATCAATCATTGTATCAAACATTCACACCTTTAAATTATCTCAAAATTCATTTTTTTAAGTTGAATGAATCAAAAAAAGCTTGTAAATCCTTAAGATGAATGATATGATAACCAATTTTCAAGGCTCAGATCTTTTTTCAGATTTTCTATAAAGTTTTTCTAATTTGATTAAATTTCTGATATCAGGAAAAGATTTCTAATTTCGACATCCCATTTGCCGCGTATCTGTACCGTAGCTGATTGCAAGGATATCTTAGGCGTTGAAGGTTTGAGTTTGTAAATTAATGTCAGTTAGAAGGTTTGTGATTCCCTTCATACAGTTGAGGGCGGCTCATTCTGCTTGTCGGCGTTTTGGTCATGTTTACTTCTCGTCCAAGATAGACGTAAGAGTCGACTTCTAGGAGGTCTCGGCCTTTGAAGTTGACGTTGTCGCAGAAGCGGTTGCGCCTTCACTTCGTCTTCTTAGCGTTCATCTTTAAGCCAATTTTGTTTAAACTCGGTCGAAGACGTTGACCATCGAGGATAGGTTGCTAGCAAAGAGAGCGATGGAGTCCGCAAATCGGAGGTTAGTTAGAACTTTGCCGTTGGTATCAACGCGATTGCTTCGGTCCTGCTTCATGTCTAATCAAACTGTCTCATGGCATTTTGGAGCACCGCTGTGAATAGCTTAAGTGAAATCGTGTCGCCTTGTCGAACTCCCTGGTCGATTGGGATCGATAACTTTTTTTCGAATAACTGTATGGTTCTGGAAGTGCCTTTGTTGCATTTGGCTAATAGATCGGTGTAGGCGGTGGAAATGCGCCCACTCGTAGCCATCAGTGCGTTGAGAACCATTCTTTGCAACTTGGAATTAGAGTTCAAAATAGATCAGTTCTGCTTTAAAGCTCCACCTCGCTTCCTTAAATGGTAATCTATAAAATATCGCTGTTAACTTCTTGGTTTAAGTTTCACGGTACTCTTGAATAAAAAACATTTAGTATTTTCGGATCAATATTCCATCAACCCCATGGTTTTTTTACATTTAATTTATTTCGCTTGAAAAATCCCTTAACTAAAAACCAGATTCCTGATGTCTTTACCCGGATCATTTCAATTGAAACCAAAAATTATAACAACATAACTTGTTCATTGCATCTCTTACCATCTGTTTTTATAACTTATCACATTTCAACGGCAAAAAAGGCATTTATGGATGTCAATAATATAAATAAAACATATCAAACGAAAATCAATGAGATAGCGCACAATTGGCATAAGTAATCACATGAGCATTGAAATTGACACATGACCCGAATCATCACGAGATAATGACTAGGTGCGAGCGGAAAAATCGCCGAAGCTCTCCTCGCCCTTGCCTTTGCCGATGAGACCGAGCTGAGCGTCGATGAGCTGGATGAGCTCCGGAGCGCTCGGGACACGGCCGCTGTCAAGCTTGCTCCAGATTTGTTCGTTGCCCAGGTAGATCTCGAAAGCGCCGGTAGACATGAGGGAGCCTTCCACGAGGTTTCCGAGCATGAACACGAACATGCACATCGAGAACTGAAAATCAATTTTAGAATATCCAACTGGGACAAAAAGAGTATTGAAAAGAGCCTTGTTTTTAAATGTAGCATTACTTTTGATTGTGACGTTATTGGTAGTAAAAATTTTATTGGGGCAATAAAGCCGTGAACATTCCGATTTTTGTAACGCTGTTTTATCACGAACTTTATCATTTAGCCGTTTTTCAGCCGACCTTCTTTTCAAGTTCTGAAATTTTTTTAATCTTTGTATGAGCCCATATGAAAATGTAGTTGATTCAGAATGACTTTGTCTTGAATTTTTTTGTTAAAAACCGTTAAAAAGAATTTTTAAAAAAATAGTATGTACCTTTTTAAACAAAGACATACTGATAGCGCAGTACAATGAGAAAAATAATATCGGATTCCCGGTCTTTTGGCTTTTTTTAATTACTACGCAACCCAAAAGAATTTGAGCTTACTACGTAAATAGTTCAAAAATATCCCTCTAAATCAGATTGAAAAAAAGCAACGCCAAACATTTTTTTAAAAATTTTTTTGATCAACTTTTTTTTTAATATTTCCATTCTGGCACCACATTATTTTTTTAAAAACTTCACAACATCTTTGTAACCTCTAAGAAACATTTTTGGAACATTGTGGTATTCCACAAGTTTTCACAACTTTTCGCATTTTCTTCCCTCGAAATTTTCAGAAAAAATTTACTTTGTTTCCGTGCAAATACTGAAGGAACGCAGGATAACCGAAGCCGAAAGTGGCAAAAGGATTGGATCCGGTCAGGATGACAGCAAACATGGCCATTTTGACTATATTCAAAGCCTGAAAAATAATGGAATTCAAGAAAAAATGAATAGGATGAAAACCTGAGCAAGATAAGCCTTGTAGCCGGCTGGAGGGTAGTTTGCTCCTTCGATCTGCATGTCTGGATACTTTTCCTTGACGAAGGAAGAGAACTGGTCAAATGCTTGCTTGTAGCCACACGAAACGCTGAAGTTTAAACTATTGATAATATTTTTAAGAATCTTCGTGGTTAAAGTTTCTGCATCAAAAAAAGGTTGCGACTTATTGTTGAAACTTTAAAAAACTGAAAAACATAAAGGAGGATAGATAGTTGATTAATTAGGATGCAGGGACGTTTTTTACTGGAATTCATAAAAATATTCACCAGTATAAGAACCGGAGAGGCGGCAAATCAGCAGCACCCAGAGACTTTGGCCGAACGAAAGCTGACTGCTCGCGCACTTCAATGTGATCGTCGGAAGTTCCCTCGCTGGAAAATTTTGATTTCATCAAACATTTCCAGAATAAGAAGGTACCTGAATCTAGTGGAATCGTCGTCGTGAATTTCTTCATCCCCGAATTCTTTCCGGAAGTCGTCGTCGTGGGCGTCTTCGTTGTGAGGATCTTCTGTATGAAGAATGGAGGTGATTAATTTTTTCACAGCGATATAGTTTTTAGAAATGTCCCCCTTATGGTTTTTCCGGAAAGTTGATAGTAACTTTTATTTGCAGGTATTTTTGCTTGAAAAGTGAATTTTACAGAGCTGGACCACAATTTCGCACTGGATAGTTCGGAACTGAGATTTTGAGGGAAAAAAATCATCTTCTAAGGCTAGAGGGTGCAGAGAGCGAAACCGTGAGCAAGAAAGATGGAAAGCAAAAAAATTGCCTTTCATTAGATTTTTTTAGGTTTAAAAAAATATCGATTTTTTTCAGAATTAATTATTCAAACTGTTTGGAAAAAAATAAAAAGTTCGAAAAACCGCCTACCTTTCAAAAATATCACCAATCGACAGCGCGAACAGCACCGCCAGAATAATATATCCCGTCCTGTTGATCATTCTGAAATGATGATAAATGTATTCATCCTGAAACTCGGAAACCATGAGAAATCAACGAAAAAAAAGGTAATCAAAAAGTGTCTGAATGAGAATGCGACGAAGAGAAAGGATCGGTTCGAGAACGGGCAACAAGAGAAAGGGGAGACAAAAATCGATTGGCGCGACGGAATAATGGTTGCTCTACGGGAAACGCGCGTGCAAGTCGCTCGCACGGCCTCTACACCTCTTATACGCATTATTAGTTACGGTTTATTGTCATTTGATCAAGTCGTTCAAGCGTAATCAAGGAGTTTGTCGTAAAACTTGCAGATTCGCATTTAGTGCCATTAACCACTTAGTGATAATCTGCTCCTTTGTTCTGTTTGCTCCAATTAGTCGGCTTAACCTAATTATTGTCATCTACTTTTTTGTAATTGAAGGATCTTTTTTTCATTTTTATATCTTTCAAACAGCCTCATAATTTTATTCATTTCACAGAGAGAATAACTTTTAACGTTTTTTCCAATTTTTGTCCTTCATCTCGTCATTTTTTTTCGCTTCCAATTTTTAGCTGAGTATATTTCCCCATTAGATTCATTTTTTTAAATCTGATGTTGCTCGAAATCAGGAGACATTTCAATAATAGTTTCGAAAACTCTTTCGCAATTTTTTTCAATATGCTTATAAATTATTTAGTGTGAGAGTTTTGTGTAAAACGGCTGAGTGAGCTGCAAAAATCTATTATGATGTTTTTCATCGTTCCTATGAGTAATCTGAACTTTATGAATTGTTCCTTTTCGTTTGTCAAATACATGAAAGAAAAAGCTCCGTAAATCACGTCAGAGCTAAATTTTTATTTCAAGGCAAAAATGACTGTTCGCCAAAATTTTATGCGGAAAGTTTATTAAAAAGTCAGAATTTCTACTACACAAGCGATTATAATTATTTAAACCGTCAATCAAAGATAAATAGTCTATTAGTAAGCCTTTCGTATATTTTTGAGAAATTAGAACTTCTTTATTCAACATTTATAACCAATTAAAAATTATGGTCCATCCATCTACGCACTAAAAATTTAATTACCTTGTTTTCCCATAAATCTGAGCATTTCATAACCAAATTTAAAGTTCATTAAAACCACGAAATGATCGGATACGGTAACAGCTGCGTTTCCCGCGCGGCGTGAGTTTTTTCCCACGCCTGGCGACTCACAGTTCAAATAAGGCAATATTGTTAGAAAGAACTGCGGCAGGGCATCGCGCACAACACCGTCGTTAACCAATTTCTTTTTCGGAGGTTGTCCGAAAAGCCTGGGCGATTCCAGATGTTCGCCAGCCGCTTCACCGCTGACTCATCTGTTGCCCGACCCCGCCTGTCCTTTACTTTTTTCCCCCATCCACCAAACGTTGCTTCGAAAGACAGACACAGTTTTCCATTTCTTCCATTTGGCCTTTCTCCCTGGTTTTTCCAGCTGAGTCATCCTAGAAAGTTTTTTTTTGCACCCTTTTCATGCTCAACCGGTTTTCTTTGTCCTTTTTGATTTCTATTTCTGCAACTTTCGTTTTTTTTTTTCGCTGTTCAGGAGAAATTTCTCGGATGTTTTTGAACCGTTTCCAAAATCTATTTCGGTTCAAAAATGACCCATGAAGTTTTGAAAATAAAGTCAGAAAAATTTCAAAGATGATTTGGAAATCGGTATTTCGTGCGTTTTTTTAGTTCTTTTTGAAATGAAAAAAAAAATAATTTTCAGCATGTCAGCTCCCTCGCGGCAGATCAAATGCGTCGTCGTTGGAGATGGAACGGTCGGAAAAGACGTGCATGCTCATCTCCTACACAACCGACAGCTTTCCTGTACAATATGTTCCAACAGTGTTAGTTTCATCAGAATTGAAAAATTAAAAAAATTGAGGCTCAAAAAAGATTATAAAAATGGCGCACTTTGAGAACTGAAAAATTAGTCCTGATTTCTATGGTTTTCGTTGATTTTTCTGAATAATGTTCTGGTTTGTCGGCTAGAAGAAGGAATAATGGCTTTTCAACAATATTTAAAGCCATTTATGGGTTTTTGGCGAAATTAACGGGAAAAATTGAAAAAAATTGCAATTTTTTGGCGGCTAGTATATTCGTTTTGGAACAATTTTCTTGGTCCAAAAAAAGCCCATTTCAAATTTTATCGATTTTCTTGTATGAATTGAAAAAAAGAATAAAAATGTTATGGTTTCTAAATGAATTTTCAAAATCAGAGAATTTTTGACTGAGCTAAAAAAAGAAGCGGCGTTCTCACTCGATTTTTCCTTTTTTTGATAAATTCGAGGCATAAAACTAACTTTTTTGGAAGAAAGGTTTTCGTTCACCCAGCTTGAAATCCCAGAAAATTTTGAAATACTGAAAGTTTGTTCTATGATTTGCAGATTTGATAACTACTCGACGCAGCTGTCTGTGGACGGGAAGTGTGGTGAACCTCGGTCTTTGGGATACTGCTGGACAGGAGGACTACGACCGTCTCCGGCCGCTGTCCTACCCACAGACCGACGTCTTCATTCTCTGTTTCTCGGTCGTTGCGCCTGTTTCGTACGACAATGTGGCCACCAAATGGGTGCCTGAAATTCGGCAACACTGCCCAGAAGCTCCGATCATCTTAGTCGGTTCGTTTTTTTTAGTTTTTGAAGTTTCATACAAATTCAGTCCTTCTGAAAAGAAGGATCAAAGTTAAGAAAAGTTCAAAAAAATGACAAAAACGGACAAAAAGTGAGACATGAATATTATAGTTTAATTTAACCGTTTGAAACGGCTTACGAGACTCAAAGATGATGATAAATCAATTTTAGAGCCATTATCATTTTTTTACTTTGAATGATTATAGCCGCAAAAAAATCAATATAAAAAAATACAAAAATACTTTTTTTATATAGAAAAGCTTTGGAAAAAAAGTGTGCAACGGTTTTTTTCTGCATTTTCACAGGGATATATTGTGTACTTTCCTTGATGCGCACGCCTTTTTGCAGACCTGGGGTTACGATTAGCAATATTTTTACGATTTTCAACTGCATATTAACGAAATTCCTAACATTTTTTTTTTCAGGAACGAAAATCGATCTGCGAGATAACCCAGAGGCTATACGCTCTTTACAGGTGACTTTTTTAGAACTTTTTTCGATGGAAAAAAAAGTTGATGAGTCAAGGAAAACCTTCGAAAAACCTGGAAAAAGTTCTTACAAGTAATTCATCCCTTAAAATTACAGGCAGAAGGTCGGGCTTCAATCAGCAAGTCTCAAGGACAAAAAATGGCAACTCGGGTGAGAGCGATAAAGTATCACGAATGCTCGGCTTTGACTCAACAAGGCCTGTCTCAGGTAAAATTCCACTTCCAGAGTTTCTGAAACAGTAATGAGAAATATATTTTTGCAGGTGTTCGAAGAAGCGATGCGTGCGGTGATTGCACCGAAACCAGTGAAAAAGAAGAAAATGTGCACGCTCATGTAAATCCACTCCAAGCTGACTATCAAACGCTTTTCTCATTATCACTGCCTTGTAATTATTTTCATCTTTGGTTCTTGTTTCCAATTTAAAGAACTTTATAATCAATTGTGTCATTTTAAAACTTCTGAAAAGCCTTGCTTGGTCAAAAATGTCACTCAATCTATACACAACCCTCAATTTCAAGTCTTCTAAGGGTTCTCTTTTTACGCTTTGGTGCTTAAAATCAGTTGGAGGCCTCCTCTTTCTTGCTTCGTTTTTATGGTATTTGCTGTATTTTATCTGATGCTGGGCATTTATGTATCTTATAATTCGAATTGATTGTTTTACTACATTTATTTATATTTATAGTTCTCTTTTTCTAATAAGTTTCAGTTAATTATTCAAAGAAATATATTTTAAGATAATCAAAAATCCTTCCAAAAAAATGTTTTTTTCCGATAAGTTTTGCAACCAATGTATTTGAAACTGGTTCATTTTTCTCCGGCCTTTTTATGAATTCGCCATTTTTTTCCACCGGGATGCCAATATTGAAACCTAACTTTTTTTGGTTGAAAAATTTTTCTTTTTAATAAGCAAATAATCAAAAAAAGAATTGCCTTTGTTCGCTTTTTCACAATATATATTTCATGCCACTTCAAGTGATCTAATATTGCTGAGAAATAAATTGTTTGTTCCTTCCCAGGTATGATCGAGACATGGGAATAATGCAAAAGAAATTTTATGTCGAAATTTTTGGAAAAAGAAAAAAATTTAAAAAGCATTGAAAGAATCGATCTTCGATACATTCAAATCGCGCCTATCTGCCGTGAAACTGAGTCATTTTCATAAACATTTTTCTTGTGAGCGCAAATCTCGGAGAAATTTTGTCATTTTTTTCTATATTCAATGTATTCTGAACCAGGTCATCGATTTTCTTCATAACCAGCTGCCAATCACAAGCTGGTAAGAGTTTTTTTTTTCAAAATAATCATAAGAATACTTGATTTTGCTCGGAATTTTACTATTTCAAGAAGCGTCTATGAAAAGACAAAAATTTTAATGAAAATCATTCGAATAAGCTCATTTTCGGATTGGAATTTTTTTAGAGCACTTTGTATGTAAAAATTTTTTTCTGGAAAAATTGCGGACAGAGCCCTTTTGTAGATTCAATTTGTTCGTCGAGAAGTCTTAGACAACATTTTACAAAAAAATTTCAGTAAAAGGCAAAAAAATAACTGGGAAGTCTATGATTTAAACCAGTCTACAGTACTGGACCTGAAGGTATTCCAAAATGGTTTTACGAGCATAACTTCTCTGAAAAATGTTGAAATTTCTTGAAACTTTGCACAAATTTCAAATAGCCATGCAGTTTTTTTGTTTTCAAAAACAAAATACATTTGCTTGAACCATATCAGACTTGTAAGCAAAAAAACTGAAAAATCGAGAAAAATAAAAAAATTTTTTTCTGTTGAAATTTGAAAAAAATCATATTATCTGAAAAAAAGTTCCATATTTGATCCAAAAACTTTTTCTATTAGAATAAGTCTTCGGGTTTTCAAAAAAACCTAATCAGCACTTCATCAATTCGATAGTGAAAGCGCAATAATTTTTTCTTTGAACGGCCTTTGCTTTTTAAAGGCCTTGTCTTCCAAAATGGACACTACATGATTTTGTTTGAGGGCTTCATTTTTTTCATGTCCAAATGGAACAACTTGAAGTAAAAAAATCAAACAGTTTTAGACACTGCGAAAATTTTTTTCTACTATAAAATATAAGCAGAATGGGAGATTTTGAAACTTTCAACCTTAGCGGTCCTAGCGTTTTACACAGACCCACGAAAAAGTCTGGATCAGCCAAAAATCACTTTTCATAACCTCCAAAGTCAGGGAAAGTAGACTATTTACTGTTCGAAACGTCGAGTGGCCAGGCTCATTATCATCTTCTTTTACTCCTCGAATTGAAATTGAAGTTCAGAACGTAAAAAAAATTTGCAATGATTTCAGTGGAATCCTCTCTGGCGGTTCGACGATAGTTCGGGTGAGAGTTATCGGGAGCGCCGGAAGCGGGAAGACCAGTCTTCTTTCGGCCGTCATTTTGAATACCTTCAATGAGCAGTACTCGCCGACCCTGTAAGTCCAAGAAAATGCTTCTACACATTTAAAACAGTGTCTCAGTTTCGACAACTTCAACATTTCGATCCGCTTGAAAGGAGGGCATTGTGTCAATCTCAGCTTCTGGGATACTGCTGGACAGGTGAAGAGAATAGTTATAGTAAATTCAGAACACTATTTATTGCCAAGAGGATAAATTAGCTGAAGGAATATCATTCTCAGGTAAAATTTGAAAAGCTTCTCCTTTCGGATCCTCGGAAGGCGCTTGGAACCTTTCCAGGAAGTGGTCGAACGTCTTCCACGACGTTTCTCAACACTTTCTGCTTAGAAAAAAAGCCTGTCGGAAGCCTTCCAGAGACATTACAACAGGCCTTTTCCATTTTTACCTTTCAACTACTTTCCAAACGCCTCCCGAAGGCTCTTTACATCCGCAATCTCTTTTAATAGGTTCAAGGTAAAGAAACTATAGCATAAAATAACTCGAATAATCCTTTGAACTAATTTTATTGATAAGCCGAAAATTCATAAGGCTTTTCAAAGTGCTTTGCTAATTTTGACTCTTTATTTCAAAACAAACTAACAGAAAAATCTCGATAAAATGCGACTGCGCAACTACAAAGAAGTCGACCTCGTTGTCATCTGCTACTCGACGGTTGACAAGGAAAGCGCCAATGAGCTGAAGAGCCGCTGGGTTCGAGAAACTCGTCGTGCCAGCGGTAAAGTCCCGATTATCATACTGGGTCAGTGAAGAGAAGATTTGCAATAACCTTAAAGCCGCTTCAGGGACAAAAACCGATTTACGCGAGAGCATGAAGGGACGTGGTTCTGTAACGGTTAGTATTTTTTTCTGATAATTTATCATTTATTATGTTTTTATTTCAAGTGTTTCTTTGGTTAAAATTATTGAATGGCTTTGAAAAATTCAGAAATCGGCCGTATACCTGTAATTTTGTCAGGTCACGATTATAATTCACATAGAAATGGTTTTGACAAGCAAGGTCATTTTATTTGGTTTTGGAACTTTCCTGAAAATTGGTCAGAATGTAACGGATGAAGATTCTGAAGTCTCAAACTCCACAACTTCCTATTTTTGAGTGAGGACGCCTCAAGGTCGTAGAAAACCCTTGAAGATCGTTAAAATAGGCTGTTTTTGGGCTTTGAGCCCATATGGCTCAGAAACTGGGAAGTTGTGCAGGTTGCGGCGTTTAGAAACTTCTTGTAGTACAGCTGGGGGTTTTCTGGCCAATTTTTAAGGAATCCCTATCCTCAAAGTAAAATTACCTTTCCTGTGAGGCTGACTACGAGTCACAGATCTTTTTGAACAAAATTAATATTTTTTGAGATTTAAATCTCAATCTCAATTCCAGCAAACGATGAACTACATGCAAGGGTTGACACTGGCTCGGTCGCTCAAAGCGACGGCTTTCTTCGAATGTTCTGCTCTCACTCAGAGAGGCCTTCATGAGGTTTTATCATGTAATAATATTTGTAAAATGCTTCATTCAGGCTTTTTATCAAATCGCGCAAATCGGCTACGATCATCTTAACGGGAAAACCGTGAAACTTGCTTGAAATCCTTCAGCGCCATGTTCTGTGATTTTTTTGGAGCTTTTGCGTTTTTTTAATTGTTCCTAACTTTCACTTTTTCATTATTTATGTGTCAAAGAATTTTTTAAGACGAAGGTTGCTGATTTAGACTTTTTCTTCGAATTTGGGCGCTTACAATAGTTTGTATAGCTTTGAGATTCTTCCTCGTTATTCTATACCTTTATTTATTTCTTCTTTTCCTGTTCAAGTATTATCTTGTCACACTTTTTGGAATCTTTTTTCTAAACTTTATGACTGCAAGATAACATATCGAGCCTACGCAATTTTTTTTTCGCAATTTATTGTAAATTTCTCAGATTTGCTCTAACATTCTTTTCTTTTCTCTTGTATTCCCTTTTTTCAAAACATTTGTAAAACATAAAAAAACGTTTTTTTTTCTGATAAATAACCCCGTTGGTAAAACATTTTACGGAGGTTCAATGGAGCGAAGGTTCCAAGGCGATGACAAAGAGAAAGTGCGCTCCACCGAGATATGCTTACAAATTCACTTATTTTTACCCTCGATTTTATTAAGAAAACAACTTTCTGAATCGACAATTTGAAGCTCTCCATGTATTCAAGGCAAGTTTTCTATTATCTGGCATTAGATTTTTTTTGTTCTTTTTATGTTATAAAAAGGTTATTTTTCGATGAAAAAACTTGTTACGTCACACTTTTTCTTGTGATTTCACCTTTTTTCAATTTTTTAAAATGATAGATTTGAAAATATTTCTCTTGAGAAGCGGATTCTAACGCATAACTTACTGATAGAAAGTATGATTTACAGACTGAGCATTTTTCTTTCCTTGGATTTGTTATAAAAGCTCGCAGCTAGCTACGCAGGTAATACCGCTGCTTTTTGTTATATTTTGAACTTCTGAATGTCCGTTTATTTTTTTCAAACGAAAAAAATGCTTAAAAACTTTTTTTCCAGTTTTTAATTTGCTCAATAAGCTTGAATATATGTATTTTCAGGCTCATAAAGGGTTGTTCTAACAGAAATACTTCTTTTTCCCCTCCATTTTTTTCTGGGGTAGTTCATGTCCAGCTTAGTATCTTTTTTTGTACCAAAAAAACGCCCAAAATCTTCGCCTTACTTTGCCAAAATGTCAAAAAAATTTTCAACCTAATTTAAAATGCAAAATATCAGACGAATGACAACACCATTCAGAAATTGATTTTGAATTAATGAAAAGCGTCTCGAGCGGATTGAGTAAAAGTTTTTATGTATCAGAAAGTCTGAGCCTTAGAAAACCAAAGAAAATGTCAAAACCGATTACTAAAAAATCTAGAAAGGCTGTGTTGGATTTTTTTAATTGAAAAAAATTTTGCTGTGCGTTTCCTAAAAAAAATGTCTTAGCTGCACTTAGTTGAATGATTTTTCAATACAAGTTTCGAAAAATACGTCCTAGCTTCAACTATCACGAACATTTGGACCGGGCCTAAACTTGGGAATTCCAGAGTGGTCCTTATAAGGGTAAGTGGGAAAAAAGACAGAAAAATGGTGGTCCCTATAGGGATTTAGGATCTGACCCCTTAGTCCCTAAACCTCACGTGGACCCTATAGGGGTCTTTGAATTTCATTCAAAAAACGTTTTTTCATTCAGTTTTTCTATGAAAATGCTTCTTCGGTAGGAGTTCGTAACAATTATCGACTAGCCTGTCTCCTATAGGGACCACTTTTGCAAGATTTAGTGACCCCTATAGGGGTTAATAAAGTGGTCCCTAGTGAGACCCTCCAATGACCCCTTAGGTTGCCTCTATAGGGACCGCTCTGGAGCTCCTAAAAACCTCATATTTTCATAAAGGGGAGTCACGTGCAAAATGACATTTTTCCGGAAATAAGGAGCCTAGAAAATTTCGCTGTATTTTAATGTCATCCAAACAGAGAAAACGCTGGACGTGTGCCATTAATTGGACGGATCATTATAGAAACACTCGGCGCGCTTTCTCCAAATTGCCTCAATTTTCCGCCTTTGCCTGCTGAATCCGCCTCCCGTGTTGTTGAAACGATCGGTTTTGCGGCCGAGCATCCTCCTGAGGCACACGACTTTTTTTTTTGGCGCTTCTTGTATTTTCCTTCTTTTCTTCCTGTTCTGAAGTCGAGAAGGCACTCACCAACGGGGAGGTTGCTCGTTCCCACGAGGTTATTCAGTCGGAAGAACGACCTTCCTGTCAGAGGGCTGTCTTCCATTTTTCTGTTCACTTCATTGCCAAGTTCGACTTTTGTTATGAAGTTTTGTATAATCTTGCTCTCCGTATTGCTTAACCTAGAAAAAAGTAAGCCAAAAAAGGAAAAGTAAAGCATTTCTCAGAGTTTAATTATCGAGGGAACTAAGCTCATAAAATTAAGCAGTCTTCAGATTGAGAAAGTAGATCAAGGCTTTCAAAAATCAATAAGATTGAACGGCAGAATTTATCACTGTTATGTAACCCTTTCAAGCATCCCAGAGCTTCAAACCGACTATGTTAAAACTACTGAAAACAAGTCGACATAACAGGAAAAAACAGATGTAAACGAACATATCAATAATATTAACCACCTGACCTCTCCAACAAGGTGAAACTTCTCAAAATGAAGATTCCAGTATCCGATAGTAAAAATCTTTCATACCGTAGTATATGCGTCCCAAGTAAAATCTATAGATGATTTAAGATTAGCTTCTGAAATTTCGTTTATGTTACGCAACTATCCGATTATCAGCAGCGCCGGTAGATTAGATTATACTTTTTACTTGCAGCTATATAGCGAAATTTCTGAACTAGTATCAAACATCATATCAAAGGGTTAGGTTCATTAGTAAGTCTTCAATTAGGCTATTAAAAAGGTAGGTCACTGTAAATGCTGGTACTCAAGTGGATCAGACTTTAACATTTCGCTAGCGGGAATCTGGCCGAAACTTTAAATAGAATCGGAATAAAAAGTAGAAAAAACTTACAAGTTAGCCTCCTGATGAACTAATCTTACATTAATTTCGATTTTTTCACAAAACCCCTGTTGAAAAACTGTTTCAAGAGGCCTCAAAATTATGTTCCTACTTTTAATAAGCTTTGTCCAACTATATAGTGGTGAATGTTCTGAAAAAAAACCTATGAATACATAAATGCAGATCCTTCGGGTCCTCGTCGACTCTTAATTTCCGGCCATAAAAAAGACTAATAATTATTGTCATGGAGACTTCCGCTTAAATTTCCGGTCGAGTCGGGAATTTTTTTTTTAGTAACCAGTAGTCGTTTCTCTGAGAATTAAGTCCTAGACGTGGAAAATGATTTCAAGAGGGTGTGGATCGAAAAAAAGTTGTTCAGGTTGGAATCGTTGAATTTTTCTCGGCATTGTTTAAAAAATATGGATTTCATCGCAAGATTCAAGCGGAACATGAAACAGAGAAGATAGTTTTTTTTTGCACGTTGTCTCGCAAGTTTTATATAGTCTCTTGGCTTCAGTCAAAACTGCCCAAACTTGCCCAATTGAAAAATTTACGAAATTTTTTTGTACTTTCTTGATGTCATCTGAGAAAAGGAAGCCATTATGTATGCGGATAGTTTAAAGTTATTAAAACAAGAATTATGCACACGAAAAAACATGTAACTGAAAAGTCAGCACTTTCGAATGACCCGAAAAAAGTTTTCGGTTAGGAAAGAATGGGTATTACAAAACAAGAAACAATTTGGTCGTAAGGCAACCTAAGCGAAAAATGCAATATTCGAAATTAAGGAACAAAAATGAACTAAGAAAACTATGGGAGTCCATTCGTTGGCATAAGCGTTGAATAGGGTATTATGAATGAAAAATGAATGAACGAAAAAATAACGAGTAAATGCAATGAGAGAAAGGCAAACAACAAAGCGTATTGCGATAAGTTGCACGTTAGATGAGCTGCTCCAGGAAAAAAGTAAGGCCACGATATTGAAAAAAGACGAAAATTTTTGGCTATACACACTATTTTTCCAATTGTGTGGTAAAATAAGTATCTAGGCCGTTGTCATGAAAATAAAATTCGAAGATTGCTTATTTCGGCGCTGGACTCATGGATCTTCTCTGTTGACTTTCAACATCACGATCCTGGAATCTAACGTTTTTTTCAAGTAGAAAAAGGAAAAAATGACCTTTAGACTTTCAGAGATTCTCTTCTTCAACTCGGTCGGGAAACGATCATAACAACGACGGCACGTCGGCTTCATATCAAATTCATAGAATTTTGTCCTGAAAAAAGTGACGATTCTGAAATACTCTGATGGGAAACTTACTTGTGATCAAGCTTCTTGTCGCAGAAACTGCAAGCAAAACAACGAATGCACCAGGTTTTTTGGAGAGCCTGAGAAAACTTGATGAAAAAAAACCTTGGAATTTCATGATTTTGCTATTTATTTCAAGCCAGCGACAGTAGCATGTAATAAAATGAAACAGGAAACTGAAATAGTTTTGTCCCAAATGTTTCCAGCTTTGAAACAAGTAATAACCAAATCATATCTTACTCACCTGGAAAACTTCCCCGCAACAAGGTTCGCCACATTTGAAGCACAGATTTCCGAAAAGCTGGAAAAAAGGAAAGTAAAGACCTTAAATATTTTGAAGTAGAAACCCTGTGATAATGCTGTTCGCAATAAGGCAGCCCTTTCTTCTCGTAATGTCGATGACCGAGGAACGGCTTCTCACAAACCGAACAAACGAAATGCTGTAAAATTTGTTTTTGATAGAGTTCATCCATTTACGAACCTCAATGTGCCAATGCTTTCCGAGAGCAGCGACGACTCGTTCCTCGATCGGACGATGGCAAGCGCCGCAAATCGGAATTCCCATTGTGTCGTGACATCTGGAGTTGTTAGATTTTGAAAGTTATCCTTTTGGAAACTGACGTATAAGCCTCAACTAAGCAAATTTAAAAAAAAATTCCGAAATTTCTGGGTGAACATACAGTACCGTCAAGAAAGATACGAAAAATCGCGACTTTGGTCAAAACTTTTTTGTGAGGAATCTTCCAAAAGTTTCTGGAACTTCTTTTTTTTCTGTGAGCTGAAACTTCATCAGAGTGTCAAAAGAAACATTTTTCACAACTTCAGAATTTTTCAGAAAGATTTGAATACTTACAAAGAAAAATTTTGACCGTAACCTCGTTTTTTTCGTATCTTTTTCTGACGGTAATTCGATGAGTTTTCATTGCTTGAATCGCTCTAATTTTACAAATCCTGCTCGATGGGAAAAATAAAAAGGCCTTTATTTCATAAAAACTACTGTTTTTGTGTTACTGATAAGATATTTTTGGATAGTTCATTCTTTCATCCATTCACTGTTTCGAAAAAAAGAACCAAATAAACTTCAAGTATCGAATTTTTTCTTTTTCTAACACCTTTCCCTGTTTCAGATAAATCACAAAAAAGATCTCACCTCAAACAGTAAAGTTCGCCGCCGACTTCGCGTGAGTCTGTCGTGAGCTCGTTGCTGCAACCAAACTGATTTATAAAAAAGAAACATCGTCTTCCCGTTGCACGAAATGGAATAAAAACTAAGCCGTGGAGCGGAATAAACTCGCATGGATCAAAAGACAACAGCTGTTGTCCTGTTGTGCAGTGATCTTCACTACAGCCCACTCAATATTCCCCGACTCGCGAAGTTGAGAACACTATAGGATACGTTCCAAACTGGTTTTTGACTAACAAAATGAGCTCAAAGTATTTTTTTCAAGGAAAAAAATACTGTTAAGCGGTTCTTCTTAAACATATTCTTTGCTAACACTTGAATAAAATAAATAATATTTTAAAAAAAACTGACTTGCATCTCTTGCACTTGAAATGATATGGATGATAAGAGTCGCCACGGAACTTGATGTGCTGACCATCGTCGATGATGGCGTTGCATTTGTGGCAGACGTACCTTCCTGTACCTGCAGCTTTTTCCTGCTCGTTGCACTCTCGGCAAAGCGCCCTGAAACATTTTCTCGTATTTTTGTTTTAGATAAGTCCGACAAACTTTCTATGGAACTTATTTGGTCAAATTTTAGGCGTTTTTAGGGTTCGAGCTTCCAGAAAATTTTCAGATTTTGTTCGGAATTTTTTTAAAAGGAGGAAACTATCTGTAATCTTTATCCCCCATAGGCGTTATTGAGTTCAACAGGCTGAAGCTCAATTTTCAGACCGAATCCCTTTGAAGAACTTTTTTTCCTATCTCAATAATTCAAAAAAATTGAGTCGGCTACATTTCTAAAAAAAATAAACCTCGATTTTTCTTTTTGAAAAAAACCTGTGTTTGCTTTTTTTGAAAACTTTTTGATGCTTGAGAAAATTTTAAAAAAGTTGCAAGCTTCAGAAGAAGTTCGTGATTCAGGAAAACTAAACACAAGACCATAAAGCAACTTTGAACTAAGATGGGTGATTCATTTCTGTTACAATAGCGAGTTTCCATCAAGTTACACCTTCAAGCGAAGAAAAAACAAAAATGATGATTTTTACACTATTTTGGATGACAAATAAATTAAATTTTGAGAAAAAGGAGAACAACAATGACAATGACGACTACCTTCCGGCGTTACGAAGAAAACCGATATCTGCAAGCTGTTTGTGGCAAATTTCGCAACAGAAACATTGCGGATGCCAACTTGCGTTCATCGCCTTGATGACTCGTCCAACGATGAACTCGTCTTCAAACATTTTCAGTAATAAGACGATGTGATGATTTAGAACGTACTGCATTTTCCACAGCAGGGAGCGTAGAGAACGTGGAAATCGTGTTCGCAGTATTTTCGGCCTTCAAATTCGAAGTAGATGCCATCCGGGAATGGCTCGAAACATTGTGCGCAACTGAAATCAACAAATTTTGAAATGGACTTTTGAAAGTTCGTTTTTTTGGGAAATTTTAAAAATTATAAGGGGAATCAGAATAGCTTTTACGAGCCTAATAGCAAGTTTTCAGCTGAAAAAAAGATTATTTTAGACCCAAAAAATAACTGAGATCAGTATGGGTTAGGTATCGACCTGCATTCAAATTTACTCTTTTTTTGAAACTCATTATAATTTTTTTGAATTATGGTTCTATCTATGGATTGAACTATAAATTGAACTATGGTTCTAGGAGCATTTTAAAAATGATTAAGCCGCCAGAAATTTTCCACCTCTTAGGTCACCAAAAAAAAACTCAAAAAGAAGACTCCACTACTGTAGATTATTCATTTCCAGGAACGTTTTTTGTCACTTCCATCCGCGAAAATACTCACCTCTCAAACTTCACTCATGAGTCTATTGTTTCCAAAATACCAAATAAAGACAAAACTTACACGAAGCATTCTGAGTGCCAGACTTGTCCAGAAGAGTTGACCATTTGGTCTTGCATGGAAAACCCGTCGTTGCATCTGAAACCGTCCGGGGAGATCAAAAGTAATCGTAATTGAACCAACCGGACACAAACGAGGTTCTCAAAACCATGGGCAAGTTCGCCATTGATGTGGTGGTCGGAGTCCATCCCGCCGCACACCATCGATCGTCGGCTTCGACTACGCTGAACGCTAGAAGCAACGTCGTTGGGGCGGGAGTGTTGGTCTCACGCAATGCAAGGCAAATGGCGTTTGCGATCAAAACGGCGCGCGTTGACAGGCCGCTCTTCTTTTTTTCGATTGAGTTGAGCCGATTCAAAAGACAAAGATTCGCGAGGATGGTCAAAAGGGTTAGTTTTTTTAAAGATGAATCACAAATGAGAATGGCTGGGAAAACTGTAGGAAGGATCTTTGATTATTCTCTCAACAAATGGAAGGAAAATTGTAGTTATCCATGGGTTCTAAAGTTTTTTTAATGATGATTCCCGCTTTCCAAAAACATTTTCCTCTTAATTTAAAAATAGAATCTCAAGAAACCGGTAACTTAACCGGAAAAAACCTTTGTTCAAATATATTTAATTAAAGTTTTGAGCTTTTTTTTCTTGACAAAAACAGCAAACTGAATGAACAAAAATAACTTTGCCTGAAAATTGTTCAAAAAGAAAGAAAAAAAACGTTTATTCTTTTTTCCATCGTTGTCTCATTAGGAAGTCGTTTGCTCATCAAAGATTGACCGAAAATCATAATCCAATCGACATTTTTTTCAGGCTGACCTAACTCGTCAAACAGAACAAATACAAGGGAAAGAGACGTCCAGACAGTTTTTACGGAGTTGCGCAACAGCAAGGGCACAGAGCCGTTCAGCGGAGGCGGTAAGTGAAACGTTCCGGCGGCCCTAGCCGAGTATAAAAAGAAAACGAGCGCGCGGCGACGTCTCGGACCATTCAACACTGCGAGAAACAACAAAAGCCGTGAAAACAAATACGAAAATGGCCAAAAATATGCAAATGGGACGGAAGTGTAGGAACTAATCGATATGATCGGTAAGGTTTTATGTTGCCGCGTGAAGGGAAGAAAGAAGAGAAGGGGGAGACGAGGCGCAGAAACAGCCACAGCCACGGCAAACGGATATGCACGCTGCCCACGAATGCTTGCCGATGGTGTAAGAAAGAGTAGGTGGAGATGAGTGTTTTGTGTAAAAATGGTGCCCTCAGATCTGCCAACGCTGCTCCATCCACAGACCAGAGGCCGCTGGAAGTTTCAGGTTGCGCCAGTGATAATGGCGCGCAAGTCCGTTTGGTTGGGGGGAGTATGCTGCAAAACATTCGCTAACCCAAGGACAGCAGACACACAGAGGTCACTCTGCGCTCTTGTCCTTCCTATTCTCGTCCACCAGGCGTCCAGCTTCTTCCTCTTGTTTTCATTGTTTCTCTTTTTGAGGGCGAGTTCAAAGTTGATTTGGGAAAACATGTGGTCTGGTCAACTTGAGATTTCTCTGAAGATTGGCCAGAATACTCATTGATGTACTAGATAAGGATTAGTGAGGTTTTGATCTTCAAAAACTATTAATTTTTTCTCAGAGGTTTAATTTTTTATTAGAATACATTTCGATGGTTTTCTTCGAGCTCGAGGTGTCTTTATCGAAATTTAGGGAGTTTTGCAGAACCTTTATTTGATACATAAATGAAAAATATCAGCGGTCAAGGCAATCAGACTGACTTTTTCTTCTGATTTTTTTTACTTATTTTTATTTCATACGACTTATATGGGGGAGGGGACGAGGTTTATGCTAACTCAGACATAGTCTCTAATTTTTCAAGATTGGCTCTAACCAAGCGTGGAAAAAGCTGTAAAATTCAAAGACATTGCTTCGAACCGGCTGTGAATGGACTACGGGTAAAAAAATTTTTAAATAAAATCTCCATTTTTGTCTGAAATTTCTTTTTTTACAAATAAAAAAATTATGATAAATGAAAGCAGAGATTTCTTTTTGTTGAAAAACGATTCTTGAGTTTTTTTCATTAGCTCAGTGAAACATGGCTTGAACTGCAGTTTCAGCCAAAAAAAGGTTAGCCGTTATTAATGAAAATAAAAAAATTGATTATTCGAATTGATTTTTTTGTTACTGAAAAAGAACACAATAGAAAAAAAGTGAAAGTTACAAGACAAGAACCGACAAAAAAAGAAATTCTTTGCTTCACATAAAGAATCTGAAATAAAAAAACTGAAAAAAATATTTTTTTCAAAAAAAGTCCGAGAAATTATTTACTACTGTATTTGGTATGAAAAACAGAATGAAATAATCAAATTTCGATTTTATTTTTTTGAAGGTTACTTCGAATTATTAGATCATCCTAAGTGTAACAAAGACAACTTCAGTGCCACTCTTCTTCAGAAGTTCTTAGATCGCCTGAAGAAAAATCAAATTTTGGGCAAATTGGAGGTATTCTCAAAATTTTAAGTCAAAAATGAAATGATGGTCATTTAAAAACCAAACTGCAAAGATTTGGACGCTGACGGGAGTCTTGATGTCATTGTGGGCATGTTTCGGCCGCTGTGCCTTCAATAGGGATGATTCATCGGTGACTTGAGACGCCAAACATTTTTGAAGCGTTTCGGGAGATCATTTGTTACACTGCACATGCTCCTTTAAATGAAAGACATTCGTTGATAAAAGTTTTGGCTTCAAACCAGAGATCATATGATTTTCGGAGAAGATTGCATTTTTCATTGCTCTGGTATATGATTTTCTTTCACAGAACACAATTTTAGACTCGTTTTAAGATTTTTTTGGAGTAATTTAACACGAAAATGAAAAGTTTTATGAAAAAAAGAGATCGATGTCGTTTGAGAAAAAGGAAAAAAAGCTGAGTGTGATGATAAAGCAATGTTGAATTGATGAGACTGCGGATGAAACGGTAAGAGAAAACAGCCAAAAGTCAAGAAGAATTGCTTTCGTCGTGTTCGGCGTCTTCTTTCTCGGTACCCGCCCACAGAGGTTTCGCCAAAGCCGCCAAGTTGCGGTCCATGTCGGAGAAATTGTAGCGTTCGTACAACGGCTTGCCTATCGGGTCAGAAGTGCTGCAAAAGAAAAGCTTCAGTTCAAAAATTTGAGACATACAAAATTCTATACAAAGTCAATTTTTTTCTTTTTATTTGGAATCTGTCTTGAAGTCGCAGTGAAAATAAAGAATTTCATGGCCAAAGCTTAGACAGCTTTGGTTCAAAATCAATGAGCTACAAAGCCACGAAAAAAACTTTTTAACGTTTTGGAAAATGCCCTGTTATTATTTTAAAGCAAGCCGGCAGAAGCACAACTCACCAAATAAAAAACAAGCAGGAGTTAATAGTTGAAATGACGGCGTGCTAGAATTTCAGCTTTGATGGAAGCGGCAGAAACGACAGATTCTCGAGAATCACTGGAAAGAACGCTCTCTCGACTTCCCATGTGTTCTGGATCTGCTGGATCTTCTTCTCGTGCAATCGGGGCTTTCCGGCCAGGACCAAACCTTGCGACGAACTTCTTCTGCATTTCCTTTTCAGCAATTCCTTCTGCGTCATGCGAATGAGAAAGGTCGCTTTGGCTCGAACTATTTGACACATTTTTTTGAGATTTGGTAGGCTTTGTAGATTCAAAGGGAGGTCTGCTAGTCGATGGGGAAGTTTGATCCATTGACGCGAAGAATTGTTTCCTAGTCATCGGAGTTTCATTTTGAGAAGACGATGGGATCGGTGTTAATTGAGAAGTAGAACTTCCAGCCGCAAAATTTCTGTCGCTTCCAACGAAGTTCGGTGTTCCGCTCATATCATTCTCATAGTAACTTGCATGCATTGTCCCACTGTTTGCTTGTGCAATTTTCGTCAAGAATTTTTGTGGCGCTTGAGAAGGTTGTTCTTCTTGATTGGAGTAGCTCGCGGGATTCTGCTTGTATAAAGCCGCCTGATAGGAGTAGTTCATGTTGGGTTCGAAGTAGCCGCTGGCGGACCGAGGAAGATGAGGATAACTGACAAGAGATCCATCGGATGAATCTCCTCCGCCGTGAAGTCGGCTCATGGAGCCCATCAAAGGCTCGTCGATACCTCGACGACCTTTCAAATCAGCGATGATGGCTTGCCTGACCGAATAAGGAAGATTGTCCAGTGGAATCGAGCTGCCATCTTCGTTGACGTAAAACCTGTCTTCAACATCTTCTGCGTAATAACTTCGCTGTGACGAGCTGTCATCGTCGTATAGATTCGGATGATATCCTTGCTGCATCGCGAGAAGAGCGAGTCTTTCTTGTTCTTCGAAGTCTTCAAGATCCTCGTCGTAGATGTCTTGACTGAGAGGAGTCATGTGGCGTTCATCTTCTTGCTGCATCTGCAGCAGCTTCACCAGTCGACGTCTCCTTTCCGAGTCCGGCTTGGACATCTCATCATCGCTCATTATCGCCACGTCATCGTCTTCAGCCTCGAAATCATCATCTTCGTCTTCGCTGGAGCCTCTGTTCCGCGTTTCGAACTCTCGCATTTGCACCTTGTCGCTGAATTTGACACTTTTGTGAGAATTTCCAGATATTCTAGAAGCCTCCGAGAAGGAAGAGTCGCGTCTGTCTCCAATGTTAGTAGAGTGAGGCTCTCTGGTAGCTTGACGGTTTTTCGGGTTTCTCTCACGGTAGTTTCTACTTGTCTCATCATTTTCTCTTTTTTCCGTGATAGTGATTCGTGATGGCTGGCTTGAGTCGGAAGATTCATTGGAGTCTTGACTTTCTGCAGTTTCCCGATCAGATCGAGGAACTTTGCCCGTTTTCTCGCTTTTCCGCTCTTTCTTATTCCTTCCTTCTTTACTTGAATCGACCTTGATAGTTGCCTCTGCCGTCGACCGTTCGACTTGTTGCTTTTTGATTTCTGCGTGTCCAGATTCACTCGTACTGCCGCTGTCCTCAGCTTTATCTCCATGTTTGGCTTTCGCTTCACGTAGTTTGCGTTCTAATTTTTCTAGTTCTTTCTTAGCCTTTTTCTCGGCTTTTTCTTTCTTTTTTTCTTCTTTCTCTCTATTTTTGGCTTCTTTTTTCTCTTCTTTTGATAGTTTTCTTTCAAGAACAGGAGTTGTCTTTTTTTCTTCGAAGCTTTGGTTTTCCTCGCCGGTTTTTTTCGATTTCTGTTTTCCGTCTTTCTTCACGTTTAGTAGTAGATCAGAATCGATGCGCTTTATCTCTGAATCTTCGGAAGTAGGAGAACCAGCTGCTTTCTTGTTGTCCTTGACGACGTCTTTCTGAGCATTCAGAGCCTTCTCCCACTCTTTGGACTTGTAGCCAGTTCTTCCAAGGCTGTCTCGATACCAAGCCGGATTCAAAAGTAAACTCTTAGCCATTTCAGAGTCGGTTCTGCGGATTTTGGCCGCTTCGGGTGGAGAAGTATCCGATTGCGCTGGATTCTCCTTCTCGACGACATTCGGCTTGAGACGGTTGGCGATGGCTTGCTTCAGGAGCGAATTAGCGCTTCCGGCTCCGTTCTTGCTGACTCGTCGTCGTGAGGGATCGTACAGCGAACCTGAACGAGGTCTCTCATCTCATTGGAAACTGAAATTTGGTCGCATAACGTGCAGCATAGCTAAGCGGTGCAAGTTTTGAATATTCTTCCGAAATAATTTTTGTGAAAACGGTTTCAATCAAAGTTGATTACCTGGGTCCAGCTGGCCCGGCAGGTTCTGAGGTGCTCGGGCCGTAGGTGTCGCTGCGGACGGATACGGTGCTTCTCGCATGCTGAAAAAAGTCATTTTCCTCTTCGAAATTAGACTATACTTTCCATTATTATCAGGTTATTCAGCTTGGAATGAAAAGATAACTATTTCGCGCCGCCCATAAGGAAAACAAAATGAATTGATAAATAACAATAGGAACTTCTTGGCAAAGTACTTTGCCCAAAAACTGAAAAAAATCAATTACTATCAGAAAATGGTCAAGACTCAATTTTGAATACCCAGCAACAGTTCGAAAATAAATCAAAAGATTATCCGGATCAGCAGAAAAAGGTATAGTCACAGTTCTTGTAATTTCTCACCTTTTATTTATGTTACAACGCAACCAAAATAACTAAATACTTCTGTACAAATCAAGCTTTATCTAACTAGAAAAAAAACGCTCTAAAAAGTTTATTCACAGCCTGTTGTTTTTCATGAGAAGATGAAATAGTCGAAATTGAAAAGTCATAGCTGTCGGTCAAAAAAACCATGTTTTTCTATAAAAAGAGTACAAACTTGAAGAAAAATGGAAGATTTTACTCAACGCTCTGGCGAAATTTTTTTGACATAAAGGCATAACCACACTGGAAGAAAAGTGCATAAAAGTTTGAGAGAAACAGAATCCTGAACTTATTGTTTTGAAAAAAATGAAGTTCTTTCAATTCCGACCAGAAAGCCTTGCCAATTCAAAAAAAAATATCATCTAAAGCTAAAAGTTGTCGTTTCATTCCGTGTAAAGTCCTAATGCAAAGTTGCTGCTCTCATTTTGAGGCTTCGGCCCAGAAAAAGGTCTCCGCGCTCCAGTTACTAAAACCTATTCATTCTGAGTTCTTAAAGGCGCAACTGGATGAACCAAGCGCGAAAAAAATAGGCGAAGGACGGACCATAAAGTTATGTTTTCAATTTTTTCGACTACTTCTAGTTTGCCAAAAACGGGTGACCGTTATAACTTGAAAACATCTTGTCCACCGCCTAGTCAATTAAGGTTATGACTAAAAGCAACAAAATACATAATTCGATTGAAATAAAAGCTTTCTACTGGAAAATACCCAGGCTTTTAGGAGGAAAACGGTTTGCATTACAACTAGAAAAGACATTTCGTTGCAAGACCTTCTTGGTTTTTGTCAGTGCGAAACTACGATCAAGCAGTCGCGACTCAAAGCTAAAAGTTACCATGTCTCCAAAAGTTAAGGAAGCATACCAAAAATCCTCATCCTTGCTGATAGGGATACGACGAACAGTGGGTGAGTAGATACCCGAGTAAAGTTTGCAGCAAAAGTTCATGACAGACTAAACAACAAGACGTGACGCATGCCTCGAGGGTTCGAGGATTATGCACCGAATATATGATATAACGGCTGGAACTGCTACGAGCGCCGTCACGAAAAGACAGCTGTTACGCAACGGCGCTACATTTGCATCTCGTGTCACTTTTACATACAACACTTGGCACCTGAGACGCGAAAAAACAACAAATTGAGGCTTGATAGCCAGGTTGTGCTCGACTTGAAAAATGGCAGTCGGAAAAACAACTGTTCGATTTAGTCTGTTCACCAAAAGCCAAACCTTAGCGTCAATTTTTGGCGCCTCACAAGGGGACCTCTTTAGTGCACGGTTGTAATTTGATTAAACTGTTCCAGGGCTTCTTGAACTCAAAAAAAGCTATCATTGTCAGAAGAGAAATCGGCTTTTTTTTGGCAGCAGAGAAAAATCTCCAGTTCATCTGAGACTTCAGAAGCGTGCTGAAGAATACTGGCAGCTTTTTCTAGCCAAGAAAATATTCGCGGTAACAAAGGCATACTCGACTAGATCAGAATCCCCATGCATTTCAAAAACAAGCTTCAAGTATAGTAACCTGTTGGGGAGCGGTGGTCGGCCACTGGTGGTTGTGGTGCTCGGGCCGAAACTTGCCGGATGGTGCGAGTGAGAGTACGGATTGTGCCCCTGAAAGTAGGTTTTTCACAATTTCAGAGTTTTCAAATTTTCAACCCGGAATAAGAAGAATATTTGTTTTAAATTATGGAGTGAGGAAAACGCTATCAAGTTGGAATTCTGATGAAAAGGGTTATTAACTTTCAGTAATCTACTGGAAATGGCTGAACTCCATATTGCTGAAAAAATAAGTTTCAACTTCAGCTTTCGGTTTCAGTTGCGATGTCAAAGCTCGTGTCAACTAATGAATAAAGATAAAAATCACTAACGCCTTTTTTTAAAACTATTTAGCTCCAGATTTTCAAAAGTTTCCGATTTTGCTTATACCAGAAACCAAAAGACTTTAAGGGCCTTTCTAGAATTTCATCACATTTCCCAAAAAAACTGTCAAATAATTTCTTTGCGAGAAAATAATTTAGCTTTCTTCTGACGGGAAATTACGATAAGAAAGGAAAAAAATACTAATGGAAAAGAAAAATTAGAGGATTTGGCGAGGTTTAAGGATTTTCATTTCACTGAAAACTTAGAAATTTCTTTTTTTCTAGAACCAGGAAGCTCTGAAGAAATTTTTATTGAATTTTCGCCGAATTCTTCTCTCCTGGTAAGTTTTTTTCTTTTTTTCTCCAATTTCTGGTACCAAAAAAGAATATCCGATAAGTCCCAAGCACGGCGTTTAACTTATTTTTTTACATATAACAAAAAAATAAAATTTAAAAAAATCTTTTTCTGACTTTCCCTCAATAGAACTTTTTTTCAGTTTAATGATAAAACGCACCTTTCGGTCTCACCTGAGCTACAGGCGAAGTTCCACTCGTCGGAGGCTTCCCTTCGCCGACCATGCCTTGTACCCAATCCGGATACTTGTAAAGGCAACATGAACGAATTTTCTTAGGCAAGGCAGGTGGTTCCTCGCTAAAATTTCAGTGGTTTCATTAGAAATTTCCTGAATTTTCGTTTTTTTTTTCGTTGCTTATGGCTTTTTCCGAACTTTACTCGACAAAAAAAAGGCTTTTATCAAGGCTTTTCCCAATTTGCACGCCATGATTCACTTATTTTTCATTTGAATTCTTTGTTCGTTTTGTAAATATCGTCAAATAATTACAAGACTTTCAATGTTATCAAATTTTTCGAAGCCACACTCCTCCAAAGCAAAAACGACATACAAAAAATTTGAGAAAACGTGTTTATTGCCAGAAAACAGGTGCATGAATTCACATCAAAATGACCCCATGGGAACAATATGTAGAATGGTATCCCAGTCAAGAAAATTACAGAGGATCTTAAAAAAAAACAGTTGTACATTGGTTCAATGAAAAACTCTATGAGAAAGAAGTTGACCAGCGTCGATAGGTAATGAAGAAGGTGAATAAATTATCTTGTCAGATTTTCTTGGAAAGATGTATGTAATTGGACCGAATGAGAAAGTGAGAATGGAGAATAGTGAAGGAATTGTCGACCGGAAATTGCATATTAAGCCGATTTCAGAGCGTGCAGTGCTTTTTTCAGCGTCACTCGTTAGCTTGCGTGAATTTTCGACGAATGCGGCTCTTGGTGGTATTGGTAGGATTGGCTATCCCTGCAACGGTAGCGCGTGGATGTGCAAAAACCGATTTTGAGTTGGTTTTCTATTCATTTTTTCAGTAAATCACAAAAAAAAAAGCTAAACATTTTCGAATATACACAACCTTGTGAAAAGATACGAAAACACGCTTTTTGACCACAACGTTCTTGTAAAGGGTTTGATCTTTCTGAATTCTTCTGGAGTGGTGGTGGCTACTATTTTTAAACTTGTGGTGTAATTTCAGCTTGCAGAAAAAAAAAACTTGAAAGAGTTTCAGGATGATTGAACTTTATACAAGGAAGCAATGAACAAAACCTTTTTTTTCGTATCTTTTCTGACGGCACTGTATAATCGAAAAAAATGATTATCGAAAAAAATTATGTTCACTTCAAAAATATTGAGTAATTTGATCCAGATGTGAAACAGCAAAACAGTTTTTTTGTGACAAAAATTTCTTCAAAAAGTTATTTTTCTTCCTATGTCCAAATTAGTGACGGAAAAACCAACAAAAGGCAATTGAAAAATTAAGAATTTAAAATTCGATGATACGCATTGCTGAAGCTTCACACAGAAAAAACCACACTTTTTCTTACATTTTTGGAGCCGGCCGTTGTAGGAAAGCGCTGAGTAGATCTATCGGGAAGGGGAAAATGATTGTGGAGTTTTTCTCAGCTCTGAAAGAAGTCCATCAGTTTTAAATAAAACCAAACAAAGGTGGAAAACTCACGAGATGCTATTCAGAGTTTGAAGATAACGAAGTTGTAGTGCTGAGGGGCTTTCCGCAATAACTTCCGCAGCCTCTTTCAGCGCTCTCGACGCTTTTTGCTCTCCTTCAGCAACAATAACCTGAGAGAAGGATGAGCATCTTCTTTGAAAAGTGGTTGGAGAACCTTAGCACGAGCTTCACGAGCTGCTTCAGCTTCAGCGGCCATGGCACGTTGGAGTTGAACTGGCAGTCGGACATCCTTTACTTCTACCCGTTCGACTTTCACTCCCCAAGGCTCAGTAGCTTCATCTAACGTGTTCTGAAATCACTCTCGGTTGGAAAGAACTCAAGAGAAGATTTGAAATAAAACTCTGTTCTAATGTAAAATCAAAACTTCTGTTGCCACGGCATTTTTGAGCTAACGTCGAAAAATCCGCCCTACCTGCATCTGATGAGAAATGGCTTCACGGTCAGAGAGCATCTCAGCCAGCGTTTTTGTACCCAAAATGTTACGAAGAGTAGTTTGAGCAAGCAATTTGGTCGATCGGGCAGCATCTTCAACGTTGGTTACCTGAATAAAGGAATATTTTAACCTTGAATTCAATTTCAACCAACCGAAATGGTAGCGTTTGAAATTCGAAAATAAACTACGGCGTCAACAGCCACTGTCACTGAATCTTTGGAGAGAATCTGGAAAAAAAAATAGTGTATGAAATTCTGGGAAAAATGAACCTCTTGTGGCGGGACTTCAAACGAAAGCACACGTAAATCAACTTTGCGATATGTGTCGATACATGGCACAATGAAAAAAATACCTGAAAAATGCTATTTTTTTCGATTTTTTCTAAGTGACCGCGGTCGTAAATGGAACGGCTAAAAGTCTATTTGCTGTTTCAATCAAATCATATTAACTGAGGTTCAAACAATTTATAAAATATATATTCAGGTCCTTGTTTCAAATAAATTTTTGGTACCTAGTCAAAAAAAGCTGTTCAACAGTTTCGAGTTTCAGAGAAAATTGAAGTTTACAGCTATTAGAATTCAGAAAATCATTTTGGAAAGAGCAAAGGAAATTAAGATGATTATAACCTGGGCCTTTAGCTCCGCCAGGCATAAGACGACCGAGCCGAAAAATGACTGCCCTTTCGTATTCTTGGACCACCTGAGCGTTTGGAAGGTGAAAAGGTTGAAAATTGAGTTTTTAACCAACCTTGATGCACATGCATGCTGAAATAGGCAGGGTCACAATGATCAGGAGATACGAAAGGATCGTTAGTATCCATCCGCACACGCCAAATTCATTTTGTATGTTTGCTGAAAGACAAAACTCATGATCTTTAAAAAAAACGTATGACTCTGTAAAAGCAACCCAGGTGCGTGAATTCTCCGTTTCAAACTTTCTATCAGTGCCTGAGAAGAGCCTACCTGGAACCAAGTCAAAGTGATCCTTTTTTGGAGGGCTGGCCGATGTAATGGAGCCGACCTCGCGCGGTTTATTCATTTAGAAAGTGGAAGCAGATTGAGAAGCGGGAGCTCGAAAACGAGCAAATGCGGGCACACGTCGCTGCGAAGCTCGTGGTGACAGTGATATCAAATGTCTTGTAGCAGGTCGGAGCGCCGGTTTCAACTCAACTCGGCCTCACGCAAAATCGCAGAACTGTGACATCTCCTGGAGAAGTTGTGCGACAAAGTTAACAAGTGAGACGTGAGTGAGGAGTTCAGAATAGGAAATTTATCATGGAATTTCGATTTGCTCCAATTTGTCATTAATGATATAACTCTTCAATATTCTTGGTAAAGGAAAATTCTTCAACTTTGCATGAGAAAAGTCGCATCGGAGATTTAAAAATGAAAGAGTTTTTTTCATAACCTTCCAATATTTTCAAAGATGATATATCTAAAACCGAAGTTCTCTTGCTATAACCTTCAGCTCAAAATGAATCTCCAAAACATCTATAGGAGGAAAGTTTCCAAAGAGAAAAATTACAAATAAGGCTTGGGCGTGGTTTCTTAACCGTTTTTTTATTATTGATTTAGAAATTTATCAAAAAAAGTTCGAAAAAGTTTGAAAATCAATAAGGAAAAATGGTCCGAGCTTTAGGGTCCTCTACTGAATTCAATTCTTTCTCGGCCTTCTATATAATACTTCCTTTTTCTTTTTGAACTGCCATTTTTTTTCTGGAAGGAGCTTGAATGGATTCACGTGACAAAGCCAGCATTATCCCACAAAAACAGCTTTTATTTCCGACCCGAGTTTTTCGCCACTTCTAAGGGGGGGTAGTAGTAAGTATGAAAACTCCAGGAACAAATTATTCGACTGGACCGTTGCTTGTGAGGGTCCTTATTAGAGCAAAACAAGAAAAACATTTCAAAAATGATCTGATGTAACTTCGATCAAGAACGGCTGAAAACTTTAGCGAAATTCTTTTGGCTCACTGATGGAGGTTCTGGGAGACTGTTCAGATTCCAGGACCTCCATTTTGTAGATCAAAAACGCTTTTCAACCAAAGATCAAAAATATAGTTCATATTTTAGTTGGATTGCTAAGATTTGTTGAAGATCAGAGAGTGAGAAAGAACAAGAAAACAGAAAAAAGCGTCATCCTGAGATCAAATAAACGTTTGAGAGACCACAGTGGGAGCTCGGGTCGACCTCGATAAATAAGAAGATTCACACAGATTTGGACTCGTTTGCGACAAGTTTGTTGGGACACCGACAAAGCGGTTCAAATGGAGCTCCACGGACCTTTTCAATACGTAATTGATGGAAACGCAGTGCACATGGCGTGGCCCTGCGCAGAAAAGGATGGCAAGCAAAAGAGCGGAGCCGTGCTAAAACGGAAGAATTGAGGAAACAAGCTGGAATGAGAACTCTCGGGATGGGCCTCGGAAACCCAGAAAAAAAGGCAGAGGACGTCATGTCTTGCGTGTCTTATTGCTATTGAAATGTCGTTTTGGTTTAGTTCAACTGCTGTTCATTGACTAATGTGGCTCATGTCTAGCGTGAAACTGAGCCGATGAGAAAAGCCCAACAGTTGCGGGTTTAATCTGAACGTGGAAAAGTTTCAGATACCATGTCTCAAATAGTCTTGCTCCTTCAAACTTCGAAAGCTTCTGGAAATCGGCCAAACCTATTTTTGTTGTACCAGACATATTTATTAGGAGTTTGAACCTGTCCAGTTTTTAGTTTTGATAACATAAACCTTAACCTCAGAAAAACTGAAGAACAAGAGGTTATTTTCTGAAACTGAGATGTGCAGGTTAAACTTATCCTACTGATTAATGATCTTCAGACAATTTTTATTTCCCAATTGTCTTGAGAAGATTTTAAACTTTTAGGTTTTATCAAATTCTCAATGCGGGAAAAAAATTGAGCTTAGTCAGTCAGAGTGGTGAAGCTGTTCATAACATGATCGATAATTTATTTAGTTATAAATTTTTTTATTTTTTTCCAATTTTTTTGTCAGTTTCCTAAGGTTTCCCTGTCTGTTTTGAATACTCTTGAAATTTTTGGGAAAAAAATAACTTACCTAAAGTTTTTAAAAAAACTCAAAGAATTGTTTTGAATGACCGAGAATCAGTTATAAACTCTTCAAAAAAATTTTTTTCACTGATTTTTGAAACTTTTCCTGACTTTTCCGGTCTTGGATCTCGCTAAAGTTTTATTATTGGGAATTTCTAAACTTTTTTTGTAATGAGAGTAACTTTGTTCATTAATAAAAAAACTAGTTTAATACTCAAAACGCAAAGGAAGAAAGAAAAAAAGAAAGAAAAAATTAAAAGCAAAGGCAGCTTGGCATTATCGGCCAAGACAATCTGAAGCTAAATAGGTTTGGCCGACGAATCTGTGGGGCTAAGAAATGTCGTCGCGACTGGCGCATTTTGGGTAGAAGAGCTCTATCTACGAAAGCAGAGGTCGTCTGAGACAGGCGATGCGGAAAAAACTCTATTAATCCTGGGCCGATCTTCAGTGACACGATGACGCCCAAGGCGTTGCTGTTCCAAATTGAATGACTCGATCTTACTTCATCTGGGCAGTAAACAATAAATCTACTTTTTGTCACTGACAGAAGGTGGCTTGAAAACAATTTCTGTTGGAAAAAAAACCTGATTCATATAAGAAGTATGGAAAAAGGGGAAGGTATGTGAAATTTCATAGCTCAGATTTTCAACAGGGAAAAAAGAACTTTTGAGTTTTTGAGTGATATATTATGTTTGTAAAACAACAAATGTTGATTTTTTCTGAACTTCAGGAACTTTAAAATATGTAGGATTTTAAAAGGCAGGCTATGATAGTGAGAACAAAGTTTCTTTCCGTTCCAGGCACAAGTTAGTCAAGGGTTTCCAGAAAACTGAAGAAAAGGTTTCAAAATACAAAAAAAATGAACACCAGCAATCAATGTCGCCAAGTGAATCAAAGCTTGCAAAAATCGAGCCATGTTTTTGAGCTTGCCAGGGAATCACCAAAGCGGCTCTAGAAGCGTGGGACCCGACTGAATCAACTCTGTCACTTACAAATCCTCACCTTGAGCTGACATCCCATCAGCAACATTCTTGTTTTTTCACTTTGGGAATGGATTCCCCAGCAGCCGCAGCCTTCTTACAAAGTCAGTCTCAAAACAACTTTAGTCTCACAAAAAACAATGAATTTTTTGCGGATACTGACAGCTACTAAATCTTCTTATCAAGAGAGAAACCACGAGAGAAGAAAAAAGATTGGGAAAAGCCAGTACCTTCTGAAGGAGATTCGTCAGGAGAAAATTTGAATTCACGCGGCGGTGGAACGGAAAACTTGCGAGTAGGCCCAAATTCCATTTCAAAACAGTCAAAACTTCGGCATTGACTAGTGTCGGATGTGGAATTTGCAAAAAGCCGATGTGGAAGGGGCTCCCAGTTATAAACAAATTGGCGGTCGCAGATGTTCAGGGAGCTTGATGCACAGTAAGTATGACAACTAAGACGCAGAATATGTTTCTCTCCATTGGCACGGATTCTTGGGGAGTGACTCTGTCTTCACAAGAACACCCAGAAACCTCTTGCTCCGACCTCAATATTGCTTTTTGCCAGTTAATTGTCAGTTCAAGTGTCATTTTCAAACCTAAAATGGGTACCTTTCCGTGGTCGCGCACGTCAAATTGGGCGTATTATTTGTTTTTTTTGGAGGAAATCTGGCTAAGAAGTTTTTCAAAGAAACCAAAAAATCTTTCGTAGCTCGAGGCTTTTCAAAACGTCAAAAACGAGAAGATCCGCTTTTATTTTGATGAGTTGAAGGTCCAAACAGCTCTGATTGAAAATAAAACTTTCTTTCTGTTTTCAAGGGGCCTATGGATGAACACCAGAGTGGACCCTCTTTGGAGAACCCTCTAGGAACCACTTTATCACCCCTATAGGGGCCACTAAAGTTTGCATAAGGGTCCCTATAGGTGCTCTAGTCAGTGACTTCTATAAGAGTTTTTTAAATGCAACTTAAATCCCTCTATGAGGTCCGCTTAAGTTTTAGGGGCTAAGGGGTCAGACCCAAAACTTCTATAGGGACCACTCATTCGGCCCCTAGAGGGATTGTTTCCTTCTCTATCCCTTATAGAGAATACTCAGGATTTCCTAAGATCATGAAGGCAGAAAAGCATATAATCGCACAAGAAAAATAAAACTTATTGTAAAGTTAAAATTAATTTCAAACTTTACTTTTTGGGATTTGCTCTTTAAATTATTCTCATAGTTTTTTTCAAGACGTGTCGAAACAAGTGATTCAAGTATGAAGCTCAAAAAATCGCAGAAATTGATATCACACGTGAGAAAAGCCGAAAATCACACAAATGATCTCAAACCTGTGTCGGCATCATCCTTTTTCCCTTTTTCGGGCTTTTCATCAATTTCTTTCTTTTCTTCAAAAATTGAGTCGTCGTCACTTTTATTTGCCACGATTGACTTGGTCTGACAATTGAGTTATTTAATTTCGGAATTACGAGCAGGTTCATATCGGACTTGACTTTGAAATTAAGAACTTTTCGAATTTTAGGGGTTTCTTCAGGAAAATGGCAGATGAGTTGTCAGTAAAATGAATTAATATGAATTAGATGTCCCATTCTATTGAAAGAAAAAACCAGAGTAGGGAGTTCAAACAGATAATCTGATAGATGTACCTCTTCCATGTGTTGGAGCGTCCGCATGGCAGCGTTCTCAACCTCATCGGAAGACGTTGAAAGAAGGTCGTCATCTTTAGAAGATGAAGAAGGAAGCATAGCGCCTTCCTGCTGAATGCTTCCAAGCCGGGAGTTGTGACCACTGGTCAGACGGGTCTCGACCTTCGCCGAGCCGTTCGACGACAACGATGCGACGGAGTTCCGAGCCGACGACATCGTAGAATGGCCGTACTTTCGACCAAGTCACAAGCCGCGCAGAAGCAACATTGGTTGGGCAGATGGCGCGAAGAAAGCTTCGAAATGCATGGAATGGTCAGTCTGTCATATGACTTCTTCCTTTTCGTTTACGCAATACATGTTTAAGAGCAACTAGAACATTCCGCGCAATACTTTGCCTAAGTTTCTTGCCAGAAGAAGGCCCAGTGGCTTCTTCAACTTTGAGTTTGAGAGGGTGGCATTGGAATGAAAAAAAGTTGCATGAATATAAGAAAAGATGACTTTACTTTGCGAAGAAATGATAATTCACACATTTTCAAATATTTTTTTCACTTTTTTTCGAGCATAGAATAAGGCAGAAAAAACTCTTTTTTCGATCTAGATAAAATGAAAAAAATATTTAATGAGTTTAAAAAGAAAAATATATTGTGTTTTTTTGATAAAGTTTGGATAGTGGAAACCACGTTGAAAAAAGAAGGGTACCTTGGAAAAAAAAAAATTGATTATCTATCTCTCAAAATTTACCTAATGTTGATGTCCATTTAGATGAAAAAAGTAATCATAACATGAATTTTCAAAATTGTATGATCTTATCCTTTTCGTGAAACGTTAAAGTTCTACTAGTGAGATGAATAATCTGTGAACTTTCAATCGGAAAAGCTTCTTAGATAACTTTATTTTTTTGTTAAAAGCTTGTCAAGTTTTTTTCACTGTTTTTCCTTGGCGGAAGAATATTTTCAGTAACTAGTAGCCTAAGAAGTATCAGTGTGTTCTTGCAGGAAGATAATTGCTAGAAATACAGGAAACAATTGCGTTCGCCGCGTGCCACTTAATATTAAAAGAATGCTCGAACGCTCTTCTTGAGTTGGATTTTGTTCCGGAGATTAAAGAAAAGGAGATGTGACGAGTTTTTTTTCGTTTTAATTCTTATGAGAAGTTTTTTCCTTGTTTTCTTTCAGACAGGCGGGGAAACGAAAGTTGAACAAAAATCAAATGTGTCTGCATTTTAAAATTTGCAGTATATTATCACTAGATAATTTCCGAATTTCAAAAAACTAGAAAAAAATTTGGCGGTCTGAAAGGTCATCAAACGTTTGGGGAATGGACTATATCAGCTCACTTAAATTAAATTATTTTTTTGGATGAAATGAATATAAGCGATTTTTCTGCTTACGTGAACGTTAGTACGTAACAAAAAAAATCATCCATAAATTAGTAGTCCCGTACTTTATTTTCCGGAAGAAAAAAAAACTCATTTGCAAAAATTTCTCGAATGCTTGATGATTCTTTGATTCTTCAAAAAGTCAGGATTCGAAAATCCTTCCCCTCGTTTGCCGTCCAACCAAGATAGTATTAAACGCCGTAATAACTAAACAAAAAGTCTTTTTCTTCTCAAATTTCGTGTGCCACGCAAGGGCGCAGCCCTTTCACATAAATGAAGACTATCGCATTTTTTTGCGCCGAGTCAAATCCATGAAAACTCACTTGTTGAGATTGAATGAACAGAAAACTGGGGTTGAAAACGATTGGCTACAGAAGGTTTTGGTGAAGACATGGGTCGAGTTTGAAGGGAAATGAGAAGATTTTCAAAACTGACCCAAATCAAATAATCTTTCTTTCAACCCCCAGCCTCATTCTTTGAGACATGTCCTCAGCTCTTTAGAACAATGCTTTTCTCATATTTCCTGGTGTGAGAGTAGGATCAATAATTTTGTTCTTGCTCTTTCAATAGATGAAGCACGCATGCATCAATTGAGGGCATAGAATTGTTTATGAACCGACCTTTTTTCTTATGAAATACAACGCATCGTCACCAAGACAGCCCAAAAGGCGAAAGCCTCTTTCTTTCAAAAACCTGAGAATTCTTGAAACAATCGTGCAGAGAGCCGAGTAGTCTGAAGACATATGCCTTTACCACAATGCCCATTTATAAAAGAGAACAATGACAAGTGCCTTGGCGATTGAGTCCAAGAAAACGCAGGAAAAAAAACTAACAAGTTTATTTGACTTCAGGTTGAAGTTTTAGAAAAGCAGAAAAATTAATGACTTTCTGAGGAAATTTCTGTTTTCATGAGCTAAGAGGAGCACAAGCTGTGAAAATGAACTTAAATAATGACCTACAAAAAATTAAAGATCATAATCAAATACAGAAAGTTTTTTTAAAGTGAAATGTTTAATGAAACTTTTTTTTTGAAAATGGAAAAAAACCAACACTATGAAAAAAATTTTTAGAATAATAAATTTTTTTCGACCTTTTTTTCCTATTGGAGATGTGTTTTCTGATCTTTCGATACACCAAACTTTCTCGAAAAATAATTACAAAAAAATTTAAAGAACAATAAAAAATTACTGGGAAGAAGGAAATGATACTGATCCCAATAAGATTCAAAAAAAGGCCGATTTTCCACTTGAGAAATTTTCGTTAAAAAAAGGGGAAAAAGGTGAAAAGCCCAGAATAAAAATTCAATAAAAATTACAGTCCAAAAATGAATTGAAAAACTTCCAATGCAACGTTAATCAAGAACTAAGAATTCTAAAACTTATTTTCTTCATCTTTTTGGCAGAAATTCCACAACCAACTATTAGGGCTTTTTTTCTCACACTTTCTTGTAAGAAGTTCTGTTTTTTTTATTTTAAAATTGATCAATAAATATATATGAAATATTAAAATCGTTACGCTTGGAGTTTCTGAACTTATCAGGAGAAAAATTCAAAAGTTGGTAGCCTTTATTTGAAGTTTAATAATTTGTAAAAAAACGTTAGAATCGAAAAAAAAATCTAGGTCTGAAAATATCGAACCCACCAGAAAGGAGATCAATCCGTTGACCGTTGAACTTTCCGATGAGCTGAGCGGCTTCAAAAATACTCGGCGGCGTAGGTTTCTTGGGATGACGACGCTGTTCGATCTCCTTCATTCGCTCACGAATACTCCGTTTTCGACTCATCGAGCCCTCAGAAGCGACGTTGAGGAGGCTCGACGTGGCCGACAAGGCCGAGAATTTTCGCAGCGAACTGTTGCTGGAGCATTCGTCCAGCAAGCAGCTGCCCACGTCAAGGTTGGACTCCATTAGAACAAATAACTGATTAGACAAAGAGGAATAATTTGAACCAGGAGGTCAGGAATCCGGGGCGAGCGCAAGACAAACGCGATGAACAGAGCAGGGGGGAGGAGCTATCGGACTCCCGACCGACTATGCGACTACGGCGGTCAAGTTTTTTGGCTGCTTCGGGGTGCTTTCCGAGCAGTTATCAGACCAAAATGACATCAGCTAATTGCCAAATAAATCAATGACGCCGCTCCAATAAAGGGGCGTGTGACCAACTTGGAGTGCTATGCACAAATTAGGTATGTAAGCGTGCGAAAATGTTGGCGCCGCTAGGGACTTGTGCAATTCGCTCTCTATCTGAAAATGGGTTTTGCACCGACGTTTTCTCACGTTCTATAACTTCATTTTCATCGTAAGGATCTTTGAAGATTGTCTTTCTTTTGAACTTTTTTGATGAAAAACTATTTCGATTCGACGAAAATGGTGAAAACTTGGCGAAAGGAAATTAGAAGCTTTTTTTTCCTTTTGAAGATTTTTTTCCTTTGATCCAAAATAACTTGCTTGTGAGCTTTGTAATAAAAAATTCTTTCAACTTTTTTTGATCTGAGAGAGTCTTTTATTCGGAAAATCGCGATTTCCGTTTCTCAGTTTTACTCTCACATTATTGATCGATAATTTTTCCTGTTCAACTTTTCAAAAAACCTTCTTTTTTCAAGAATCGCTTCCAGCTGATAAGCTTTTATAAACTTTTTCTCAAAAATATCGTTAAGGAGCTTTTAAATGTTCAAATCCATCAAAACTCAACTTATCTTCTCACTTCAGTGCTAATTAATCTTAATTATTAGGGCTTTATAGAAAAAAACAATTCCACCATTTTGATGTCTTGCAGCGCAAAATTTTCATGAATTTCAAACGCGGTTCGAAATTTTTACCCATGCAAAATTCACTAATAACCATATGGCTGCAGGTTTTTGAACCTTTTTATATACTCTTTGACCATCCATCAATTTTTTAAACATATTTCAATGAAGTATCGACATTCCCATCCTCTGCAATCATTGAGCTTTGCTAATTTACGCAACCGAAAAGCTCAGATTTCAGCTAGTTAATGATCGTAGTAAGATACGTGAAGCGTCAGGTTTTCCACTAACGTGCTCTTCTCCAATTTTTCTAGACTCAAAATCAGTTGGCGATTTCCACATGTTTTCTCACAATGCAGACCCGCTGTGAGATTCGGCGCAGCGATGGATGTCTCCAATTAACCGAAACTCGAGGGCACAGACTCGGAAATCGTGACTTCCCGCCTATTACCAAGACTGAGTGACTCTCAGACTTGATTACTCAGAAAATTCAGAATTATCTCATTGTGGAGCTTAAATTGGGCATCATTTCATGGAGATCTTATGTACAGTGAGAAGCTATGATTTTTTTCTCTAAGAACTCAAAGTTGAAAAATTTTAGTTCGATTCTCAAAGGGTAAAAGACGACATATCTTCTCGTCAAACTGGGAAAATTTTTAGTGGCCACTATAGAGGTTCTCTATTTAGTGGCCACTTCAGTAGTTTTTCATCCAGTATTCCTTCCAGTGACTCTGATATTTTTAAAACGGACAGATTGGACCAGTTATGCTGATCCACTGACCCCTAAAGTGGTCACTAATTTTTAACCCTTAAGTGGCCATCAATTTGGATATTATAGTGGCCACTTAAACGTCAAACCCCTATAGTGGCCATTAAATTTTTTCCCAGAATGATACTTTTCCAAAAAAAACTAACCCAAATAAAACTCTGTCTTTGAGATTTTTGAGTTCAGAAAATTGTGTACTTCGATAAAATTTCTGAAAAGTACAAATCAAGCTTTAGGGCCATTAGGTTAAAATAAGGTTGTCATATCAAATTACATTTTTTTAAATTGCTAAAGGTCTCACTAATGAGCATTTGAAAAAAACTTGATTAAATAAATATTTATTAAAAAGACGCTCGCCCCGGAGAAAAAAAGGATTTGGAAACACAAGACAGAATAAGGTTAGGAAAAAATCAGAAAAGGTCTACAGTATCGCTACCACTATAAAATGGGATTTTCAAAACGATTCATCGAATAATTTAACTATCGGGTGAAAATTGCTATAGACAACCAAACAAGGAAAAATCTGAACCATGCTGAAGGTTCTATGGAAAATGAAAAAAACTCATTAGCGCTAAGTGTCGAGTTGTTTTTCATAACCGGTTTGAGGTAATCTATTCAGCAGAGAGAATTTCTCAGCAATATATACCGAAAAAGTCGCGAGGAAATTTGCGAGAACTTAAAACTTTTGGCTAGAGAAACTGGCAACGAGTACCTATTTTTCGGCAACAAAAGCAATAATAAAACACATTTAATCACGCGGCCGGATTACTCAGGAAGAGTGCGTCCGACTCTCCAGCCGGCCATAAATTTCGATGGCATAAATGTTCGTGCATGGCTGGAAGCACAGCTTATTCATAATGAACCATCCCATTTTGTTTGGTTTTGTTGCATAAATTTGGGTTTTGCTTTCGTGTCAAAAATCCTGAGCCGGAATTGGCATGAAGCAGTGAATTCTTTTTTTCAGAGGTTCAGAAGTAACATAGTTCGGTAGTGAAACTGAAATTTGGAAGAACTTGACCTTAATATTTGATATCAATTAATCCAATTTTCAAGGTTGTTGCAACGGCTCTAAATAGATTTTTAACTAAACGTTAAAAAGTTATATAATATGCTCCCAAAATCATTTTCCAGAAAACGAGCATCAAACGCCGCGCCCGACCAGAACCTACTTGCGTAATGAAGACATTCATAAACAGGAGATAGACGTAGATCTTTGAGAAAATTATTTAAATACCTTTTCATAGTAAATGAGCTGCAAAGTTTAAAAATGTTTAGAATTTCGCAGGTCTTGAGATGGGAACTGAAGTTCATTAAGAAAAAATTATTGCATTAAATACTTCTAAACTGGACCAAAACTGCCATAAATCCAAGTTTTTTTTTGATGAAGAGATGAAATTTAGAGTAGATAGTTATGATTTTAAGATTTTTTTAACTCTTTGAAGTTTTACTCTACTTTTACAGCTATAGAAAAATTGGAATAATTGCTAAGAAAATCCAATAAAAAATCTAACTGATTCAAGGCAGATTATAAGGATAGACTTATAAATCAACATTTTATCGATTGATTCTATTCATCTACAGTACAGTCCAATTTGATAGGAGTCTCATAAAACCCAATATTTCGAGTTGCTTCGGAACGCCAGCGTTTCTTTATGGATGGAAATCCTCAAGGGATTGATAGGTTTGGAAAAAAAGAGTGCGAATGACCCTTGAGTCAAGCCAAAAGCCAAAGTGCGTGCTGGAAAAACGAATAGTCTTTATTCAGCACCGTTGTTCGGCCTTTTTTAAGTAGAAAACCGGTAATTTTTAATTTTCAATAAACTCACGTCCTTTTGGAGCTTTTCCTTTTTTGGGGAAGTACCGGATGTTCTCGGTTCGTATGCTCGGGGCGTCAACTGTCATCGCAAGTCTTGCATTGATCTGATGGATTCAGAATTGTAGATGAAGCATGGTTCACGTCAAGCAAAGCAAAGCACTGGATAAAAAGCAAAAGTGACGAGAATGAAAATAAAAAAAGTAGAAAAGAAGCCAGAAAAATTCAAGCTTGCAAGCGGATGATTTAGGTAAGACAAATTTTTCAGAAAGAACAATCTGATCGAATCAGTGCAATGTGTTTTCCGTACAGCGTTCTATCTTCATCATATATCCTCGTTTTGAGAAAAGGTGTGAAGCCAGCTGTTTGAAACTTGATGCTCATAAAGTAGACAGCAGAAAACACAAGAATTTTGCGTTAACTTTCAAAGATTCCCCTGTTTACGATTTTTAGATAAAATTTACTATAATTTATTCGAAAACCAAAAAAAGATGAAAAGAGTAAATTCTTGCCGCAAAAAAGGACACGAGAAGATTCTTGTTCTTTTCCCAGCTGTTCTGACAAGTTTGAAGATTTCATTGATAGAAAAAAAATGACGAGGCCAACTTGATTTTGTGGAAGAAGTGGTTTATGATTCTCAAGAAACGGAAAAAAGAGTTATTCTGTATTTTTCAACCTTCAATGTAATCCAAAGACTTTTCAGCTCGAAAAAAATTAATTAAAAAAATGTTTGAATTGAATGAAACGAAGTTGATCAAAGGCTGTGATAAAATTCCAAATTTTATTACTTCATGTTTAAAAAGAGCTAGGCCATTTTTAGGCATCAGGCTTGAAGGAATTCAAGTTATAATAGTGAGAATATTCAGGAACTTAGGAACTCCACAGCCTTCTGCCCCTTCATTTTTTTTCTTTCCTTACCCCTTTTCCGGTAAAAAAAAAATCAATTAAAACTCTAACAGTGAAAACGATCTTCTTATGTTTCAAGCGAAACGAAAAAATTGACAAAGCAATTAAGCCACGAATAAAAGTACAACAAGACTTTTCGACGATCAGCTTACCATTCTGGCAGAAGGAGCCGCAGCTAATACAGAAAGACATAAAGAGGAATAGGGCGAAGGACATGAGAACGAGGTTCTCGGCGAGTTGAGGACGACCTCCCGAGGAATCTGGTGATGATGGCTGCCTGGAGGCCAGGGAGGTGGCGAATGCGACGTGCCCAATGTATTGGAATGATCGCCCATCGGAATTTCTCGGGTCCGGCAGTGCAAATACGGATGGAAGGTTGGTTTTTGGGAATTCCAAGTCTGGCGAGAAGAAAAGAATTGACACGGCTCCTCATGCCGACTTTTCGCCTCCTGGGACCGTCCACGAGCCGCGTTTCGCGTCAAAAAACGTGCATCGTGGTCTTCTATCTAACAACTCGCCGGTAATGTTGTTTCTAACACAACGATGCTTCACAGGACACAGAAGGCCATAGGAACGTTTCTGATAATTGCCGAAAATTTAAGTGAATCCACCGTTTCTCCATAGTAACAACACCGAATTTGTTGAAAAATAATAGAAGACAAATATGAAAAACTTGTTACGTATTTAAAAAAAATCCGAAAAATCGAGGAAAAAAAATTAATCTAGCAAATCTCATTCACCTTAGTTATTGATTTTCCGAACCGATTTTGTAATTTTTCAATAGTCAAAACAATCAAACTTCAGGTCGAAAAACTTTTAGCTGTTTTGAAGGATTTTTTTGGCCATCGGGATTATATTGCAACTTGTTTCATCGCGTAAAAACTCAAGAAAAAAATAATAAACTTGAGAAAAAATCTAGAAGGAAAAACAAACGGGCGTTAACGTCAAGTTTCCTTGATTTATTTCAAACAGCTTCCAAAAAGTTAGTTTTCAAAACTTATACAAGAAGAATTCCCAAAGTTGATTATGGACTCACAAGCGTAGCGGATTTGGAAGCGCGGAACCAAAATTTTTTTCCGAACAATCGCAAATTGAGTTAATTGTGCTTCATTTGCGTTGGAAAAAGTGAAAAATAAGATGGAAGAGAAAAAGTGAAGTGAGGTAAAGCGAAGATAAGAAGATCAAAAAGAGCTTCCTTGAGAAAAGACGGAAAACACTGATGAGCGAGATAGGAATAAGTATACCTACGGCCTACAAACAAAACTCCGACTCGTTTATTCCATAATCAAATTCAGTAAGCTTATTATTTCTAAAGGTACCTTCATGTTCGATATTGCACAAACCACAAGTTCCCCCAAAGCATTCATTTTTTTATGAATTTGATGTTTGGCTCCGGAAAGAGAACAAAGAAAAAAAGATTTGGGCACATTTCGAGAGAAATCCCTATAGCTTGATGTGATGAGAGAAATTATTCAAATCTTTCTTTTCGAATTAAAATGCAAATAAACAGAAACTTCCGGATTTCTTCCGATAAAAGTGAAAGGAATTTTATATCAATCAAAACGGGAAAAAGTGCAATAATTCGATCCAGTTGGACAGGAACAAGAAGTCAAGTACAAACAGATGGAGTTAGAGAAAATCGTTAAACATTTCCGAACATCTGGATGTTGTTAACGACTCAAATTTATCTCCTTTTATTTGAAGCCGAGTATTCTTGGAAGTTTCTTTTTTTCTGATTTTGTTAGGAAGTTATTGTTGAACGAGAAAAATTGTAGTGAAAGATATGAAAAAGGAGAAAGGTAATCGAAAGAGTTCGACTTGAGATTTCTTGTTGAAAATCTGAAAAAACGGGTTCTGCATCAAATGCGTATTTGAGGAATGTACTGAAAATACATTTTAAGCAAAATTTTGCGCATTATTCAGCTTATCTTGGGAAGATCCCTCTTAAAAATGAGATCAAACCAGCCGTGAATAGACTAAAAAAATTTTTCTAAAAACTCTGAAATCATGTGCTGTAATCCTATGAGAAAAATTTCAATCAAAGAGAAAAACTATCATTTAAAAAGAAGATAAGTTGAAAGTGCTCATAGTTTAACAAAAAAACGAGTCTAGGTGTTCATTTAATTAAAAGTTTCGACATTATGAATCCCATCATCAAAGCTTATCAGTTCGAGAGGAAACTTTTGAGCGGTTAAAAATTCTGCCAGTATCACAGAATCCCATCTAAAAACTCCAAAAGGTGTCTTATCAAGCTCAGAAAAATAAAATAGGAAGACGAGTGCAAAAACTTTGAAAATATGGAAATGCGAAGAAGTTGAGAGTAGAAAGCCGGAAAACTTTGAAAAGAACGGTTAATCAAGCGGCTCTCAGCACAAAGCGCAGCTTGCAGTTGAGCCTGGCCTCTTCTTTCACTCCCGACGCGAACAGCAAATTGAATAACGTTGGAGGATGAGAAAACATTTTTTGTGCTGGTTCATCTTTCTTACTATATCCGAAAACTTTGTTTCCAATCCGATCAAAGGGTCCAATCAAGAGCTTTTGCTTTTTTTTCCGTGTCATGTCTTTGGAAAATTGGAAGAATGTGGAAGAACACCCATCTTCGTGGATACTGTATCTAACAAAACTAAAAAAAGCTTTTTTTAATTATTATTAAAAAAATGAAAAAAACATGGGACTTAATTTATTTTTTTTGTGGATTAGAATTTCTTCCTCATAAGATAAAAAAAGGATAATTTTTCTCTCACTGATTTTCTGGTTAATTATTTTTCTCGGTTGATTCATGAAGCACAGAAAAAGTTCAAACGACCTCAAAAAGGCCCAAAAAAGTCTAAAGCTCCTTTTTGAGCTCCTAAAATGGTGTCAAAAGTTTTTCGAAATCTTCTTACTTTCCCTTCACAACATTCTTTTTTTCTCCTTAGGAAGTCCTCATCGAATGAAGGTCTAGAAAAAAGGCGTCTTCAAACACATTCACAGGCTTCTTTTTTCATGATCTTTTATTGTAGAGGTCCTTTCAAAGAACTGAAAAAGAAAAAAGCTAAAAAAAGGTGAAAAAGAAGCTCCGAGAAACATTTGACACCTTTTTAGGAACTCGAAAAAGGATCTTTAGACTCTTCTTCTTTTTGTGAGGCCTTTTGGACTTTTCCCGTGAGTTTCCAAAGCGCTATCACTCAACAAAGAAAATCAAATTTCTCAGTGATCTGTGATCAGCAAACCTCGGGGTTAAGTATTGAAAATAATTGATCAATAGACTTCACTTCTAAGAGAAAAATACTTTGAAATAAGTATCAAAAAGATATAGAGCTCAAGTGCAAAACCGATCGAAGAGAGTAAAGTGGTTGAACAAAAGGGCAGGCCACGAAAAAATGAGGAAAACCGCCGGAACCGTCAGCCACACAATTTTCTTCCGGAGTGCACTTGTGCATAGGTGAGCGGCTCGGCAGGCGCCTTTTTCGACACTTCTCGTCCCAAAAGGGCTCGAGATTCTTCGAGACGAGGATTGTTCTCCTTTCAAATAAGGTTATGGCGGTGTGGATAGAGTGTCCGATTCACAATTAATTCTGCCTCAAACAAACAATCGTGTTTCCGATATCGCTTGGGTTTCTAGGCTTTCATCCTTCCTGGGTTTGGAAATAATTTTATCCGAGTCTCGTTCTCATAAACCTCAACAAAAAAAAATTAGAAATGCTCCAGATTGACAGTTTTGAAGAAGTTGTTTTTTCAGAAGTTTCCTTTTTGTAAACGAAGAACAAATTTGACGTTGAGACATAAATTTCTGGCAAAAACGAGAAAATTAGTGTGCGGAAAAAAGTTATCTTATACTTCAGTACTTCAGAGTGGTCTCTATAGGGGCGATTAGTGGCCTTTTCTAGGGTCCACTCTAGGGACCGCTCTAACAAACCCTATAGGTTCCACTAAATCTTGCAAAAGCGGCCCCTATAGGGGTTTTAGTTAGTGGCCTCTACAGGGAACATTCTAGTCGCTAACTTTTATGAACTCTAAGCGAAGAAGCGTTTCCATGGAAAAAACTGAAATAAGCGTTTTTTGAATAAAAAGGAGAGACTTCTATAGGGTACACTTGAGCTTTAAGTGATAAGGGGACAGGTACTAAAGCCCTATAGGGACCCCTCTGATACTTCTAATTACACCAAAGGGCGGTTCTACCGATCCAAGTAATGTTTCATTATGAAGAGCATTTTTGGACCAGAAAAAAGCGCTAAATTTTTTTCCTCTAGCTGAAAAAAAACGCAAACTTTTCATGAATAAAAGGAATTTTTCAAAAACGACTCATTTGTCAGAAAATCGAATATCCTTGCTTTTTGCCAGAAAAATTTGAAGAAATGATAGTTTCATAATCATCGACAAGAAAAGAAGAAGAAAACATAATCCAACAAACCTTTCGGAAAAACAATGTGCATGGACTTTGGCTCGCGTCCAGAAGTTTGACTCATGGCGTACGGAAGTCGTAACATCAAATCGTCCATTGTTTGAAACGCTAACTGGGCAGTTTCAAGCTATTAAGACCAATAACCCGCGTGGAAGTGAGCGTTTGACGACAGAAACAATGGAGAAACAAGTTCTTACTCTTTTTCGTGTGCATTCATAAGCAAGGTAATTCACTTAAAGGGCAACTTGAGGTCATGAATGAGAGAGTTGAGAAAAGAAAAGAACTTTTTTTTGAAATTCAGTACATGAACCTTTCAAAAAACTTTAAGTTCATCTTTAAATTACTACAAAATTGGTCAGAAATGATCTCAAAGTGCCAAATAAAGATCGTGTTCCCAAGAAAAATGAGATCGGCGCTTTTTGGGCTATTTCTTTGACCGTTTTTTAAGCAGAAGGAATAATCGACGAATATTTTTCAGAAGGATTTAAGCTAAACCTTTCAAAAAAAAGCAATGAATTAAAAGAAGAAAACTTGAATAAAATTCAGAAAAAGTGAGAACGGGAACATTTCTCCTTTTGCGACGTTTCAAATGTGCCACGCTAGTTTAATTTGCACTAGCCCTTGAATTTCTAGTGGTTCCTCACTTGTTGCGATTTCGTCCTCTTGTTTAATTATAAGCATGACAAGTTGAGACTTAACTTTTTTTAGTATAAAAAAACATTTTGTAACATATTGCGTGTGGAACGTTCTTCTTGAGGGTTTGAAACAGTTCTTCCTTGAAAAAGTCCTGATTTTATATCCTCGGGCAAATGATGGATAATGGCTGCTGAAAGGGAGAGGCTCAAAAAAGGTCGCAGAAAGGTAGCAAAAAGGGTACCTTTATCGAGCATTCTGTTTTTTTCTGGGACTTCCAAGGCTCAAGAAAAGGTGGAAAAAGGGAGAGGCAGCAAAAATGGTGCATAATAGCCGGAAAAGGGCACCAAAAAGGAGCCATTTTCACCCTAAAAGGAACATTTCTACGAAGCCTTTTCGACCCTTTCCGATTTTGCCTATGTTTTGGAAGTCATAATAATACATAAAATTACAGTTTCGCGTGATTATGAAATTCTAAGTAATGTACATTCCCCGCTGATTTTTTTGGGCTAATGAAATTATTATCAAAGTTTTCTGGAATTATTCAGGAACCAATAGTGAATGAACCATACTTGGATGTCGCGCACTTGGGTTACTTTTACCAGATTGAAACTTGAAAGATATTCAAACCTCCAAAAACCTCGTTGCCATTCTGGATAGCGTATGTTTTCGCCGTGTACTTGTTGAGGTCGCCGCCTTTGAACTCACTCACCGACTTATTCTCCCTGGTCCGCTTCTTCGTCATGAAAACCTGTAAATCATTCATTATGAATTCCAAATCCAAGATCTGTTAATTTTAGAAGAGCCAACAACTGTCATTTTTTAAAAAACCGTTGGGGTTTTGGATTCTTGGTATCCAGGACAGGACACGGCCTCCAACCCGTGCTGCTCCTGAAACATTCGCAGACGGAAAGATTCATGGGCGGATTTGAATTGCCGCGCAGCACGAAGAGCTGTCCTGGGAGTTTCTTCGATTGCTGGCTCGCCAGCGCTGGTTGTTTTTTTCTCCGAACTAGAACTGAAATTGAAAAGATTTTTTCATTTTTTTGACATCGGTGATGGTAACACGTGAAAAGAAAGAGAAATAAAATATTTTTGTGTTTTGTTTTTTGAAAATTTCAAACGGACTATTAATCTTGGAAATAGGGAAAAAACCTCTCTAGGGGCCAAAAAATGGTCCATATAGAAGTCAAATTAAGGTGGCCCTCAAAGGGGTTTTGGGTCTGACATTTAACCCCTTAAAGCTTTAGTGGACCTTATAGCGGTCTCTCAATTTCATTCAAAACATGCTTATTTGTTCAGTTTTTCTCATGACAATTCTTCTTCGGTTAAGGTTCATAACAATTATTGACGTGCAGGTCCCCTACAAAGTGACAACCTCAACCCTAGCATCTTGAAAAACTCACCGAGAAAGAGTTTTCTTGAACGATTCGCGCTCAACGGCAAGTTTTGTAGGAGTGCCCGGCGGCGTAGTGCTGCGCGAGGACAATTTTTTCATCTTGACGCTACAAAATAGGTTTTTGATGTGCTGGAAGAGTCGGATAGTGCAAACTCGAGGGTGGCAAGTGGTTCCAATCGGCCTGCTGCCGCTGGAGAAGTGGGCACAGAAGACGGCTTTAGCATGTGCTTATCTGTCTTAACACCTTCATCTTCGATCTCTGTCTTTTTTTTACTAAGCTTAATCTCCGTTTGTAATTTCCTAGAAGGGGGGACTATGAATCAGAAATTTTATTTTTTTTTGGAGAAAAAAAAGGTTTTTCGTTCAAACCTTGTCTTTTGATTTGAAAGAAACCCAAGAGGAGCTGTCTCCGGCGGCCGTCCAAGACATTAAAACTCACGAATTCTCGTCACAACTCTAAATGTCGGGGATGTACATTGCCAGTCGAGTGAAGCATCGAGCGAGAGAGAAAAAAGATTTCTGGAGGTTTCTATTCGTAATGCGGATTAAGAACGGCTTCCGTTGGTTGATAATTGCTTCTGATTTGGAGGATAGAGAACAAATTGAAATAGGCGGCATTTTTTTTGCGGATTCACGTCAGGAAAAAAAATTGTAAGAAAAGAAAGGAGTGGGAGAAAACTTTACTCTAAGCGTCTTGTCCGCTTTGTATGAGGACAGATATCGACAAAAAAGCTAAAAAGCCAGTGTGTGATAAGGATTATCTTGTCGCGTGAGCTAGATATTGCTTTGAGGTAGATGAGGCGGGGTATCCGCAGAATCAGGACATCGCTCTTTGCTTTTTTTTCTTGCCGACGACCGTAGTCCGCGTTGGACCAGGTTATCGATAGATAAAGAATCGCGCATAAAAACTTGAAGAAAATCACAAAACGTTATTGACAATTGTTGGCTCTTCCCTTTCTCTCACAGCTGAATAAATTAAGAAAGTTTGAAAAATTTTAAATCTTACCGTTTCAGCTGAAAAACTATCAATTGTGTACAAAAAAGCATCATTCTGGTGGAAGCCTACCGGTTCGAATCCGGAGCCATGTTGCTCCTGAAGCATGCGGAGCCGGAAGGAAGCATGACCGTTGCGGAAGCGACTCTTGTGAGGTTGAACTGGAGGAGGTCCGCTCATCTCGTCTTCTCCGGCAAGAGCAGCGATCTCAAATAAATTAATAGGTACAAAAAGTCTTCGAGAGGCGATAGAAAACAGGATTAAGCAGAGCAATGTGTTTATGGACAATATGCCTTGCATTCGGTCGTGTTGGAATGCGTCAGCTATTGAGAGGAACACATCAGATGCTTCTCAGAAAAATTGGGATAAGAGCTTCGATCTTTTATGTCCCACTCATCCGTTTTTGAATATGAATTGAAGGTTTATTACTCTCGGGATCATGGGAAAAATTGAAAGAGAAGCAGAAGGAGAACCTTGCGGCCAGGTTTTCGAGGAGTTGTCTTAGCTTCTTCTTCGTTGGTGATGCTTAACTTTCTCACTTGTAGGTGTGAGGGCGAGCTGGGCGGAGAAGTCATTCGATCTTAATCTGCTCGGCTTGAAAGTAACAGAATGTCATATAAAAAGTACAAAAAGCAAGCTCAATGAGAAAATCTATTTTGAAAAACGAGTCCAATGGGAAGTCAAAAAGTTGAAAATTAAACGGAAAAATCATTCAGAATAAAACTATAAAGGAAAAAGAGAAGGAATGGAAGGAAGGCCAGGAAAATGATATCTCGCCCTAACTACAGTAGTCACGCGTCTTTTCGGAAATGCTAATTGATGCGGATTCAACGTTTTGGACGCGAAGACGTGAAATGCACCTTGATTTTGATTTTCGTTAGCTAGCAACAACAAAATGTCAGAGAAGGGCAAGCGAGATGTCCCTTTTTTGCTCAAAAAATTGCTGATCGATTTCAAAAAGAAAAGCTCGTAAGGCAGGATCTGGAGATTATTTCGCCGCTTTCAAAAATGCAAATGAGCGCAAAAACCTGGGCAGCGCGTATTAGTTTCGACTCGGATTTCGGCTCTTCTCTTTCTCGTCACTACAAAACTTGTAGTCAGCCTTCTCTCCCATATGCTCAAAAAGTGGACCAAAGGCGAGTATTGGGATTTCAGACAGAGTTGTTGCAAAGTGGTTCGGCATGAATGCGATGAGAAGTCTCAACAAAAAAGGATTATCTATCCCTGCCTCTTTTTATGCCCTTTTAATCAAAGCAAAGCCCATTTCGCCCGTGATGTTTTCAAGAAACCAAATTATCTTTCTATTTTTGAGTATGTTGACAAGAGTTTTTTTTTATCAATTTCCTTGACACTTGCGCTTCATCCGGTGAATCAGTTGTTTTACGTCAAAACGATGTGAATGCTTTGAGGCTTATGATTTTCCGGTCAATCAAAAAAGTCTTTATTCAAAAATGGAAAATGGTTCTATAAAAACCAGTCGAAATGGCTGGAAAAAATTTTTGAAAAGACGTCTAACGGGATTTTCGCGATTCCCATAATTAAAGACCCAAAGCAAAAAAATTTTGAACATTTTTCTTCTTTATTGTTTTATATTGTGTTTCATTGTTACTTTTCTTTAGTCCAAAACTTTTTTTAAGTTCAAAAAAATATACAGAAAAAAACAGATACGAGGAAAAAAACGAGGCTTGCGATACCGCACAGTCAGCGTACGCTTTCCGCATTCTTGGCCTCTCGTTTCAGAATTAATTGCCTGTTTCCAAAAATTTTGAAAGCACACCACGTTTAGGGTGTAGATACTTTTCAAAGAAAAAACGTTTTGAAAAACCGTTTTCAGTCGTTTTTTGAAGCAACTGAATTGCTTCAAAAAACTTAATATATCGTATGAAGAAGCTGCTGACGGCGGGTTTTCAAGGTATATAGGTTTTGAACAATTCCTTTTTCTTTAGTAAGAAAACGCAATGAGGGAATCTGTAAAAATAAACTCATCCTATTTGATTTTTGACTACGATGAATTTTCCAAGCTTTCCCAAGCGATTCAACCGTTCAGTTTAATAAAATCTGTTACTTAAAAATCAGAAAACGGATCGAACTGGACACAGGAATAATGAGCGTTTTTCCGATTTTGAAAAGCATTTAATGCGGAAATACAAATGTGACAAGCTCAGCAAATCAGTTTATCATAAATCAACCGGACACACATAAAAACTGGAAAATATATTTTTTCCTGAGTACACGTTTTGAAAATGAAAGAAATAAATATTGGGGTTTAAATGTTGAGCAAGAACAAAAAAAAATGCAAATGTGACTAGCTCAGCTTACAGTTACCAAAAAAGACAAATATAAAAGTGCCAAAATGGGGAAATGGGCTGAATTGCGAAGCTTTCTCTGAACCGTTTTGGTTTTCTGCCAAGCAGTCATTCCCTGAAAAAGAAAATCAGATTGATTATCAATTCAGTTGAAATATAATGTTGAAAAATGTTTTTTAAAACGGAAGAATCATCGATTTTTTTATAAACTACAAGGGGAATGAATAAGTTGAAAAGAAACCTTCTGATTGATCCAGTCTTTGCAACTTTTCGGCAGCTTGTCTATGACCGCAGTGTCATCCAGAAGTTGTAGCAGAGTGCTGAGGTTCATTTTATTCTATTCTTGAAGTTTTTTCCACGTACTGGGAAGACTGATGATTCAGTTTGACCAAAAATTTGGCAGCTGAAGGACCGCAATATTCGAAATTTTCCTCCATGAAGCACCTGTCATAACCATAAACGCTTCTGAAAGAGTTTCGCTTAAAAAAAGAAGAAACATAGGTATTTACTTGCACATGCTGTCCATGGATTCCGCGATTCCAGCAGTACCCGCCTGCATGAGTTTCAAAATCTCAGCTTTCAGAAAAGCGGCGAGAGTATCGCATTTTTCTGTTATCTGAATTGTTGAATTTATGAAAAAAAGAATTATTTGGAAACCTCTTCTCCGTATTCGGACCAACAAGGGGCTACAGTAGTTCGAAAATCTGAATTTCATGTTTTGATGAAGGTTTTCAAAACTCATGAAATTGAATAGATGTTGATTGTAATGTGCATCAATGAATTATACTATGTTCCTTCAAAATCAGTTTTTTTTTTTCTGAATCGATTGAAGCATCACATTGTTAGCTTTCTGCTTAGGAATTTTAGAGTGGTCCATGTAGGGTCAGGGAGAAAATAGACCGTTCATGGACTGAAAAAGTGGTCCCTGTAGGGGTAAAATGTAAAATAAAAGTGGTCCCTATAGGGGTTCGAGTATGACCCCTTAGCCTCTGAAGCTTGAGTAGTCCCTAAAAGGGTCGTACAATTTTATTCAAAAAAAGGTTATTTCTTTAGTTTTTCGCATGGAAGTGCTTCTTCAGAGTTCATAAGAATTATCGACTAGCATGTTCCCTATACGGACCACTTTTGCCAGCTTAAGTGACCCCTATAGTGGGGTGTAAAGTGGTCCCTAGATGTGAGCCTCCAAAAACCCCTAAATTGCAACTATAGGGACCACTCTGAAACCCCTGAATGTAATGGGAAAATTCCATCATGGATTAACTTTTATTGAACATTTTTCGAAGATTGATTTACTGGAAAGAAAAATATTCATGAATCAAACTTTTTATTTTCAGATAACAGGACTCATCTTCTGGATTTCAAAATTTATACATTTATGAAGTTGTTCATTCTGAGAAATTCATATTGAAATTGCGCTTCAAAAAAACTTTCAAAAAAACTTCTAGAGTTAAGTCAATTAATCTCAACTACAAGTCACCTGTCTCATTTTTGAAATCGTGGCACAAAATATGCCAAACATTCTGTCCTTTGATCAAAATCTGCTTGGCTGGAACGTTGGGACACAGCTCTAAGCAGCGCGTATATTCGTCGTTCCTTCTGGAAATAGAGTTAAATTTTCGGTCTTTTGCAGGAAGCGAAGATAAAGCAGCGGTGAATTGGTTTATAACGCGTGGGCCTTTTTTTTTTTGATCGTAGGCAATGCAAGAAGAAAATTCTGCAGAGAGGAAGCTAGTTCTTGTGATTCTTTTCTTTTTCAAGTTTTTGACTTTCAATGATAAGTCCAAGTTGACTAGCAAAGTTAAAAAATTTATCAAAAAAACTCTTCAAACTTTGAAAATTCTTTCGATTCAGCGTGAGTGATAAAATCGTCTTGGAAGCCTTGTTGAAATCTCAATCAGAGGTCCCTGTATGATTCAATGAAACATAAAACATCATTTCCAGAAAAAAAGACCAATAACGAAAAAAAAATCAGAAAAAAAAAGCTTTTTCACCTGCACGCCCTAGTAAGTCGAGCCATCATTCGGCCTTTGCCCGACCTAAAACGACTTCATTCTTTATTCGGCTTCTTCTAATGGGTTTACTTGAGCAGAGCATGTAGCGGAGTGACCATGTCCGTTGTCCACTCGTTGAAATCGCCCATGTCATCTTGCATGCCGTTCATCTGCAATTATTCATCCAAATTACTACTGCAACAGCCTCTAGGGTATTACTCACTTCTTTCAAATCTCTTTGAATTATTTTCTTTCTACTTGACTGGTTTCTCAAAACAAAAAAACGAACTTGAAAACCATTATAGTCCGATTCTAAGAAGGTCAATAATATCAGACTCTTCTCAGGAGATTCGCTCTTAAATATTTAGCCCAGCCATTTTTTCAGAGTTTAATAAACGGTCACCTACACGTTTTCTTTTTTTCCAAAGGCGAAGACCTAAGAAAATGTGGAAAAAGGTCTTCATTTTCAAAAAAATAAGCTAATTCAAAAAAATCCGTAATCTCAAGTCTATGTGAGGAGTGTCAGTTAAACGTTTCTTCCTTGTGATATAATCTTCGTTTACAACAGTGTCATTGAAAAACTTCAAAAAGTGAACATTTTTTCATTTTAAGAAGTCTGAGCTCTAAGAAAAAACTCACATAGTTGTCCTTACACTTCAAAAAACAAGGTTGAGGTAGATGAAGGGCACTTGTTGAGGACCAAACCAAAAGAGATAAAACATACTGAAGAGATGACATTCCAATTCCTGAAAAAAATCAAGGTTCTTAAAAAACGAGAAGTTTTGTTGAAGGTTCGAAAAAGTTGTGAAAGCTGGCGAAATTGAATCTAATGCTCAGGGGGACAATTAGCGGCAAGAGCGGCCGAGGACGGGTCAAGAGAGTGAGTGTGAACGAAAGTTTGGTAGAAAGGGCGGTCACAGCGTCTTGCCTTTAGACTCGCGCAGAAGAAGCTTCCAAAAAAATGGAAAAAAAGTAGGACTTCGAAAGCGTTTTTTTAGGCTAAAAACTTATTTTAGTGATAGAACGGACGTTATTTACGCTTACAAGGGAGATGATTTTGAAGCTTAATTTAAGATCATCTATAAAATTGTTCGGACTTTTGAAAATCAGGATGAAATTATATCTTAAAAACCGCACAAATCTCACAAGGGAAGTGGGGCTTAGGAATTCCAGAGTGGTCCCTATAAGGGTTAGGGGAGGAAAAAACCCCTATAGGGGCTTGGAGTCTGACCCCTAACCCTCTGAAGCTCAAGTGGTTCCTATAAGGGTCTTACTTTATTAATTCAGTTTATCGCCGGAAAAAGCTTTTCCGGTTAGAGTCCAGAATTATTATTGGCTAGCATGTCCCCTATAAAGTCATTAACTAAAGCCCCTATAGTAACCACTGTTGCAAGCTTTAGTGGCCACTATAGGGGTTGGTAAAGTGGAGCCCTTAAGATTACCACTATAGAGATCACTCTGAATTTTACATTCATTTTTCAAGGTTATTAGATCTTAGCGGTCACCTTATTCACCTTATCTGCTTAACGATTTTGAGACCGACATACTTATTTATACTAACCCAACTATTTCAACTACCTTCTTTAAAAGTTTAACTTCCAGTCTCAAAACGAGGAGCGAAATTTTCCGGTCAGAAAATTTCAGATCTTCGAAGCGTACACCAGGCAACTGACTAACGCATAAAAAACAAAAAGCAAAGAAGAAGTTCAGATGAAATGTGGAGTACCGTTTGAGGAGATGCAATACGCTCGGTCATAAATATAAAGACGCATCTCCCTGAAGATGCAGCTTTCTGGAAGAGAACACGCTCCCTGATGCAAAATTAGGCAGCCTGAGGTGACACATGTCTCCCGCGTGGACCATTTCCACGACGTGCGAATTCGACTGCCGTCCGTTTGGGTTCCAGCAGAACTTTTTTGGGTCGAGATGTAACTTTCAACAAATGGCCAGCACGTTGAAATAAGAAGCCGTGATGAGTTCTGTGATATTTGGTTCTAAAAAATGATGTAAGCTTTTGAAGGAAAATAGTTTGACGCCTAGGGGAAAATCGAGGACTTCTGTGCTTTATCAACTCCTAACAAGAAAGGTCATTTTACTTTACGGCTCCTGAAAATCGGTCAGAACACTTCTCAATATACAGGGTGAAGATTCTGAAAGTCAAAAACTGCACAACTCCCTCTTTTTTGAGTAAGGACGCCTTAAAGTCGAGGAAGATCCTCAAAATCCGTTTAGGCTGTTTTAAATCTTTGAGCCCACAATTCTCAAAAACTGGGAAGTTTTGCAGATTACGGTTTTCAGGATCTTCATTGGGTACGCCCAAAAGTGTTCTGGTCAAATTTCAAAAAACTCCCTACCGCAAAATGAAACGACCTCACAAGTCCGGAACAGGAAAATTTTTTGCTATGGGCCTTCTTTTCAAGATACGCTCTAAAAAAAATTCAGAGAAAAATCTTTCCGTCGATTCGGGAATCTTTGAAGCGTTCCAAGTCGGAAAAAAGACACGTTGCAAAAATTTTTTCCTTGTTCCGGACTCAAAAGAGTTGGACTCCAGTTAAGATTTATTGAAAGTTTAACCGACCACCAGGAATAATTAGATATTAGCTTATTCAACGAGAATCTGAATTTTCAGAGCTCTGGGTCAATTATCATTGGAGAGATAAGTGAATCAGTTTCATGACTTTAGTTTGAAATGACCAGTTTCAGAAACTGAAACATAGATTTGATTTATAACATAAATTTGATTATTGATTATTGAAAAAAATGTTCAACTCTTCGAAAAAAAAATGTTTTTTTTCTAAACTTTCTTTCTCCACTTAAGAAAGTATTTCCATCTCATAAACACTCATTTAGCACGAAATAATTAAAAAGATATAAACACATGTGCCTTCAATTTCCATGGAACCTTGCGTAATAAAGTTTACCAAACAGTGTATTTTGCGAATTTACCGGTTTTCCTATGGCAAACGGTGTAACAATCGGTCTCACTTCAGTTTGACCCCTCCTTTTGAACAGTTTATTGTTTCCTCTTTGGTTCTATTCAGTCACTTCAGCTATGTCCAGCGCCGACCTCAGCCAGGAACTCACTGAAACCACGGTCAGACTAACCAATTACAGTGATTTGAACTGCTCCATGTTGAGGTAGAAGATAAACTCCGACGCCTGGTGTCTTTCTTCAGCAGCCTGCCTTTTGACCAAATCGACATGTGAGTCTTTGGAGTCAAGAAAATCATGCTCTCATATATTTCATCCGGAAGCAAATTACAGAAAAATATTTTTATTGCAGGAGCTTTGAATTGCAACGTGACGCCGACAAGGTCGAGGCCGAGTACTTCAACGAAATGATGGCCGGGGCTGTAACCTACCATTTCAAAGTGAATAAATCACTTCAATCAAATAATCTAAGTTTCTGTTGTAGATCGAAACAGATCCCTCAACGATCGGCGGAATGGTTATTTTGAAGGACATCGCGGATTACATCCACTGCCATGAGGATTATTGAAAATGAAACTGAAATCGTGAAACTGTGAAGTTTACGTATAACTTGATATAAATAAACTTTTTGATTTTGATCCCAGATAAAACTTATATATATAGTTTATTCACTGCCATTATTTAACAGAAAAAAATAATTGAAGAATAGAAGAACAATTGAAGGAATAGGCAGAAGAATAACAATACACGGGAAAGAGTCAACCCCAACGAGTTGACGGGTACCCGGAAATATGACAAATTCAAAGGAGACGAGAGGGGATATTAGTGGGAGAGACCAAATATGAGACCATTCAAGGATACCGTTAATGCTTGATTGGAGAGATATGGGAGATTTGAAAAAAGTAACAAATACAAAGATTTGAAAAAAAGTAACAAATACAAAGATTTGAAAAAAAGTAAGAAATACAAAGATTTGAAAAAAAGTAACAAATACAAAGATTCGAAAAAAAGTAACAAATACAAAGATTTGAAAAAAAGTAACAAATACAAAGATTCGAAAAAAAGTAACAAATACAAAGATTCGAAAAAAAGTAACAAATACAAAGATTTGAAAAAAAGTAAGAAATACAAAGATTTGAAAAAAAGTAAGAAATACAAAGATTCGAAAAAAAGTAACAAATACAAAGATTCGAAAAAAAGTAACAAATACAAAGATTTGAAAAAAAGTAACAAATACAAAGATTTGAAAAAAAGTAACAAATACAAAGATTTGAAAAAAAGTAAGAAATACAAAGATTTGAAAAAAAGTAACAAATACAAAGATTCGAAAAAAAGTAACAAATACAAAGATTCGAAAAAAGTAACAAATACAAAGATTTGAAAAAAAGTAAGAAATACAAAGATTTGAAAAAAAGTAACAAATACAAAGATTCGAAAAAAGTAACAAATACAAAGATTTGAAAAAAAGTAACAAATACAAAAAAATTTGAAAAAGTAACGAATACAAAGATTCAAAAAAAGTAACAAATACAAAGATTCAAAAAAAGTAACAAATACAAAGATTCGAAAAAAAGTAACAAATACAAAGATTTGAAAAAAAGTAACAAATACAAAGATTCGAAAAAAAGTAACAAATACAAAGATTTGAAAAAAAGTAACAAATACAAAAAAATTTGAAAAAAAGTAACGAATACAAAGATTCAAAAAAAGTAACAAATACAAAGATTCAAAAAAAGTAACAAATACAAAGATTCGAAAAAAAGTAACAAATACAAAGATTTGAAAAAAAGTAACAAATACAAAGATTCGAAAAAAAGTAACAAATACAAAGATTTGAAAAAAAGTAAAAAGAAGAGAAGTAACAAATATATAGATTTCAACCCATAAGAATGAAACTATTTAAAAAGCTGAACATATCGAGTCATAATTCAATTTGATATCTTGGATATAATTCTCGACGTCATTTGTAGCAGTCCCGAATTTTATTCCATGTTTTCTCAATTCGCTTTTCTCAGTACCAATGATATCGCTTGTCATGCTACTGATTCGACTCCAATGTGGCAGTGCATCCATGGCTATTTTCATCCTGTCTTCATGTCCAATTTCTGTTAGAATTTCGTTGGCTATTCCTAGTCCACCAAAGTTGCTCTTATTCTTCAAATCATCGACTATTCTGTGTTGTGAAAAGTTGTCGGCATCGGGAACGTAAAAATCAATTATAGATAGGGATTTCCCCTTGGTTGAGCCAATGTTTCCTTCATTCAAGTCGCGTATTCCAAGGATAAGTGAAAGCAGGTAAGCCTGAAATGGATTTTGTTAATAATAAATTCAAACAGTGTTGCATACTAGAGTTCACCAAACAGATCGTTCGACCAAACGTTCAACCAATATTTTCATGACATGTTACCAAAAATATGTTTGATTAACATTTCTTGCTACCGAACGATTAACATGTCTCATGATTATGATCTCTCGTTTTTTCGACATGCCAACATTTCATTTAAATGAGAGATCATTTTGAATCGATCGTTCAGTTTTCGATTGATCGAAATGTTGTATTGAATATATTGGTCGAAAAAATGATCGATCGAAATGTTGTATTGAAAATATTGGTCGAAAAATGAAAGATCGAAATGTTGTATTGAATATATTGGTCGAAAAATGAAAGATCGAAATGTTGTATTGAATATATTGGTCGAAATATCGATATATCAAAACGTTAAAATCCAATGACTGATCATTAATATGAGAGATCAAAAACTGATCTAATAAACGATCTCTCAAAAAATGACATGTTAAAATTTGGTTGAACAGGGACATGTCAATAGTTTGATCAATTGAAATGGTTGAATGATCGGTTTGGTGAACTCTATTGCATACGTATCTTTAGTTAAAGAACGATTGAAATTGTATTACCTCAACAACGACTTTTTTTTGCAGAACAATATCCTCAAGCTTGTCCAGCTCTTTGAATTCTTCAACTTCTTCAGTGGCAATGTAATGAATACATGTTGATCCATCGTAGAATGGAAAGTATACAACAGGGCCAACTCCAATGAGTTCAAGAAGTCGATATGCGAACATTTCACGAAGATCCGGGAGATGTCGCTTTGATGTATTTTGCAGGGACATTGAAGAACCGGCGTGATGATAATTCTTCATATAGTATGTTGTCTCCTCTCCATTGCAAGTGACAATCACTACAATTCCAGCTCGACTACCGCCTTGTTTAGACTTAAAGTCGATTTTAGCGTTGGGATACTTCTGGGAAAAAAATGTTGTAGCGCTTTGCTTTAACGCACTTTGCGTTCTGTCCACGAATCTGAAATATGAAAAATTCTTATTTCATCAATTTTTTTGTTCAAACAGTTTGAATTAACTAACAAACCTCATCATTGGACTGATAGTATCTCTCCACTGTGGACCAAAAAGAGGCATAAACGATGAGAAATCCAGAATCTTCCAGCGCTTTTTGAACATGCGATTGCTTGATGAGCAAACTTTGTTCGCTCGGGCTTTGCATTCTTCGTATCATTGAAAAAGTTTACAATACGCGAGGTATTCACTCCATGTACCCAGACGAGCGTGTCTCTAAAAAAATGAAAATTTCAAAATGGTGTAAAATATTGATTTGTTCCAGTTTTAAATTTCACTATCTGAATTACAGTTGTCTGATTATCTGTCTGCCTTTGAATTGTTAACAATATCACAATGAGCCAGAAAGTTAATTCTCTAGCTGTATAAACAATAAAAAATTTCTAAAGATAAAATAACAACTTACAAAAATCACTTTGGAGCGATGTTTCAATCCCAAAGACTGAAGACTGTCTTCTCCGAATCCGATAAGCTTTCTGCCGTCTTCAGAGAACAGCTCTTGATATTTCTGGGCGATATTCCACGTCGATTCAATTACTCCATTTAAGTGATCCAACGTATCCTAAAAACACATTTAATAATTGCTAAGTTCACAAAAACAAGTACCTGCATGCCGAATTTGAAACGGAACTCTCGATATACAACGCCGTCTAGATCTTGTAACTCGATGCACATCTCCATCATCTTTGATTTTGAATTATCTGAAATTTGAATGCAAATTCTAAAATTTTTTCCACTATGTTCGATACTACATCCGATAAATTCGAGGGAGAAAGTAAGAAAAGTTGTTAAAAAAAATCAAAGTTAAGGAGAAAATAACAATGATAACCACGGATGGGAAATCACGAAATCAACGCAAACTACAGAAGAAAAGGAAGTCTCTCCTCTATTCACAAAAGATAATTGAAGAATGCTAGGTCACCTTCCTCTGCGTTTCTGGTCACGCGTCACTCTCATCGAAAATGAGGAAGAGGAGAGGGCCGCTGACAGTGCCTTGGAGGACACCGGAAGGGTTGGGAAAGCAATTGTTGGCAAAACACTTGTTGACCTTAACAATTGAGCTTCTATGAGATAAAAAATTAGAGAACCAACGGCTCAGAGTATTATCAAAACCAAAGTTTAGCATTTTAAGACGTAGCAAATTGTGATCTACTCTATCAAAAGCTTTGCTGAAATCAAAGTAAATAACATCGACATTTAGATTGGAGGCCAAGGACTTTTTTATGTCGGATATAGAAGAGATGAGAGAGAGTTTGCAAGATCTACGGTTTAAAAAACCATATTGAAATCGAGAGAATTTATGAGCGAATCGAGTTCTAACCATATGGGCGATAATACGTTCTAATACACGTGATATAGGATGAGTGAGAGAGATCGGACGGAAATTGGAAGGGTCAGACAAACTGCCTTTTTTGTGTACAGGTATGACCGTAGTGTGTTTTAGAGAGGAGGGGATAACACCAGTTAAATAAGATTCATTAAATAGGAGAGACAGGGGGAGGCTTAAAGATCTAGCACATCTCTTAAGAACAAGAAAGTTTATATTATCAGTGGAAAATCCACATTTAGGAGGTAGAGAGGCAAGAAATATATAAACAACATCGGGGGAGAAAAATATACTACAGTTAATAGGTTCAGGAGAGGGAAGAGCTGGGAAAGGTTGAGGGTTAGTGTTAGAGAAATTGGAATAGAACACAGATGAGAAGACATTGGCCTTGGATTCATCATCAATTATATGATTATCATTGAAAAGCAGATTGGGGATCCCAGAATCGATCTTAAGCTGTCTTGAAATAAATTTGGAAAGTTTAGAGGAGTTGTAGGATAGAGCAACTTTGGTATGAAATTTCCTTAATAAAAAAGCAGTTCTTTTACGAATAAGTTTTACAGTGAGATTGAACTTTTGCCGGAGGTGAGTGGAATGAAGACCATTATTGATTAGAGAGGCTTTTTTTTGAAGTAAGCGACGAATTAGACGGTCAGATTTGAAATTAAAAGTGGAACGGTGAGAAAGTGAGGTGAAAGGACAATTGTCGCGAATCAATTCATTAAATATACAAAGAAAATGCTGAAATTTAGATTCAACTGTAGAAAAAAAACTGAGTTGACGATCCCAGTTAAGCGAAGAAAGAGAAAGATTGATTGAATCGAAGTTGCATTTGGAAAAATTCAATCGACGATTAGTGGTAGGAGACGAGGGATTCAAAGAACATTTATATTTGAAAAGGACTGTATTATGATCAGAATTGAGGAGAGGTTCAGAGACATTAACGTCTATGATTGAATTGGACGAGTTGGATAGTACAAGATCGAGAATGTTGGAAGAATGATCCGTTATACGAGTGGGAGAGGGAACAAGCTGTGTTAAATTAGAGCTAAGGCAAAAATCTAGCATTTTTTGAGAGTAAAGATTAGTACAAGATAAGTTAAGCCAACCGATTCCAGGATAATTAAAGTCTCCAAGGATAGTACAATTCTGAGAGGTAACGAAACGAGAAATATGCTGAAATAAATTAGAAGATGAATCATTAGAAGTGTTTGGTGGACGGTAAACCAGAAAAAAACGGGCTTTAGAAATATTAAAAGTATTAGGAAAAATAATGTCAAAACAAATAAGATCGCAAAAATGAGAAGGATAAAACCTGTCCAGAAGGCAATCCACTTCGACCAAGGGCAATGACTTCCGATAAAAGACTATTACGCCACCACCAGAAGCTCTACCAGAAGAAATTGAACGATCCCGACGAAAGAAGCTGTAAATTGGATTATTAAACAAAGAGTCAGGATAGTCAGCTGTGAGGAAAGTTTCACAAATAAAACATAAATCAATGGAAGAAAATGAAAGATGGTCAAATAAGAGTTGAATTTTACTAGGAGAACGCAACGAACGTATATTAGAAAGAATAATTTTGAGATCAAAAATATTGCAATTGTTTTTTGGCGCGGGAGAACCGATAGATTGCGGAGGAGAGAGACTAGATGGAGCGAGAGGGTTAGTGGGAGGAGGAGGGGCGAGAGGGTTAGAGCAAGAAAATTCGAAAAACGTGTTTGAGGGATCAAAAGTGGGCATTTCAGAATTGTTAAACATGACACGAAGGCGAAGACATCGGAACATCGGAGGAAAGGGGAGGATACACAGAATTGTAGTTAGTGAGAGTACAGGCTGCAACAATAGGATTAGAATCACCAGAAGAAATAGTATTAACACCAGAAGAAATAGTATTCACATGAGTAGAAGAAATAGGAGAAAATGCACGGTTAGAATAAGATTTGACAGTTTTGCGCGCAATAGACAGATCACGGACATAGAAAGAATTAGGAGACTCCTTATTCAGAAGAAAAACTCTATGGCGAACACGTTTGAGAAGAGCAAGTTCCGGCAAAGTTAGGTCACGTCTAACTCTGAAGAAAGGTAAAGGAGGATTCTGTGGGAGAGCTCGAGCGGCAAGTCGAGCTTTGAAGATGAATAGGTTACGGGATTCGACACTGGCAAACTTAATTTTGAGCGGTCGAGGAAGAGATTTACAGTCATGACGATGAACGGAGACAGGGCGAGGAAGGGAGATATGATCACATAAAGAAAAAACAAGTTGGAGATCCTTAGGATCCTGGCTTGAGTCACCAGAATCCTGCAATTTCTCAAGAACAGCTGAAGTTGATTTTGAAACAAAGCTTTCAGACATAGATAAGCGATTTATAAGAGAATGGAGGGCTTTGTCAGGTAAAGAAATCAAATCAGAAAATTTGGCAGAATCAGAAACAAAATTAAGTTCTGGACACGGAGGCGTCTCTTGAGCGAGAGAATGGACAGCGTGAGTACGACCAGGCAAGAGAGAAGAACCGCCAAGATGTGGAACAGTGGTTGTAGAAGCACCACGGTGAGAAGGAGCAGCCACAGAGCGAGCGAGACCACCAGAGCGAGCATGAACACCAGAGCCAGAACCAAGGCCGAGACCAGCAGAAGTGACCAAAGCAGGATCGGCCGCAGCTTGAGCAGGATCGGCCGCAGCTTGAGAAGTTGTGGTTGGAAGAGCCAGAGGTTGAGCGGAAGGAGAAGAAGAACCAACGGCAAGTGTCGCTTGAACAGCACCAAGAGATTGAGCCAGGGCAGCGAACGAGAGAACAAGATCAGCCATGTTCTTGTTTGTTTCGGCCAGTTGTTGAACGATAGAAGCCAATTGAGACGCAACAGTAAGACGCGGCGTACGAGCCCTCTTAGGAGAAGAGACCTTGCCATGATTAGGTCTCTTGACTCCAGCCATCGAAATAGAAACAGAGAGACGAGGAAGACACGACCGCACAGGATGAGGAAAGAGAGGTCGAATGATGAGGAAAGAGAGGTCGAATGAAGAAAGAATGATGAAAAAGAAACTTTCGAGTGCCTTCTTTGAATGAAAATTCTCCGCGATGATGAATAATTTTCACTTCAAACTTTTTTAAATTATTTTGGATTTAAGTCAAACAGTTCAATCAACCGTTTGATATCATCCATTTACTTCAAAGACTCGTTATGCAATGGGATAGTGTGCTTCAGAATGAATCATTCTTGCAGAGATGTAGCTAAAATTTTTAGAGACAGATGAAGCCAAAAAATTCATTTTTTTTAATGTGACCCCAGTAATTTTATAAGAAACTATATCTATCATGTGTTGATCAAAGTCCACTTCCAAACCACCTACATACTTTGCTCAAAACCCAAGCTGATCGATAATCTTTGGTCCCATCGCTGATCAACTGATAACAGTACTGTTTCAGTTGGTTTGGCTGGGTTTTGATTTTTTTTTTCTGGTTGCTGTAATAAGGCTGAAATTGGCTGAAAACTTCTACACAGACCAATTATAAACATTTAAATATTCTATATTCATTCGATTTTGACCCATACACACTTTTTCCATCCTTATGAAATAAATTCAGAAGGTTTTCAGTTTGATCTTAATGTATCACAGAAATCTGTAAGAGAAATTAAACAGGAAAAATAGCATTTTTGGAATATTTTTTGAGTAGCAGCTCTGAAATAATTTGCCAAAAATTAATTTAGTTTTTGCCCCGATATTGGATGTGAAGACCTTTAAAAAAACATATCATCTGAGCGTGGGATGATTGAGAAATCAATTTATTATATGTTTGGTTAATCTAAAGCAAAACGTAGAAGATGTCGTGAAAAAGCCCAATTTCTTTTTACTTATTTAAAAAACTTGGCGAACCAAATTTTTTTCCTTCTGCTCAACAGCTCCAAAAAGCACTAAAAACCAAGACTACATTTTTTCGTCAATATTTAACTTGATCTTCGCGACAAAAAAAACTTCTAAAGTTGATATGAAATCTCCTGATTGATAAATTTGTGTGCGGCGACATGAATGCACACACCGATGCCTTATTATCAGTGGTTGCTATCATCATTAGAGATAAGAAAGAAGATCTCTCGCTTTTTTTATCAGTTTCGATTCCATAAACCTCCTACTAATAGCTTTTTTTATTCTGTCTTACTTATTTAAAGCTTCTAAATATTAAAATTTACCTTTGAACTGCAAAAGTCAGCAGAGCTGTTTGTTTTAAAGTTACTCTTTTAATAAAATGATGACCGTTTAAAAAAATTTTTTTGGTTTTCAAAAAAATTGTCAGTAGTTAATACAGAAGCATACGCAACATTATTTTCACCTTGTTGAAAAAAATTTTGAAAAAAATTGAGAAAAACTGAGGCGAAAAGGATGTCTTTTTCACGTTTTTTTCTATATAAACATAAATTAATGCTTGTTTCTGAAACCAAAATGTACTGTGTCATAATTTTTTTAAGGGCCATTTAGCTAAAAAAAATTTTTGAGATTAGGTAATGCACACCGTTTTCGGCAACCTCAAAAAAAGCTCTAGAATAATTCCAAAAAACTCTTGATTCGTTTTTAATTCGAATTAAAAATATAAAGCGTTCAAACCCGTTTATTTTTCAAAAATTATAATTTTATTCTTAGAAATAGCTGCCTATTCAAAAGGATAACCGTTAAAAATATCTATTATATCCTCCAAAAAAAAGGCAAAAAGTCCCGCCAATGTGAATCGATAATTTGAACGGAGTGTGCGTCAGAAAAACAAGAACCAAAGATGTTGTGGACGCGCAGCTCCTTAGATGTGCAGGGAGATCGAACGGCCGCTTGATCTACTCGTTTGCCGTCAAGATCCATCGTCTGCTCATTCGTGTCATGTGCGCTGGGCCGTGCGGTCGCGTCCTCTCGTCGTTGTTTTGTCATTTTTCGTGTCTTGCGCGTTATTCCTTTGCTTTTTGAATTACTTTTTGGATATTAAAACTCAATATTTTAAGTTTTTGTTTCTTCCTTTTAAAAACCTAGTAAACTTAAAAATTTTTTAATGTCGTTAGTATTAAAAATTTTCGGAAAAAAGCAATTTTTGATACTTTTTATTTAAAGAAACTTTGAATATTGAAGAGTTTTTAAACAAAGTTTCACTTTTTTTGTACTCCCAAAAAAAAATAAAAATTTAACCAAAAGTGAGCGGCTGAAATTGCAAGCACTCCAGAGGTTTTGCAAAAAAGAGGTTTTTGAACGTTTTGCGCGTAAACATTGCAGGTTCAGCCCTTGCCTTCGCTTGCTCGAGAAACTTTTTCACTGCAAATTCTTTCCCAAAAGTTTTTTGAGCATTCTGAAAGCTTTTTCTTTCAAATATGATTACAACCAAACGTTCACAATATTTTTCATCAATTTTTCCAGTGACTCACCACAACTTTGCAAGAAAAAAAAATCATCATCGAACGCTCAACGCCATTTCGCCGTTTCAATAGTTTATACATCGAGCTAAGGGAGGCCGATTTCCTCACATTTTTCCCAACTCCCGTGCACGGCAGACTTTGTTTTATCGATCGTTGATCGTTAGTCACGTTGTTTACAGATTTCGCGGGCGATTCGTATTCCCTTCACTTTCTTCACTTAAAAACCTTTTATAATAATCAGAAAGCTGTTGACTTCTGAGCAGCTATTCTGCATAATAAAAGGCGGCCCGACCCCAGCGGCACTATCATTTCGAGTGTTGACAAAACCAACCGCTGTTTACATTTACTTTGCGACTCTTGCGCCTGTTTTTTCCGCTCTTTACGTTGAAACTGTCGTCGATTTTCCTTTTCGAATTTCAAGTTTCAGTGCTCATTCTGCTCACGAGACAATGAACGCCTCAACTGCCTTTTTAATTGGTAAGAACTTTTAGAAAAAAGTGATGAAAATTTGAATTTTTTTCAGCCTTGGTTGGCTACGCCAGCGCTGCGCACTTCTACGTGAAAGATCCGGTGACGAACACATCTTGCATCGTTTTGGACGGCGACTTCACCTTCACCCTCAACTTTTTCGAGCTCGTAAGTATTTTATTCGATAAAATTTATTTATGAGAGTATAACTGAGAATTTCAGACCACCAACGAGACCAAAACCTACACGGCTAAGCTCAATGAGACGAACACTGTGACTGGAGATTGTAACGCGTCTTACAACGGAAAGCCGGCCCAGACTTTGAATGTGAGCGGAAACCACATTTTTTTACCAGCTATGAAAACAACAGTCATGACAAAAAAGGCCAAGGAAATCCTGATCGGAAAAACTAGCTCAAATTTCCTCAAAAGCTCGAATTTTCTACGATTTTTGCAGCCCTTGACCAGTCTTTCTTCCTTTCAAAAATGCGTAGGAAGAAATAATTTGCAAAATTTCTCATTCACAAGCTCAAAAATTCATTTTCAGATTTCTTTCTACCCGGATGGCGTCTCGCCGCTCCGCCCCAAGGACTGGACGCTCAACCTCGTTTTCAACTCTCCGATCAACGCCACCTTCAAGCTCGTCGACTACACTCTCGAATCTCAGATCACCGACAACATTCCTTATTTTGGTGATTTACTGATGATTTTTCTGTTCAGAGACGTCAGCAAAAACGCACAAAAATCATGACAGAGTGAAAAAATCGATGCTTATGAAAGACTTCTGGAATAAATGAAAACATGTTTTTGAATGAAAATATTTAAAGGCGCATGATGAGTCATCGAGAATGATTTTACGAACTAGTCGAAAAATAATATGGCGTAACTTCTTTGAAAATTCCAGCTTTTCAATCAGTTTTAATATTTCGTTGGAAACGCTCACCGCGCTTGTGTAAGCGTTGAACGTTGAGCTAAACTAAGAAAACACTTGCAAATATTATTCAAAAAAAGTGATATATGTTTTCAGGAACCTTCACCAAGGACCCCCAATCCGACGAAGGTGTTACGGCTGAGTTCAACAACGCTTACAAGGTTACTCCTCTTGGTGGATTTATCATTCGAATCAAAATATTCTCAGTGCTCCTCCTCGAAGCTTGCCCTCAACGGTGGATCGTACGTGACTGTGTCCGGTGTCAAGGCTATCGCTAACGCTCACGTCAACGGGACCGACTTCAGCGACGACACCCGTTAGTTCTTGCCTTAAAATCCTTTATCGAAAGCTTTTTTGGAAGGTATAAGGCTTTCCGTAGTCAGTTTTTTAATCAAACGGCGCTTGATTTGACGAAAAAAGTAATTAAGAGTTTATGAAAAGGATTTTTTGGGAAATAATTATTATGCTGAATATGCCGCTGAAAAAAAATTGAATAGAAACTTGCCAGAGTTCATGGAAAACAACTCGGGAAGTTAAAACTTGATCATTTTCAAGCCACTTGAAAACTTTTCTGTTTTCAGAGTACCAAGTGTGCCTCGGAGACCAGCACACGAGCGACATCGTGCCGATCGTGGTCGGAGCCTGCCTCGCCGCCCTTGTCATCATCGTCCTCGTTGCCTACCTCATCGGTCGCGCCCGCGCCAAGCGTCAAGGATACGCCAGCGTCTAAATCCAAACCAAATATCGTATCCAATGTTCATTACTCTCCTTTTTCATTTAACCGTGCCTAATGTTTCATCTTCCAAAATTCTCCTTCCTTCTCCCACTGGTTCTACCATCTCTCAATTGCAATAGAACGTCTTTTTGGACGTTCTACTTAACGAGTAGTGCGTCACGTGGTAGTAGTTCCTGTAACATTTCGTACCGCACGACTTCCTCTTGTCGCACCTTTGTTGTGATTTGTAACCAAGTAACTTTTTATTCCGTGGATCATTGGCTTATAAATATTTTTCGAAAAAGGGCTGTGACAGAATTTATTGAAAACCGGCTTCAAAATCTTGGATTTTTCCGATCAGTTGAAGAAAAGTATGATTTTTAAAACAGCTTTGAAACATGAAAATCGTCTTGATTCAACATCGGTTTTTCTCTATTGGGAACAATGCGTTAGCCTATAAAACATGGAAGGTTTTCCAAACCATTCTGTCTAATTTTACTCGAATCGGTTCTTGAAACACTAAAAATAGTTAGTAGAATGTGACCGAGAGCAGAAGAGTCAGGTCAATGGAGATAAGAAGATAACAACTGTATCGATCGCTTCATTTCTTTTTCTCGTAATGCCTCGCGCGGTGCAAAAACTGCTCTCCTCTTCGAGGCCTCTGGTTTTCGGCATGATTCATGTGCAAGCTTTACCCAGGTAAACCTTGATCGGAAAAATCAACATGAAGGAAAACTTTAGAACACCGGCTTACAAAGATCCGTTATTTGTAACCTTGCAAAAGGTCAGAGAAGAAGCTTCAATCTACATTCGCAGTGGAGTGGTAGGCTGCAAAAATATATTTCTCATCATTTTTCGCCACAGGATGGCATTATTGTGGAAAATATGCACGACGTCCCATACGTCAAGCCTCCAGCCAGCCCAGAAATCACGGCAGCTATGACTCTCGCTTGTCAAGGTAATTATTGTGATATTTTTCTAAAGCGCTCGAACTTTCCAAGTTTGAAGTAATGCAATAATTTAGAAGATAATCGCTTGAAATGCTCAAAATCTTTATTATTTGATCCGGAGCATGTAAATTTCCCAAACTAGCAGTAAATTTAAAATTTTTCCGTCTATCTGCTGAAGAAACATTTGAAAACTTAAGATTAAATTCATTTGAAACCCAAAAATCTATGTCAGGATCTAATTTTTTTTGAAGCGAGGATTTTTTTGAATATTTTGAATTCGGAGCTGGTTTTCAACGCAAGTACTGCGCTAAAAGTTCAATTTGCCGCAAAAGAGCTTCATTTTTCTGAAAAATACGTCCGAAAAATGCACAAAACTGTGAACAACAATTGATAACAGTTAAATTCGGTATAAGTAAAGAAAGTTGCATTTTTAGTTGATCCGAGACCGGTACATTTATCAAACCAGTGGTGAATTTAAAAGTTCTCCTTCCATCTGCTGAAAAGTATCATTATGTTGCAGAACCTTATTACAACCAATTTTTACAAGCTGATATCAAATTTCATTGTAACTGTCTCAGAGGTTGCGAATATGTGCAAGGATAAGGATACCCTTCTTGGAGTTCAAATTTTGGCCGCATGCAATAAAGAAGCCCTAGCTGTTGCGAGTGTTACAGGTCTATCAGAAAATTTCTATAGCCGCATTACTATTCTCTACGGTCAGGTTTCGATTTCATCAGGGCGGAAGGTTTTGTTTTTTCGCACGTCGCTGATGAAGGATGGATCGACGCGTGCGCAGGGAAATTACTCCGATACAGAAGTCAGCTTCCAGGCCCTGAAATTGCTGTTTTTGCGGACATCAAGAAGAAGCACAGGTTGATCATGTAAAATTGTCTCGAGAAATTTTTTTCGTCAGTTCTCACACCATTACTTCTGACGTTTCGATCGAAACAACGGCCAAAGACGCGGAGTTCAATCGGGCCGATGGAGTGATTGTGACTGGAACGGCAACTGGAGATCCGGCCAAAAAAAAAGAATTGATCCGTAAGTTTTTAATTTTGGAACAGCTGAATTTCACTGAGTTTGAAAATATTGGAAACGGCTTAGTAAATGTTTCTTGATGCTTCGAGTTTGATTATTTTTTTCTCGATTTTGTCACCAGATTGGAAAAAAAGTAAAACTCTTCTCTTGTTCAATTTCCTTTCTCTTAAAAAAATTCCTTTAAAAACAAAAAAAGGTTTTTCAGAATTGAAGCAATTTTAATTTGAACCAATTTTTTCAAGAAGAACGCTTGGCAACTTCGATTTTTTCAGGTGTGAGGAAAAGCTGCAAGTTACCAGTTCTCATCGGATCTGGAGTGAATTTTGAGAACGTGAGCAATTATGTAGATGCTCACGGATTGATTGTTGGAACTGAGTTCAAAAAAGAAGGACACTGGAGTGGCGACCTCGACGAAAGGAAGATTCGTAGCTTCATGAACAAAGTTTCTAAGTTAAAAAGATAGTTTGATAATAAATTTTCATTTTTTCTCTAAATCTTCAACGGTTTTTGAGTTCCAACAGAATGAAGGTTGAAAATTTTATTCAGGAAAAATTGAAATTGCACAGTTGATTAGTTTTCGGGTGAGCCATTAGCAGAATTTCTTGCAAGCTTGGATCGGGTTGATGCTTTTGGCGTACTTGATGATTTCTGGCAGCTCTTGCTGAAAAAAATGTCTACTTCACTTCTCTGAATAGTTTCTGTACCTTCACAATTTCCTCACAGAGCGCTTCTCGTCGTTTGTCGTAACTGAATACCCGTCGGCAGACTTTATCGAGAACACCTTCCTCGCTTGGCTGAATCATTTTTTGTTCTGGTTGACAATTTCTTTCTTCTACGTACCTCATGATCAATGACCATCTCTTTAACCATTTTCACGGTGAATTCACAGACTGGACAAGCACATCCCAGTTTGTTTGCCGTCTTAAATAGTGGAAATACATTTTTTCATAACCCAAAAAACGAACCAAGGAACAATCCGCTTTCAGAGGTTTGGCCAAACCATGTTGGGTAAGTTTGTCTTTTGCAGGAACAGCAAAAGTTATAACTGAAAAATTATTGATTGAAAACTTGAAGGACCTTTAGATGAGGTGTCCTTTTAAATTAATCAATTAACCCAGTACAAAAAAAATTCAACAGTCACAAACCGAAAAGCGTGCAGAAAACGAAGAACCGCATGGATGAAGTCTCAGAGACTACTGATCCCAGCGGATCAGCAGCGAGATTGACCCATTTTCAGCCTCCCATCCCACCCCAAAAGCATCCGGAATCGGCAATAAAGCAGTTCAAGAGTGGACACTGAACAGTGTTCTTAGATCAGATATCTGAAGTTTAGAACATGTCACTCAAATTGTAGTTCAGTTTTTGCTCATTTCTGATCTTCGGAACATCGTCCAATAGTTCTGCTTTTGTTTTCAAAATGAATTTCTTGCTGAAAAATGCAGGAAATTGGTAATTTTTTTGTCTTTTAAGGTGAAAAGTCTTTAGATTTGGATTTGTAGTGATTTGGATTTGCAACGATCAAAGCTAAAACCACAAGATTTTCGTTTTAACTTTCATCCCCGCTAACTTGAACCAATTTGCGAGGTGGATCTTCTACTGTATTTTGTTCAAAATCAATGAAAACTATTTTGATACGCGGAACAAGATCTCATAAAAAAACCTCCGATTAGGGTTGAGAAACTTTTCGACGTTCAACAAAGATCATCTTCCTATAAACAAATCCGAGTCTCGTGAGACGACGTCTTCAACTAGCCTCGGCACAGCCGATTAATCTTCAAACTACATTGATAATTTTTCAAAAAAGCTTGTAAAATGATATTTCCGTATCTTATTGATTCTATAAAATGACGTGAAAAAAAAAAACTGAAAAAACCAAAACAAAAAACTTTATTAACGAAAAAAGTTCCCTGAAAAACAGGTCTTGCAAACAATCAACATTCATTTACAAAATACCCACCAAACGGATAAAAAATAAAAAATGAATTGTAGTCCAATGTTCACCCAAATATGTGTGCCTACTGTAGAAAAAGCTGTAGTTCATTTTTATATGTTCAGTTTGCATGTTTAGCCCGCGTTTGAAGATTTGAAAAGTGGCAAGCGCGCAGATTGCACTTGGGGAAAAATAATATTGCTATGTGATAAATAAAAAAATAAATAAAGAGAAATGTCAATCACAGTCGGAAGAGTAATACACTTGTTTCGAATGAATAAAACCATGAAAAATGACTCAAAACACATAAAGAAAGTCATTCAGTAAAGCCTCATTGTTTGTTAGGGGAGAAAGGAGATTTTAGTCGACTTTCACCATTGCGTAGATTTTGCGAACAAAGTAATAAGTGGCCAGGAAGCCGATGGTTCCAGTCATCAGGAAGAACATGAAGACGAAAATGGCCGTGTACGAAAAGTACAGAATCGTGGAAATCTGCAAAAAATGATTTTTTCTTTTTAATGGATAAATTTACTCACAGTTCCGCTGATGACTAGCTTGGTGTTAAAGAAGTGGATACAGTAGAAGAACAGGTAAACGGCTGTGAATCCACTGGTAAGGAAAGATCTCCACCACCAATGATAGTCCTGAAAAGTTTTTCGAACTGATTTCCGAGTATTAAAATAGGTTCCGAAGCTTGAATCCTTGCTATCAAAGTCAGACAAAAATTCTGTTGCGCATATTTCAAAAACCTCTAGTGGTCCTTATAGGGGTTTAGAGTCTGGCCTCTTTGCCCCTAAAGCTTAAGTGGTCTTTATAGGGGTCAACTAACTTTATTCAAAAAATGCTTCTTTTTTCAGTTTTTCCATGGAAATGCTTTTTGGCTTATAGTTTATAACAATTATCGATTAGCATGTCCCCTTTAGGGGCCACTAGCTGAAAAAAACCCCTTTAAGGACCACTTTCGCGAAATTTAGTGGCTTCTATAGGGGTAAGTAAAGTCGTCTCTAGATAGGACCCTTATTGTTACCCCTATAGAGACCACTCTGAACTTCTTAAGTTTTGTGAAGATAAATTCACTTGCCCACTGTCAAAATATTTTCCTCCCGTTTGTTTTATTTTTTTTAATTAATCAGACCTCGGCGCAAAGGTGGAAATAAGCAAGCAAAATTGTTGCTTCCGAGCAGGTGATAATCAAAATGAGATAGACCAGGAACAAAAATCCAAACATGTAATACGTTTGATGAGCCCTGAAATTTCATCGTAAAAACGAGATCAACTTAAAAAAAAACCAGATGCTGTTGAGGATGAAGAAAAGTTGGATGAAAATGCAACCGAACGGCAAAATTCCGCCCATAAGCATTCCGGGAAGCGGCTTTGTGTACAGAGTTTGTTCAGGCACTTGGCGAGGGATTTGGTTGGTCCTGACCGGAGCTTCGATTCCCTGCAGAAATTTCTCATAAATAAGTAATTTTCAATGTTTCTACCTTTTTCTTGTAGCCGAAGAACGCTCCAATGAAGGTCATGGGAGTGGCCACAAAGATCCAAAGAATGAGCAGAACTACCAAAGTTCCGAAGGGCACAGCCGCCGACGATCCTTTAGTCCAGAGCAAAGTGTTCGTGAAGAAGAACACAGTGAAAACGATTCTGAACCCCACGATCCGAAACTAATTCAAAAATGTAATTACCCAGGGACTAGGAAAGAAGTCATCACGAGGTTCGTTTTCCAATGAACTCCTTGCAACGCTGAAAAACAAAAAATCTTACAGAGAAAACTTTTGAGACAAACTTTTGTACAATCTGGCGGAAACATATCCTGCCACGATTCCGAAGAAGACGTAGAAGACAAGAGCGAAAGTAATGAGAGATCCGCGATTTGCTGGTGACAGGAAGCCCAGACAGGCGAACACTGTTAGGAAAATTATTTCAATGCTTTCAGAAATAGGAGTTGAACCTAGGGTCACTGAAACCATGAGGAGAGTTTGACTTCCGGCGCCGATGAACACAGAGAGAAGCATCGGATATCGAGGCGTGCGGAAGACATCTCCATGCACCAGTTTCCAGCCATACTCTTCTTGAGCGTCTTCCTGAAAATTGACGTATGACAATAGCTTTGAAAAATTTCATAAAGAGTTTTTCATGATTTGTGAAAAAAATAAAGATTTTTTTCCATTTTTTTTGAAACTTCTTATGGTTAATACTCGTTCAGATACAGAATATTTCAGAGGAGGTGGTTTTCCGAATTTCTACAAATATGTCAAGAAAAAGAGTTCCTTTAAAAAAATCATTAAAAACCGGTTCTCTTTTTGGGTTCGAAAAAAATAATCCGACATTTATTCTCGCAAGGACGATCATTGTACTCATTTTGAAATTTTTTTTCAAAATGTCTGAAACTACGTTTTATAAGCCGGTTTCTGATTCTAACGTTTATAACTGCGTACATTTTTTTGAGAACTAATATAACTTTCATTGAACGGAAATTCAAAAACAAGCGGTTTTTTTGTACTTCAAGGTGTTATAAAGCGTACATGATTATTATACCGATTACCTTGAAAAAAATACTTCTGAAAATATAAACGTACATCAGTAGCCAATCGGTTGTAGGCGTCGATGTCGCGATGGAGAGTTCTCATGATAATCATACCGACCTAAAAATAAATAATGAACTTCTGGATTCAGTCAGAACGGGCCATTCCGGACAGGAACAGAACGATGACAAGGGAGTTCATGATGGAGAACCATTGGATGTTGGTGTGAGGCATCGATTGCAGAATGTAGTCCCACCGGGATGACCATTTGATTTTAGTTGGCTGGAAAAAGGATATTATTTGATTAAAACAGTAAAATGGAGAATCGCCTCGAAACTTTAATGTTAAAAAAAAAAATTCATAGAAGTTGCGGTTCGGAATTTCGCCTTATTTGAACAATTTCGAGCTTACTCCTCTTCCTACTTGGTTCGAAAAATGGATGAAACTTGAACTGAGACATCTCAACACGAATCATTTCAACAAGCGCCAATGTCTCACCGTCCACTTGATACTGTAAGTGTAGATGATCTCGGCATCCTCTGCTTGAGAACGGATGGCGAGAGGCGGAGCGCTGCTAGAACAGTCTAGTTTGCTCTCGGATGAGTGTTTGATCGAGCGAGGTTTCACGTTGATCCGAATGATGCGGCCTCCGACCTAAACTTAAGAAATTTTCATCGTAAGTGATAGAAAAAACCTTCTCCTCCAGGAAATTAGCATCGTCATGCATGTCCCTATAGACGATTTCAAAATCGACGTGGTTGAAAATGTAGTAGCTTCCTTTTTGGTCGTAGTTTGGCTGAAAAAGTTTCATTTTGATCAAGTTTACTTATAAATTGACTTTCTTTGGATCCACTTTTCCTAAATTTGAAATTTTTTTGATGTTTTTTTCTATTCTTTTTGGAATTCTGGCAGAGGTACCAATTAAAAAAATTTAAGAGGGACAGAATGACTACCAGGCATGTGAATTGAGAAGTTTTAAACACATTTTTCGATTTTTTTCAATACTTCTGAATCTAGAAAAGGAATCTCAAATTAACGGTAAAATTTATTCTTAAAAAAATTTTTTAGAATAATTGAAACTTGAAAAAAATAAGCTTGAATTTCACAGTTTTTTTAGGTTTTGAACCTTAACAGGGGAGGTCATTTTAATCTGCGGTTGGAAACTTTTTTAAAATGTACCGGAGCACTCCTTGTTGTACCAGATAAAGATTCTAGAAGTCTCAACCTGCAAAACATTCCTAGTTTTCGAGAAATAAGAGCCAAAAACCCCAAAATAGCCTATTTTTACGACGTTCGAGGACTTTTCCGATTTTAAGACGTCTTTATAACAAAAACGAGGAAGTTGTGCGGATTGAAACTTTCAGAATCTCTATTTGCTACATCAGGGAGCCTTCCGGCCAATTTCCAGAAAATTACCAAACGCAAAGTATGATGACCTTCCTTGTGAGGAGGCGTTGAAAATGGTTCAAAAAAAATTTTCCAAGGCAGGACGTTAAAAAAAAAATCAATTGTGAAAAACGAACATCAATAACGCATGCGTCATGGGCGTTTCCGTCGTCATCCACATAGCAACCCATTGGAAAGCCCGTCGTGCAGACGTCCATTTCTTGTAGGTTTTGGAAGCAGAAAGTCACTGGCATGTTGTCCACAATCCTGAACGCATAGGAACTTCAATTGAGCAGGAAAAATAGAAATTCCCACCAATGATGCTGGTAGTTAAGGCCCATTCCGCGCTGGAGAAGTCTCAACTTTTGGATGCTGTCCAAGTTTCCTTTCGTGTACTTTTTCGAGGGACACACCAAACGGCACTGTTCTTCTTTTTTGAAAGAAATCTGAAATAAAAGCTCGTATTTCAAATTCTAGGTTAACCACTAACCGAATAAGGACCAGGACGGATTCTTTCTCCGAAAAGAACTTGTCCAAGGTTCTCCACGGGCGACTCATCTTCATCTCCAATGCAGAAATCAAATCTGTGAGGTAAATATATTTCAAAATACAAAAATTTTCTCGTTACTTGTGATATTCATAAGGAATGACGGAACGATCGCTGTCCAAATGGTTCACAAATAACGTCACATTACTCTGAAACTTTCAGATAAGGTAAATTTTGTCATGAAAATTTATAATACCGGGCAATTGAGCTTTGATTTTTTTCGCAAAAGTTGACGGGAGCCAAGCCGGGAAGATAAAAAGCCGTATTCAGTTGGTAGAAAAAACAAAGTAAGAGAAAGCGACGAAACGTCGTCATTTCCTAAAAAAAAATGTATAAATGGCAAAAATTCAAAGATAAAGGCTAAGTAAAACAAAAGGAAAGGAAGAACGTCGCTCGGCAACCTCTTTTTTCCTGCCCCCTCTCGTTGCCACGCATTCGCGCCGACAATGGGTCCCGACGCGAACAGCCGATATTTGACCGATATTTGTATTTACCGCCTAGTCATACTCTTTTCAAAGCGACAATATTTGGATTTTATTAAGTTTCGCAAAAATAGTTTACAGTTTCAATCATTATCAACATGAAGAACAGCTTATAAGGAAATGGAATTATTATGATAACTAATTTTTTTAACAGTTTTTTTGGTTTTTAATTTCAGAGATTTTTAGATTTCAACTTCAATTTTCTGGGAAAAAAAGTTTGAGAAATATTTGACCATTTTTTTACACTTTACTTTTTTTTAGTTGAGAGTCCCATTATTAATGTTGAAACGAAAAAAACATTTGAATACTTGGGCTAGATTTTTTTCTCAAGGTTTTTTTCGAAATTTTTCAAAGCTTTTTCCGCCAGAAATTTTTTTTATTGGTCATGACCAAGTTCAATAGAATTTTCAGAAAAAAAAAATGAAAAAAATCAAACTTCTAAAAATCCTGTAATTATGAATAATAATGCTGTGTGAAAAATAGTACTTTTAACATGTGTGAATCTGTACAAATCTTCGAATTCTGATCGAAACCTTTTATTCAAATTTATAGTAGGCTTTGAGGCTTTTGAAGAAGAATTTTTTAAAATGAGAGTAGTGAAAACTTCGAGCAAAGGTTATTTCGAAAAATGACGTAACAGGAAACGTTCCGCGATGGTTTCACACCCGATTGGCTGTATTTTATGATCATTTTACGACTTGTTTGCAAGGTTTCTAAGGCGAGGAAAAATTTTTGATGGGTTCTAAATATACGATTGGCCCTAGCCGAGGGAGATACTGAGGTTTTTATAAACGCACTTTGTTTTTCCATTTTTTTCAGACAAGACATTCAAAAATTAGGTTTTTTTGCATTGATCTGATTTTTTTCCTTAATTGGTAGGCTTTTTAAAAAAACTTCTTGGAATGATAATGTCAATTCGTTCTGAACTTAGCAATAAAAGACGTTTTTATTCACACAGGAACAATAAATACAATACAAGATATGGGCAAAGTTACAATTCCGTACCATCCAATCCATTGCGGAAATTTCAATTATGCGTCGATCACTGTAAAAATATCATTTTCCAAAGGATAATTAATTAGTCATCAAACCTTCGACTTGGGTTTTGATGATTGGCTCGACGTGCTTGAGGGTCGTCTTGTCGAAGGAAGTAGTCAGGTCAAGAGTCTTTTCGCGGGCGATGTCGGTCTTTGAAGGCAGCATGTTCTGAAACGTTGGATTGGTCCAGTTTCGGACTTCATTTTAACCTTCTCATGAGTCTCAGTGTGTTTCAGCTTTTCTGGAGTGAAGCTCTCGATGTTCTTGGTGAGCTCCAAGTGCTGACGCTCAGCCTTGATGTCTTCGGAAGTCGGGAGAACGACCTTTTCAGCCGTCTCGATGGTCTTCAACTGGGAGTTGTCGAACTTTTCGATTCCAGTGATCATTTCGACATGCTTCTTCTCTTCTTCGACATCTGAACCAATTTCCATAATCCAAAAAGGGAGAAAGGGTTATTCTGACCTTCTTTAGTAGGAAGGACGTTCTTCTCGCTTGTTTCAACTTTACGGAGCTCCTGAAACTGGAAGATCATGTACTGTTTTATCTGCTCTATATGGATTTTCTGAGAGCTGTATTTCAGAAAAAGAAGTTGCTTTACTAAGGATTTTCATTAAAATGACCAGAAAAACTTTTTGATTGAAAAAAATATTAAATTTTTTTGCTGAAGATTTAAGTTCGGAAAAAAATTTTTTTGATATCGATGTAATTTACATCGGACGGACCTTTCCCTTAGAGATCAAGGAGTCGGAAATCTCCTCCGGAAGCTTTGGAAGTTCAGCAAGAGCGGCCATCTGAAAAAACGTTTCCCTATTGACCAAAAAAATTTGCAAGTAACTAGCAAATGAGAGATAGCAGCAACTGGGCGCACATTTATAGCGAGTAAACTGGGAAAAACCGCCGATGATTCATATGGCGATATGGTTTCAACATCGTACACAACAACCGACCCAGCACGGAATGGAAGGAGAACAGGTGGGGTTTGTTAGAAAAAAAAGGGAGAAGCTTTTTTTCTAGATTTGAGTTTTTCGACTACCGATAAAAGGAAAAAAAACCGAGTTTTTCGGAATCGTCGAAAGAATGAATTTTTTTAAAACTACTACAGAACTGAACCAAAAAAAAATGTTATTGATCTCTCTAGTAATACATTTGTGAGTTCTGAAAAAGCAAGATTTGTCATGAAACAAGTTACTCTAGTAAATTAGGAAAAAAATAAATCGGAGCTAGTAGAATCTATAAATTCAGCTTATTAAATTTCAAGAAATTTTTCAACCAAATATTGGTATATAACATTGCGAAAAATGGCAAGCATCATGGATAAATATTCAAAATTAAAACAATATCCGGAGTTTACTCACTCTTTCAAAAAAGATTACAGCGGGTAGCTCGAACTTCTATATGGTCTTGCCTGAACAACTTCTGAAGGCTCAACTCAGGATTTATCCTAGTCACTATCTGCTCAAACGCAACTTTAGATATAGCCAATTCCGCGCCAGCGTTTTAATTTCCGCCGAAAAGACCGTATACCAAATTAAATAAAAATTGAGCACATTCGCTTTGTTTTTTGCTGCCTTTTTAGTCTTTTTTAGAACTAAACTTTGTATAGACTTTCGTTTTTACTTTTCTCTTTCTTCAAAACGTGACAATCTCGTTAGGAACGCACTATATACTGGCTTAACTCTGTGTTTAAGGCAAACTTGTAGAAGCAATAATTCCCGAACGGAAAGTTCGAGCAGGAAGCGACTATAAGGTATCTTCATTCTGGCCTTCCGGAACAGCTTGCAATAAAGTAAAGTGAATTCAAACTTCCAGGCCAAAATGACTAAATGCCCAAAATTCAAACGCGGAGCGGAGACTGAGGATTGCAGAATAAACGATTGAGCTTAACGATGGATATACAAGAGAAAGGCAGTAGAAAGAGGATCAATCACGAGCGGACGGCGACCCGCACGAAATGGAGGCATTGCCTGCGAACCGCCGAGGTCATATACACATGCGCCGTGCCTTGTTCCTTCTTTTTTGCCTCGCGAACTCGTCACAGCCGTTCGCGCGGTGAGTCTGGCGTCGACGACGGCGGGAACAACGCGCACTCGAGAGCTAAATTGCCCTGGTGTCTCCAATTTGGTAGCAAACATGTCAAATAGAGGAACATGCTATGAATAACCAGCTTGAGTTCTTTATTGTCTGACGATGCTTACAGAAACTGTCAACGTCGTTGAACATTTTTAAACTAGAGTCTGAGCACACTTCATCATTTTGAAGTTTGAAAAAGGAAAACAAAGCCCATTCGGAAGCTGAATTTTTTGAGTTATCCAACCAAGTACCCCATGTGTGAGATATAAGAGGTTATTTTTACGCTGTCAAACTTTCTACATATTACTGTTTCTTAACTAGATCCTCAAAAATCGATTTTCAAAAATTATAGAAATTTGAAGGAAAGAAGACAGAGTAAAATCATAGAAAACGAAAATAACACCCTAAATCTCACGAATGCCCGGGGAAAAGCTCAATTTGAGAAAAAATTTTTAAAGATTGGGGAAAAGCCCGAATTTGCCTTTTTGAATTTCAAAAAGCTTGAATTTTGAGACATTCACACTAAAAAAAAAGAAACTCGCACAGTCTTTCAAGTTCTCCTACTTTGAAAAAACAGGCAAAAAAGCTGGATTTACGAAATTTAAGATGCCATTATCTGATGAACTATGGCTTTACATACTGAGACTCAAATTTTTATCATATAGCAAGTATGACCAGACTAAAAATTTTGCGCCGATAACCAAATGTTTTTGAGAGCACTGGAGCAGGAAAATAAGTTGTGGAACAGTTCCTTTCCAAGATAACAGGGTAGGCGGGTCAAGGCGAAGGATTAAAAAAATTGAAAAAAAGACACGACGTGTAAGTCAACGTCTAAGACGCGAAAACGACAATCTTCGAAGTGGAAATTAGGATGGTCGGGTGCTTCGGAAGAACAAAAAAGGAGACCAAAACGCACACGTCTTGCCTGACTGCCGGATTTTGGCAGCTGATTCGACTAAGCCGGTGGCTTGCGGCCGACCTTGTTTATTTGGTCCATCGCGGAGGTATTGTCACGAGGAGGCGTTTAGACCCTCGCTGGCCTCACAATACCATCGAGAGGGAAAAAACCGGAGACGCGCCAACTCGTGCGATGTTGTGAGCGCCGCCAGAGAGTGGCTATTTTTGACAGGCCGTCCGTGTGCAGGAATTACGAGATCGTCCGTCTTACTGAGTCACCGGCCAAATACAGAACCTTTGAGCTTTGATCGTCTGCCGGTCAATGCGAAGAAAGTGAATAGAACTTTCATCTGGTGTACATGGTCTTCTACAAGGAAGCTAACCGAAGTTGATTACACTGGCAAAGTCCAAAAGCTCTCAGAAAGGAATTTTTGAGAAAAGGCCTCAAAAGCAAAAGCATTTTTCTAGACCTTTTTTTGAAAAAGACATTCTAAAGAGTTCTAAAAAATAAGGCAAAAAGAGATGGAAAAAAGGAGATTCCGAGAAACTTTTGACATTTTTTAGAAACTCAAAAAGGAGCTTTAGCCTCTTCTTTTAAGGCCTTTTTCAAGGTCATTTGGACGTCGCCTGTGTTATTTCATTCCAGACTTCGAAACGAAAAAAACTTTGGGTAACCGGTAAATTTTTTTCAGATGTAACCATTTTTATCATTCGAATGCAATATTCTATCGAAGCTTTATGTTTATTGATCAACTTGGGCGAAAAAAATCAAATCATAACTTGCTGATCAAGATAAACCCATAAAGAAAAATATCATCTTGATAAAATCAGAAATCTAAAAAAATAGCTATGTTAAAAAAACATGCATGTTACTATAACTTCGGAAATTTCAAAACTGAACTTTCTGTATACAAAGTCGGGAAACTTCACTGACTTTCCACATTTTTCGGATAACTTTTTCTTTTTTTTTTTCTGAAACGATTCACTCAATCAGTCATCTAAAAAACGCTGAAGTCAAGTCACAAGCCAAGAATCAAAAAAAAAAACATTATCTCCTCTCAACCTCCCGAGTGATTGGTCTTCATTTCCTTTCTCGACTGAGACTTAATCGGACCTCCAGTAGCCCTGGACAAGTGGGGCACCGTACCGTTCCTTCATGCAGAGGCAGCTGATCTTTGGAACGCACGAAATTTGTCTACAACTATCCTAAAAAGGTCGAGATGATCTACACGCCGTCCTTGATCAACGACAGTTTCTCAAGCCAAAAACAACTTCTCAATTATCCCAAGAATCAGCACAGAATCTTCTTTGAAAACCGAATGAAAGGGTTGTGTGTCATATCAAGATTTTTTTCTACCGATTTCTCAAAGTTTGACTCATTCTCAAACATTCGTTGCACTTTTGCAGCTAGAGAGGAGCATCTGCAAGTTCTCCTAAAGCTCCATTGAAATAAACATTTTCAACATCTGCACACCCATCCAAATTCATTAAAAATTCGAGCAATAGGACTTTTTTCTTCACATTGACCAACGATCAGTTTCAAAAACGAGGCTCGGAAAAGAATAACAAGGAATGATAACGTTGCAAATCACGAGTCCAGAGCTCTGTTTTCCACTTTTTATCAGCCATCGATTCTCTAATAATTTCCCGCGTCTTTTCTCATTTCCTGATGTTACTTCAAGTTATCTTGTGGATGTTTCAATGAAATGATGAACACTAGAACTCTTTCATTTATCAGTTTGCGAAAAAAAAAATGATGACTAGGCAATTTTCCGAGCTCCAACACAGCATTTGGCAGAGAGAAGAGCTTAAAAAAAACCTAAATTTTGACGAGCAGTTTCCCCCGCGGAACTTTAGGAATAGTACGTAATAATTCGTATTCAGACACACAACTACTTCGAAAAGTTTCTTCCGAACCTGATAGGTTTCGGAAGTTTTCAAGATAACACCAATAATTCACAGCATTTGTTCCCAGGCTCGAAAAGTTCGAGTAGTTTCCAAAAAATGCCAAGAAAAATTTGGGATTCTGTTTGAAGGGTTCAAATTTGAGTTTCAATCTGTATTCTAAGCAGCTTACCTTATTTGACAGGTAAAAGTATTTATTTTTATTTTCAAGTGATGGTTTTCTTGGAAATTTCGTGACAATATAGTTTCTCATCAATTGTCTCGTACCATCACATAGCCTATTTCTTATCTCATGGCCATCGACAACTGATAATGTATCAGATGAACGCCACCGACTCGTTCTCCTCCGCTTCGATGGACGCCAAACTCAATGAAACTCGAGAAAACCTCGCCTCATTGGAAGCCCTCACCTCTCGTAGTAAGTTTTTTTCATCTTCAGTGCTAGAATTTTTTTTAAAACAGTTTTTTCTAAAAGCTTACTGAGTTTTTAGAAGGAATAGGAACACACTATTGATAATCTTTGTACCCACTCCTTATGTCGCAAAAATTTCATAGAGAAAAGAAATTTTCAGCTTCGAAGTAAATTTTATATCAGGCTTCCTGTACACATTTTGAACACTATAAGAAGATTGAATGGAAGAAAAAAGCAAAAAATATTGAGACTTTCTCCAGAAATCTTTTTTGATTCATTCAGGCTACGCCTACCTGACTGCCTTCACCATTTTGTTCGTTTTGGGGATTCTGGTTGTTATTCATGTTGCTATCGTCAGACATGCTCGTGAAAGACAACAAAGGTAATAATTTTCATTCAAAAAAACTTTTATATTGAAGTCTTGGATCTTTATGTTCACCGCAACAATAAATCTCAGCGCAAAAATGCAAAATCGTCTTAGGAAAATTTACTATTCCAGTTTTCCGAGAAAAGAACTGAAGGCTTTTTGAAGTTTAAAGAACATATCGAAGGAAATAATATTCCAATCGATCAAGTTTTGAACAAGTGTCCTGATTTTCGATATCATAGTTTAGTTTTAAAACTAGAACCGTGTTGTCTCTTGAAATATCTGTACTCCGCTGTCTTTTTTCATTTTCTCGAAGTTCAATCACTGAAGCCAACTTGTTTCAGGGCGATGTTTGCGGAGTGGACGCCTCTTCTACGTGAAAAACTTCCGCCACCTCCGCCCTACGATCAAATTATTTGAATAAAAAACGAATTCTAGTCAGATCGTTACTTATTGCGGGTCCAAAATAAAGATAATTTTTAGTGTTCCATGTGACTCTCGCAAAAGATTTCGATCTCGTGTCAAATAAGGAGAAACGAATAATTTTTTGTTGGGTGGAGAAATGAAGGAAGTCTCCTTCCTCAGACGACCTAATTTAAACTGGAAAACAAGGAAAGAAAAAACTCGAAAATTATTGGCAGAGCGGCTCCGTCAACCGAAAGAGTTGAGTTGACTCGAGCAAACAGTACGATCCGTTAGCAGTGGCGTTATTGCCCGCCAAACTTTTCTCTGTTCCTTTTTACCACCTTGGTTTTTTTACGCAATCGCCTCTTCAAAAAAATGTTTTTTTATTTTTTTCCATAAGTTTCGAAACTTCTCTCTTTATTTTCAAAAATTGGAACACCGCAAAAAAATAACGCAATCGACCTAAAAAAATTCGACCCGGTTCGGGGGGTATTTTATTAAACGGCAAAAATTTTTTTTCTTATTAGGCGGCAAAATCAGAGAAATGAAGTATTAATTTTTAAAAATTCTCACCGCTTTCTGCTTCATTTTTTCAAAAAATCGTAGCTTCTCCGACCGTTTCTCATTACTATCATTATGAACCTGCAAAACACCTTTTTTAGTAGCTTGAAATCTTGAAGAAATGTTTATTCTAGTAGGCTGGAATTGAATACACAAGAACTTTGTTGCGCGTGAGTTTTAAGTTGAACTTTTGGTGGACTCTCACGAGAAATATTGGAAGAGGCTATTGATAGAAACGGAAAACTCACTTTTTAAAGAATTCTCTGAATAAACTTTGAAAGAATCAATCGAAAAATCGATTTTTATAGTCTGTGTGCCACGACTTGAAATTTCACGGAACGACATTCCGCTATGCCGCTGCGCGCCTTTTCGAACCTTGGTCGCGCCAATAATATTTTTTTTCTTTTATTAAGGGACTCTACTTTCATGTGCTCCCACAGTAGTGACAATCAATTGAAAGCGTGACCTAGATTTGAAAAAGCTTCGCGAACACACGCAGCGGAACAGCGGAATGTCGTTCCGTGAAATTTCAAATCGTGGCACACAGACTATAGTGTTCATTTTTGTGAATGAATTATTGCCATCGGAAGGTTTCACCAGGTTCTTCACAGTCAAACTTCTTGTCAGAGAGTTAGGAAGGGATTGGACTTTCTAGAAGTTTTTAAAAATTTTGTATACCTTTTTTTCTGCAACTTGAAACTCTCTAACCCACCTTTGATCTCTTTTTTTAAGTCGCGAGGTCTTAAAAGAACATATACTTTTTGAGGCTTTAGATCCATGGAAAATAAGGTATTGTTGACATTCCTGTATTGACGAGAGTATTTCAATATCAATCAGAATGACAAAAATTAAAAAAATCAACTCGAATTGTTCCCGGAAATATCAAACACTCCGAGAAAGGCAAATCCGATCAATATCAAAACTTCACTTTATTTTCTTTTGCAGGTTTTTGCCGAAAACCCATAAACGGTAGCTTCCTTTGAATTCAAACTTTGTTTGCCGATGTTCCTGTAGAAAAGTTTTTACTGTTTGTACGCGGGGAAATTCAAATGGCGTTCTTGAAGTTTCGAGTTTTTTGTCCTGCAGTGATGACGCATTGTTTGGCGTATCTTACGGCCAGCAGCTCTTTTATCTCAACATTCGGGTATCCGACAAGCAGTCCGCCTTATCCGAAGCCGGTGAGCTACTTTTTAGCTGTGATTTGTTTGTTTTTTTTTTAATTTTAGGCGTATATGCAACAGGACGAAAGAAACGACCAGCCGTTCTCCTCCTCGGATTTGGATTATATCAGACTGGTAAATTGAAAATCATTTAGAATAAACCCTTATTTCTCAAAAAGTAGGAAATTGTGCAGACTTCTAGAACCTTCTTCTGGTACATCAAGGAGCGTTCTGGCCAATTTTCAGAAAATTTCCAACCGCAAAGTAGAATGACCTCCTCTTTAAAAAACCGTCTTTTTGAAAACTTTGCTCTTTTTTATTGGTTTGTCTCAAGATTGAAAGAGAGTCCAGGAAAATGTGAAAAATTGTTTTATTCATTCTCAGTTGCTTCAAAAAGGACTGCTTGACGGATAGCTGTAAGAGAATGGTTGTATGCTTCCACACAGCAACTCGCGCTTGACTTTATAATTATAGAAAAGTTTTTTTTTTCAGTTTTAGAGGAATCTAAGATCTGCCTTGACCAGTGTTTGAACTTCTCTCAGAAAAACTATTTCAGCTCACTAATGCTTCACAAAGCGCGTTGAACAATGTGAACAGTCTGTTGGGCTCTCAATCTCGACCTTATCCTTGGTATCCGCCGCCTCCTACCCCAGGACCAGTTAGTTTTCCTTTCAATTTCATTTTCTGGTTCATAGGAAAAACCTTCCTGAGTTTTCCTAAATGAATAGTTTTGACTTGTCATATTTTACGAAACAAAATGGCTTTTTTTGTTCATTAGCCTCCACCCACAGCCGCTCCACCGCCTGTAAGTTTGCTTGTGAGCCACCGCATTTCAATTCACGCTTCCGTTTTCGTTTGGCTTGCACGCTCTCGATTCCCGACTAGTTAACAAGAAAATCGAAAACCTTCGCAAGAAGAAAAAGTCAGATTAACGTGCTCGGATCGTGGAGCCAATAAATTGACATTGGGCATTATAACGAAGGCGGTGAGGTTGAACAAACAGCCGTATGATTCACTCTTGCTGTTTCCTCCCTGAATCTTCTCGTTTTCCTATTTTCCTCATTCATACTCATGAATAGACTGTATAGAAGCTCTACGGTAGCGTCAGACAGTCGGGATCACGACGAGGTTTTTTATTCTACGGTCAGAGTTCCTACGGTTTTTGTCAAAGTTTTTCGAGCAAGACTGATTGAGTTTAAATTAGAGAGTTTGAAATGAAGACTCGTTTTTCTTTCAAATTTTCTGAAGTTCTCGAAAAAAAGCCTGTTGTTAAGCGGAAAATCCGAAGGATACTTTTTTCCAATGAACAAAACGTCAGAAAGCAAAACAAGTGATTTTTGCATTTTTGAGAAGCTCCTGGAAAGTGTGAAGAAATTTTTTTTCTTGAGCTTTAGTAAGGGAAATACAAGTTCAACGATTTTCATTGACCTCAATATTCGAAGTTGCGTCAGACTTGTGACCTAAGAGTACACAAAAAGGGTAAAATGATTTCCAAACGCATAAAGCTTCTCAAATAATTGTTTATGAATAACGAAAAAAAAGAAAGCGAGAAAAAATGATCCACCTTTTTGAAGGCTCCGACTGAACCGCCGTATTATGACCCTTACAACGGCAATCACAACAGTTGGAACCGTGACTCGAACAATTCCCGTAAGTGAACTTTTTGAAAAAGTCAGATTTGAAAAATTTTAAAATATCATATTTTTCTTGAAACTTTTAATGGAAAAAGTGATTTCTAGTTCTGACTAGTTTTCATCCTACCAGGAAAATGTAACAATTACAGTTGCGCTAGGACTGGGGATAGGAATCCCCTTGGGCGTACTCGTTTTATGTTGCTTCGTCGTGATCATCATTTGCTGCTACCGTCGTCGGAAAAACAATATCAGCCGTTTTCCACTTCCTGGCCCGGCAACGAAAAATGCATATGAACCACAACTCGACAGTCCTTCTGTTTCCACGTTAGTTTGAAGCGTCGCTCACAGTTTCATTTCTTATATTTTTAGATACGACCCGTGGGCTTTGGGAAGGGAGCTGCTCAATATAAATTATTCGAAAAAGCTTGGAAGTGGAGCTTTCTGCAACGTGTTCACAGGTGATTTTTTTGATTTTTTCGTTGAGGCCGTTTTGTACTGTTGAAACGTATTATGCAGCGCGACTTCGAATTTTGTTGTAGTGAAATATGTGTAAAGCCATAATGACATTTTTAATGCATTTTTAAGGATTTTAGAGTGGTCCCTATAGGGGTTTAGGTAATTTTTCCATAGGCTCTAAAGCTCAAGTGGTCCCTATAGGGATCGTTCAATTTTCTTCAAAAGGTTATTTTTCATAGTTTTTTGCAGAAAATGCTTCTCCGCATAGAGTTCATAAAATTTATTGATTAGCATGTCTCCCATAGGGACCACTAACTGGAACCTTAAAACCACTTTTACAAGCTTCAGTGGCCCCTATAGGGGTTGGTAAAGTGATCCCTAGGGGGGACCCTTCAAGCTCCCTGGTTGTTTCTATAAGGACCACTCTGGAGTTCCTGTGTTGACCGCTATAATATATATGAGTCTCAACATATTGTTAGGTTTGAATCGAGTATAGCATCTCGTATGAAAATGAACTAAGTTTCTCAAAAAAAAAACTTCATTCACGAGCAGTATTCCCTTTCTTCAATGATCACATTGGACTTTGAGAAAAAAAAAGCAAAAAAATGAAAAATGATAAAAAGTTCAGGTCACATAACTGGCGAGTCACCAGTAGCCCATGTCTACCCTGGCGTCAGAACTGCGGTACTTCGAGATTGTCCCGTAGCTGTCAAAATGCTGCCAGCTTTTGCCGACGAAATAGCCCGATCCGATTTCATGCAGGTTATTCAATGCTCCATTGATATTTTGAAAACGCGCTCTCAGGAAATTAATTTCATGAAGTCGCTAGCCTATCACCCACATTTGGTTTCAATGCTGGGTTATGTACCGGACAGGAAAGCGCCTTTACTTTTGGTGGAATATTGCGAGAAGGGCGATCTTCTGCACTTGATTCGAAGCAAACGAGATGAAATAATCCAGGTTTTCTTTTCTGAATTTTGGAATCTTACTGAAGTATGATACAGGGCCCAAGTGTGTACCCCAACGGCCTGAACATCAAAGATTTGCTGATGTTTTCCTGGCAAATCAGCAGCGGTTTGGTGAGTTAATGACATCATTTGATTCATTTTTAAAACGTAAAACCTGTAGGAATTACTTGATTAGTGATTTGAGTTCACTTTTCTGGAGCTTTCTTGAGCTGGGAAGGTGACAGCAAAACTTGATTTGATGTTAGTTTTTGAATTTACAGTTAAAAAAAATAAAGTCTCGGTCACAACTTTCTTGTATTTTCAGTATTTCTGAAACTTTCTGGAGTTATGATGACTGTTTCTTAACACTCTGGTGAAGTTTCAGTTCCCAGAAAAATAAAAAAAGCAGCTTTTAGAAACTTTCAGGAAGATTGTATTCACTACAAGGTTATGACCGAAATCGCAATTTTTCCGTTTCTTTTCTGACGGTACCGTACTGCATAATTTTTTGGCTCAAGTAGCCGTTAATGCATACTAAGTAGTTAGACGCTTGAAGCATATTCTTGCAAGTGCGCCCGACTATCAATGACTTGCGCAAGTTGAAGCTTTAAAGCGAGCTGTAAAATCCGAGTTTGCCGGAAAACCCATTCCGATCACTAAATGAAAAACCAACGCTAAAATCTCTGAAAAATCCGAAATCTTCTTTATGTTGCCTTTTAGATCAAAAAATTTCAAGGAGCTTGTTAATTATTTATATTCCGATTGAAATAGTAATCACATATTATTCCAGGAATATCTCAACAGCGCGGGCTGCATCCATCGAGACATAGCCGCAAGAAATGTCCTCGTCGACGGAACCAACACTTGCAAAGTCTGTACTTTATGTTCCTCATTACATTCCATGACTCATTCAGATTGGAGATTTTGGTCTGTGCCGTTTGACTGACAGCCTGTTGTACACTGCCAGAGGGGGTCGATTGCCTCTCAAGTGGATGGCGCCGGAATCCCTTTCAACGTATGAATACTCGTTCAAGAGTGATGTGTGAGTTGTTTTGGACTTCTTTGAAACTTAGGGTTTTGAGATTCTGACAGAAAACATCGAAAAAATTTTAAAAAAGGGCACAAGAAAGTCGGTATCCATTCAAAAAACCCAAATTTCAAGATATTTATGATTGCTTCAGAACATTGATTGTACTATTATAACTCCATACCAATTTTTTCGACTTCAGTTGGTCTTACGGCGTTCTGCTTTGGGAGCTTTTTTCCCTCGGAGAAGTACCATATGCCGACATACAAACGACAGATCTTCTTGAACACTTGAGATCAGGACAAAGACTCAGTCAGCCAGCTTTTTGCCCGGAAGAAATGTTCGTATTTCTTTTTTTAAAAATTTAAATAAGAGAAATTCAGATTCGCGGTCATGAGTTTATGTTGGAAGTGGGACGCCGGACATCGACCGACTTTCCAGGAGATTTGTCAAACTCTTGCTACAATGCTGGAGAGCGCAACCGAAAGTTATGGGTATTTGGTCCCGACTCGGCGAGAAAGGAAATCGGAGCCTGAAATGTGCGACAACGTCTGAACTTCTGCATGAGCTGTAGGTTCAAAGTGGCTGGAAATTTCTTGACAAAGTCTTTCAGAAATATCGGAAGAAAACGCTCAACGTATCCCATTTCTTCCTCAATCTCCTTTGAATTCGGGTTCTGGTAGTAAAACTGATAATTTTTTGTTGTAGATAAAGTTGTTGAACTGTTTTTTTTTTTACATTAAAGCAGCTCAGAAAAATCGAAATTTTTTGAATTCGTTTTATTTTATTTTTTTTACTCTCGCTTTGAAATCGTTTTTCTCTGAATATTTCTCAAACAAGATATTTTGAGATCTGAAACAAAAATTCTCAACAAAGTAAGACTGGCTTATCATGAATAAGCCGTGAAAAATTCGAATAATGCACTTTTGGCCGGGACGATTTGCGCGCATCAAGCTGGTTGCTTCGGAAATCATCCATGCGTGCTTCATTCGTCTTCAGCCCTCCCTAATTTACTCTTCACACAATTTTTTATCTTTTGTCGGTCTGAATTATATGTTTCTCGTCTGTTTTGAAATTTTGAAAAAAACGGCGAATTTTATTAATTTTTTTCAGCGCTTTTTTTAAAATTTAAGTGAAAATTTTGGCCCCAGAATTATGTTGGTGAACTCATAGCTCATTCATAGTTGATTCTACGTTGCGAGATAATTATCGATCGAAAGGAAAAAAATTTTTTTTTAATATTTTGTTCAACTAGGAATACTACAAAGGAACATCCTGAGGTTTCAATTGAATCACCAAGATTATAATCGCCACATCCCTGTTTCCAGCCCAGATAAACATTTCTTAAGCAGCGATTCAAGCAAATCGAAAATCTCTAATGGACTTCCCACGGCAAAACCACATGGCAGAAGAAAAAAAAAGCATCTGCGCGGGTGAGAAATGGACGGGAAGATAAAGACAGTTGCCATTCAAAGCAGCGGGACGTCATGGAAAACTGTATTTTCTATGATCTTCCCACACCTCAACTCGGATATTTTTTTTTTTTTTTGTCAAAAAAATACTCGTTTTCTCGTTGAAGAGGCTCTTTTTGAATGGAGTCATTGGACTGTGGGTTTCGTTTTTCCTTGACAAGTGCAGTATTTCTGTCATTTTTTTCTTCGTTAGGCATCTCCATATTTTCCAAAAGTCTTTTTCAGAATTTTCTACAAGACCAATCTAGTGAAAAATATGAAAATCACATAGAAAACACCCATTCTTCAGCTTCATTAGTAGGGATAGAAACGAAAATATTGAATATGTATTTTTTCTTCCTGTGCGGCATTTTACTGCTCAACACTTAAGATTTGAGCAAATTCTCTGGATTTTGGTATTGCTTTCAAAATTTTGACTAATTTTACTAGGCTGGCTCACGTTCAATTAAACTTTTTTCCAAATTTGTTCAAATGACTTCAAGAAAAAACCTTGGGTATTGAGCCTAAATAAATGATTTTTTCAAAACTGCAAATTGAAATTTCTTTGCTGAGCTGCTCATTTCCAAATTTTTAACTTCAGACAACTTTTTTTCAAGCTAAAATCGGACTCACAAATCCCAACAAGTCTATTTGACAATGTTTCTGCGCCGTGTTATCACCAAGAACATATTTGCTACAGGTAGGTCAACCTTATTTTGATCTGCCCGCCAAAATAAACGCGCTACCGAGCCACGTCTGCTCAACGCCATTCTTTCCATCGCCAGTGAATCATTATTCGAATATTCTTTGATTTTCACATTTTTTCTAGTTTTCGTGCTGTTTTTCGTTTAATTTGGTTGTCTCAAAATGCTTTTAATTTTGAAAATGAAATTTTGTAAGGTTTTCTGATTTTCGCCAAACACGCGTTGACGTAAATTTGCAAAATGTTTGTAGTCGCTATTGCGCAAATTTTTAAAAAAAGTTTTTTTAAAAAAAGTGAATTTTTGAAATCTTGAAGTATATAAATGGTCGCTGACTTGATTTCTAGTTGAAAAAAACTTGAGTACTTATACATACAGCAACTTTCAAGAAATTTCACCAAGACGCTTTTTTTAAAAAAATTATTTTTCAAAAAGGCGTTGAAAAATCATTGTTTTTTTCTCAGCTCAAAATAATTTTCCAGCTTTATTCAAAGAATTCTTTAATTTTTGAACCTTCTCGCTGGTTTTTTCGAAACATCCTTTTTTTGGTTCTTGAAGGAACACAATGCAAAAATGCGCATTGTTGTTATGAACATTAGAATTCAGTGAGGCGTCGTCAACGAATATTTACCTGAACTCTGGTTCGTCTCCGCCACGCGTCATAATTTTCATTTCAAGCCACGTTTTTCTCATTTCACTCTCCACAAAAAATACAAACAAATGTTACCTGTTTGCATTTGAATTTCAATCTGAGAGAAGGGTCTTTTTGTTGTTTTCTTATCTTCTAGTCATCAGAAAGCAAATCACTGAACAGGAAAATTCCCTTTTTGACGTCTTCTTGCTATCTTTTGATTTTATTATTTCCGTTCCGGGCACGTCTTTTCTAAATTTCCTGTAGAAAAAAATATTTTATCTATTTTTTTGAGCTAGCTAGTCTTTAAGTTTACATTTCTCCTACTGGACTTCGCCTCTAAATTTTCAATTCAAAATATGGAAGTTTTGCAATGACAGATTTCAAAACGGCAGGTTACAAATATATAAAAGACTCTAAACCTGTGACAACTACCCATTCAGTGGTTATTGCGTCTAGTTCCAGTAAATTTGAGTTTGCCTTTTTGTTGTTACTCCATGTTTATGTTCCGAGAGAACTTGCCCAACTCGTGAAATTTTTTTCTTTTGTATTTGTGAGTGGATTTACTATGAAAAAACATTCTTCTTATCAAAGACACTTTTAAGAAAATTCTAATAACCTGAAACCCTCTGAAAACATGTCAAGCATGAATATATTATTGAATGATAACTCTCTTAGACAAGAAAAGTTTCATTCTGACGTCATTTTGTCATTTGATGACGTCCATATTTTTTGTTGATGAAATCGTTTTCTAAACATTGCGTTATAAAAAATAAAATATCCTTAGAACTCCAGAGTGGTTCCTAATAGGGCTCTTGGAAAAAACTGCTTTACCAACCCCTATAGGGGCCACTGAAGCTTGCAAAAGTGGTCCCTAGAGTGGCCCCTATAATGGACATGATAGTCGTTAATTTTTTATGAACTCTAGGCAAAGAAGCGTTTTCATGGAAAAAGCTGATTACGTAAGCGTTTTTGAACGGAGTTAAGAGACCCCTACGGGATCAGATCCTGAACCCCTAAAGGGACCACTTCATCGGTCCCTATAGGGGCTGTTTTTTTTTCTGACATCTATAGGGACCACCCTAAATATCTCAAGAATGTCAAAACCATTGCAAAAACTGAATAAATAAGCATTTTTGAATGAAATTGAATCACCCCCATAAGGACCAATTAAGCTTCTCAGTTATCAAGCTTCAGAGACAGTTTTTGGATAATTTTTTTCCACTCTCACAACAAATTTTTCTCAAAAAATTTTTTTACAATGATTGAAAGTTCCAAACCCGTTCAGTTTTTGAGAGAAACGCATTGCTTGGCATGAATCACAATGCTTTCAGTAGCTTTTCTTTGAAAGCAGGGCGGAATTTCGAATGGGCTCTTGCTAACTCCGCTCATCGTACAGGAAACTTTTCTCGACATGAAGTTTTTGTCTTTTTTTTTTTGGTTAGTACAGTCGGCTCTTCACAGGCACAGATGCTATGCAGATATCGTTTTTAGAATGTCACTTCCTCACACGCATTTGTGCGTATTCCCCTATAAATAAGAAGAGATTCGTTAAGATATTTGAAGTATTCGAAATGTTTACTCAGTAAAGCTAGGCTTTGAGATAAGTTGAACTGTTGCCATTGTTTACCTGCCAACTTTCCTACTAGTCTCAGTATTTTTTCCTTTCTTTGTCTTTTTCTCTGAGCCAAACATGTTTACTAGAGAAAATTAGTTAACAACATTTGTACAAAGTTATGTTTATCGTTTCCTTGATGATCATTATTTTCGGTGGTCAAAAAAATTTGAAATTTCCTCCGAATATGCCCTTCTTTTCAATAGTTTCTCTCCTTTAGATTTTTTTAGAAGTTTTTTTTAAATCTATTAATTTTCCAAAATTTTCTGAGAAACTCTGAGAAGAAACAAATTAGTTTCAATTGATCGAAATTTCAATTTTTCATTGGGAACGGCTAAAAAGAATCGCCGAAACATCAAGCTAAAAGCTCAGATTTCAAGATTCTCCAAACTTCAATCTTCCCCAGGAATTTCCCAAGACATTCAAAAAACAGATAATGAATGAAATTTTTTGTGCTCTATAAGATTCCGAATGATGCCCTGGATTTTTCTCAGAAATATTCTCCCCCAAAACTTCCTCATACATCCAATATGAAAACTTCTGTGAATACATATGAACTCGTCGTCTTGTTTGCTGAATATAAAGCCTTAAGAGCACATGAATGATCAAATTTCTGGACAGATGACAGGACGTTTGTTTCACCCACGCAAAATTTGCATCTGCGAGACCGAACGATTGTAACGAATATTGCTATGGGCCGTATGAAAACACGTATGAATAATACGAGTTATTGACACAGCCTCAATGTTGTGTTTGTATGAAAATGTCGCGTGCTCAGGCAAGTGGCCACTTCCTGGGCAAGTTCAGTTATTTTCCACGATCCTCAGAGGAATTACTGTTCAACTCATTGTAGATCCTGTAGGCAGGCCCAATTATGAGCAGTTTTGGCATGGTAGAATTTATCGACTTAGTATTGAGTGATGGCTCCAACTTTTGAGAGATGAGGTTTCTGATATCGCGGATACTGTCCCGATGAAGTTTTCGCTTCAAAATTCACAGCCTTTTGGCGTGTTTATTGAAGAAACAGAACATGTTTCAAACCGGAAAATCATGTTCATCGACGCGTAAAAGTTGCTCCGAAACAGTAGTAATTTTTGTTTTGGAGCATTTTTTTGCGTTTCGAATTAATTTTCGTTTTGTTTGATGAACAAACCATTTGATTTCTCATTGCCGAAAAAATCCTTTTTGTCATGAGCTCTTGAGGTTTAACCTTAGTTTTTTCCATTTTATTAAAGTTCGAGAAGATTAGGTCAATAATTCACGAGTTTATTCAACTCAAGCTTTTTCCTCTTTTAAAATTTTTTCAATGATTGACCTGAATAGTAGACTATTATTCATAAAGAGAGTGAGATTCATAAATTCCAGAGACTTTTTTGTTGATTCGAATGAAAAAGGTCTAAAAACTTTGAACCGCCCGACTTTGAGCTTTTGAAAAAAAAAGCTCGATTTTTCAAAAAGCGGTCATTTTCATCTTCATTCCCATCATTTTAGCCAATCATTTTTGACAAAATAGACGGTGCTCAAAAAAAGATAATGGTTTTATAAATCCATTAAATGTCTCTCAAAACTTCAGAATAAAAAACCTAAGACTATTTCCGCTTACCGTCCTTTGGAAAACGATGAATTGGAATTTTTTCTCTCAAGGTTGTGCTTCACTGACAGAATAATAAAGATGTATGACCTCCAAAGCAACTCTGAAAACCGTCCTTATTAAGTGTATAACCTGCTTCAAGGTGAATTCTCTGTTTTGAAACCCTTTATAGTTTGATAGCAGGAAAAATTTTCTTTTTATGCTGTTCGTTCACATGAAATCTCATAAAATGTGATTTTACTATTCTGAATGAACATAAAAACTTTATCGTGAAATATCACACAAGTTATCGTTTTGTAGAACACATGCTCGTTTAGATCCCTGGTTATCAGAAGAAAGATATATTCAAAAAAAAAAACGAGCAAAACTCATAATTTTCGAAGTTTTTAATGGAAGAGTTTCAATTTTTGAATTCCTTTGAAAGTTATCCTGAAGTTTTGGTCAAAAATTTTTTTCTCATAAGGTTAGATTGTTCTCCTGTTCCTCTTAGTTTTTATTTTTGGAAAAAAAACTCCAAATTCAAGGCCTTCAAGAAAAACTTTTCAACAAGGTTTTTTTTCCGAAATTTGCTTGACATTATTTTTCCTGATGATCTGAGGAGACAGGCAAAGTCTAAACTACCTCAATAAAGGCTTCAAAGAAGTGCCTAAAGCTCCTTTTTAAAAACTCGGAACCGCTTGGACTTTGCCCGTGGATACCAGTTCCGTCACTTTCAACCTAATCCAAAAAAGTACCATTTTCCATTCTTGGATTTCCACACAGTCCAATCAAACCCGATTTTATAGTAAGATTGAACTCTGAAGTTCCGAGAATCCTATCCGAGGAGCACTTTGAGCTCTGAGAAATCCACGCAAAGGCGGAGCGGCCGGCTGCAACTCTCCGGCGCGTGTTCCCGTCCAGCTGTCAGCGCCTTTACCACTTGATCGTTTCTGCTTCCCGCCATCCTTTTTTCTGGTCTTTCGTCATCCAGAGCCCATCGAATATCGATGTGGACGTTTTTTTGTTCTTAATATTGCTTTTCTGAGAAATTTCGTTTCACTTAGAATTCAGCTGGTATCTGGATCAAAAAATTTTTTTCTTACGTAGATTTTCATGGAGAAACTGAAACAAAAAGTTCAGGATAGGATCTACCGGTAATCTTGGTATTGTTGAAAACAATTAGGGGCTGCTTTCTTAACTTCATTTTTCCTGTCAAGCTACATGAAAATTTAAAAAATGAATCGTTTTTGTATTTTTGATAAATCTAAACGTTCATCATAAAATTGTGCAACTCTAACCCCTTAGAATTTTTTTCCTTCTTGTTTTGCGCTGAGTTTTCACCTGTCTTAATGAATTTGGAGATGCAGTTTCTCAAAAAAAAAAGAGTTTCTAGATATGCACATCTAAACAAAATGAGCAAGAGAAAAAATTCAGCGACACGGAACCAAAAAAGGCGATTTTTTTTCAAACCTTGAAGAAGCTAGGAACTTTCTAGTTCAAACTCCATGAATAGATCCCTTGTATGTTTCCCCTGGCTGTTCCATTTTCAATGAAAAACCTTAATTTTTTTAGAAATCAGAAAGAAAAGGATCTTTTTTTAAAATTGTTTTTCAAAAATTTTTTTCAGAGACTTCAAGGAGACGAAAAAAAGCTTGGTAAACCTTTGAAGGAGAAAAAATCGAACTCATTATGATTTTTTTCCATTTGTGAATTCATTAGGTGTGATTGGGTTCAAAGAATAGGAAGACGTAAAGATAGTTGAGTGTTTCCAAAAAAATGTCGCTTCCTAAAAAGTAGTTGGAAAATGATGTCTTTACTCAATTCCAAGTTTTATTTACTTTCGAAAAAATGCAGACTTCCTCAATCTCTCATGATCCAGTTAACAAGAATTTGGTTTCAACAAGCATTCAGTTCAAAATTTCCTAAAAGGGTTAAAAATTCCATTTGGAAAAAAATTTGAGAAACGCCTCGCCCTGCAATGGAGCTTTTTATGTTGATGAAAGTGGTTTTTTTTCGGCTTTTCGGATACTGAATAACATTGTCCATATGTGGCGCCGGAATGGGATCGGGTGAGCTGATTGCTTCGGCGCGTTGAATTTTCTTCCGAACTCATTGTCGTTCTCGGTGTCAGGTATTGTGTTTGGCGCCTCAACCTCCTCTGCCCCTCAGCGACACATCTCAATTGTGCGTCACTCAGAACTTCTTCGTCTTCTTTTCTTCGAATTTTGACCGCGCCCACTTCAACTATTCCTTTTACTGTCTATTTTTGAGGACATCGATTTTCTCTCGACCTCTCTAGTTTTTTGAAACTTCAAACATCTTGGAAAGTGTAGGAATGGCTTGAGGGTTGAATTTTTCGAGTCTTACTTCAAGTTTGGGATGTAGTAGATAACAAAATTTCGTGGGGAACAGATTAAAATTCCAAGGAAGTTTTCAAAAACGTTTGGAAACAGTATATTTGGCCGAGATCCCTGCAAAGCGCTTTTTATGAGATCCCCATTATTTTTTTGCAACCAGAAACTTTTTCCAGTTTTTCAATGTTTACCTGAAGTGAATAGGGAGAACTCAGAAATCTAGATTGAAAGTTTTTCTGTGGAATCTTTCTTAAAATTTTCATCACATTTTCGTGGTCCATTCGAAACAGTAATCTCAGTTTTTCGATGGTCCGAAATCGGTCTTAATTAGCTTCAGCTTTTTTTGACAATTCTCCTGTAGCTTTATTTCGGATCAAATTCCCAATTTCTGGTGCGCAATGAACATTCATTCCTGATTTTCCTTCCTTAGACGCCTTGTACTCAAAACAAGCAGACAGTTATGGGAGACTATCATTACTATCTAATCATCCTTGTTTATCGCCGAGTAATAACTTCTGTGGCAGCTGGGGATGGCTTTTGGTGAGAAGATGGGACGAAAACCCGCATTCTTGTGTTTGTTCTGCCGCAGCAAGGCTTCTCTCTGTCGCGTAGTCGCTTGCAGTTTGTTACCCACTGTGGAGAAGAAAAAGCACGTGTGAATTTATGTTTTGTCTAGAAAATTATTTCTTCTCTTTGAAGGAATAAATCAAAGTGCAATCTCAGAAAAGCCTAGTGAAAATGAAGCTGTGGCTCTGCAAAAAATGCACAATAATTGTGTTGTCCTAATTCGTTTTCTGAGCTACTTTCGGCACTTGTAAACACGTGCAGGGAAGCCAAAATGTGATGAATGGTTTTTCTGGTTTTTAAAGTTCTTTCTTATTTTGTTCGTTGTACGAATGCTTGCTAAAAACATTTTGAATCTCGATTTTCCCATTCGTTTGCAAAATTTTGACGAAACCTTTTTTTATAAGCATGAAGCACTGAATTTTCATGACTCTGATCCGTCAATCAGAGTTTTTGGTAAAAAGTCAGTACTTAGATTAGTTAAAAAACATGATATTGTAAGCAGGAACCCATCATTTTCACCTATTGTCCGTTTTTCGCAGCTTGAAAGGTCACCTCTTCTCTGCGCCCTCCTTATCTCTCGACGTTTACGTGCTATTTCCTCGATTTTCTGATCTTTCCGGTGAGAGAGCAAAGAGATGCAGACACCCAAAAACTGTCAAGGCGGACAGACTATAATTGCAAATTACCTCTTCATATTGATGTTAAAAGTCTTTTGAGAAAAAAGGAACACTCAATATTTTGCGGTAAACTCTTGTAGTAGCACGAAAAAAAGTAGAGCAGTGCAATTAAATCATCACTAACCAACCAACTTCGCATTGCCGTCTGGCCCAAATGCACACAACGACTGTTTGCTTCTGTCAACTACTCCCATCAAAGTATACCGCGAGCGCTTCTGCTATTTCTAGTTTTCCGCACTCGAAAAGGCAGTATTTTGGGAAAAATCACGGAGAGCATCCGATAAAAATGCGCGAAATTTGATTTGTTGCAAAATTTATGCGTCACGTGGCTCTCCATTCTCATTTTCCCTTCGGCAACATTTTTTCCTCGTTTTTTTCTTCTTTCAAAACATTGGGCTCAGTGATCCTTTTTTATTACTACGTGAGCTCAGTTTACTGCCATGTGTTTTTTGTTTTTGCCAACTGCGTGTCACAAGTTCTCTGCACCCGGGTGATGCAAAGAAGTTTTTCCTAATTATCACATTGATTTGCTTCGAGTTTCAGAATGCCCGAATCGCCGCCGCCTTCCTACAGCCCACGTCGACCTCCTCCGCCATACGAGGAGCAGAATTCCCGCAATTCTCATAAGGTATTTAGTGGATGGAGAAAAAGATTCTCGTGGGAAAAAAACGGTCTTTAACGGTCTCTTGGTTGCTAGGAGCAGAGACATTTTCTCATTCGAATATTTTCTAGACCGCCCACGTTTCCTGAATGTTTTCACAGACTTTTGTTTTCTTTCCATTTTTTCTTTTGGTTATTCGCTCACCTTTTCCGGTGAGAATTAAGAAGTGAGCAGAAGAAAAATTGTTTCACTTTGTTTCTATTATTCTTTATTTTTGCTGTTTCGGTTTGACGTTAACAATTTTGTTATAAATACGTTTTAGAATCAATTTTCGATCACTTCAAATGGAACGACACAATTTTCATCTTAAAAAATGCAATACAATTATTTAAAAACCAATTGAATGCACAAATCAAATTCGCGGATTCAATTGAATCTATATAAAACCTCCTCAAGCTTTTTTGAGTAAGAATTTTGATATTTAAACTGCAAAGATTTTTTTCTGAACAGTTAGTATATTTACATAGAGGAAACAGTTTTCAGAGACTGATGAGTAGTTGAAAGTAACGATGAAAATTGTTTCACCTTGCCTTCCAGAAACGAATTTCCCAGTTCAAAAAAAGAAACGCTGAAGGAGACATTTTTGTTATTCACAAGCGTCTGGCGTGAAAGATAAGAAGTTTCGCACGTCGTTTCCTAAAATTAGTCATGGTTGCTTTATCATTTTAAAGGATGGTCTTGCAGGAGCAATGCACGATGAGCACTGAACACGCCTACAAGGTCTCGCCACCGCCATTCGTGCCGCTGTCGTCGCCGGCGGCCATCGACGTCGACCAGCTCGTCATCGGCAACGCCAACATGGGCGAGGCCGTCCAGCCCGCCACCATAGTCATCGTCCACGAGCCCAAGCCTGCGCCGACCTTCGCCCCTTATGAAACCTACTGCCACAAATGCATGGTAAGTTGCTATTTGATCAGCTGAATGAAAACTTTCCAACGAAGCTCATCTTTTCTGTAAGAAAAGAATCGTCGAAATACAGTACCGTCAGGGGTTTCGGTCAAAACTTTCTTTTAAGGAATCCAATCTTTCTGAAACTTTCTGTAGTTGTGATGACTGTTATTTTTTTGAACTTCTGATGAAGTTTCAGTTTACAGAAAAAAATACAGGTTTAGAAACTTTCAGGAAGATACAAGAAAGTTATGACAAAAAAATCTCGATTTTTCTTTTTTTTTTTTCTGACTGAAGTTCATAATCAAATAGGCGGAAAATTTGGAAAAATGCCAGCACTTTAAAACCCATAACACTCTTTGAACGACTTTTCCGCTCGTTTTAGAAAAAATTGCAGAAACAGAGCTTTGTTTACCGTTTGAAAAACGATGGGGAAACGCTATCTAAACATTGAAAAGTTCCCAGAATTATCGGAAACAGATATTCCAGACAATCATTCTGTAAAAAAAGTGTAAAAAAACTTGAAAAAAACTTCGAATAGAATTCTCATTGAAGTTCATTTATCATTCAGTTTCCTGCACTAAAAATCACTTGTTTTTTTAAAAAAATATGAAAAAAACCTATTGAATTGTTCAATCCAATTATTTCATAGCGATTTTTTTCAAAGATTCGGTTTGATGAAAACTTATATTCAAAAAGAGGGTTGTACCAAAAAAATACCCTTTTTTTACACTTTTTTTGAATTTTTTTATAATTCTTTGATAGAGAGATTTTTCGACACTTTTCTCTGCACTTCACTCACTCGAAAAAAATTCTCGTCAGAATAAGATTTTCGATTTTTTGGTTAGATAATCAAATTAGTGTTTTCAACAAAACTAAAACAAATTTGATTGTGCGCAGCAAGGTCGCTGATTCGAATCGCGTCATTCATTTTTGCTTTCTTCTTTCATCTCGCCTATTTTTTTAACACGACTTGTTCTTAATGTCCGCGTAAGGGGATTACCCTAGTTGAGCTAGCTTAGAGACGACAAAAAAGTTCTCAGGAGAGTTTTTGACATAAAAGTAGGGCCAAGGGTGAATGAAAAAAAGAAAGTAAATACGGCCGGTTCGTGAGTCTGCCAAACAGGCGACACTCGTGACAGCTTCAGGAAAAATTCGAGTGAAACTGTGAAAAAAATATAGTAAGGAGCTCAGGAAGATACTTAAAAAGGGGATATTCATAGATTTTATTGTTCTTGCAATTTTCAAAACACTTTTTTAAGTGTCAAATTTTAAAATGAACTCGGAAGTTAATTTTAAATCCGTGGTAAGCATCCGAAATCAAAAAAGACGCGTTTTTTCTTCTTGAAACAAAGAAATTGAACTGGAAAAAATCCGACACAACCAAACTTTAAAATTTGTACCGTTAGATTTTTTCCTGGGTTGATTCGGGTTTTTTTTTCTAATATCAATTGCGCAATTTACTTTCAGTTTTTGCTTTGCTTAAGCATACCACCAAAGTAGACAGCCTAACGAAAAGGAAAACCGCCAAAATTTAATAAATAAATCAAAATTAAACCCCTTTTCAGACTTCCTAATATCATATCACAAGAAAGAAGTGAGAAACCTGAACATCAACGATTGATTAATTTTCGAAAAAATTGAAGCCAAAAAACAGTGAAAAACTGTATTCAAAACAAAAAAAAATAATAAAAACGGCATCTTTTTTCAGAAAAACGTGACGACCCGACCGCACTATGTCACAGGGACTCTAACTTGGATCGTTTTCGCTCTGGTCTTCATTTTCTTCCTACCTTTGGCATTCGTTCCGTTCTGCTTGGATTCCTGCAAAGACGCGCACCATTTATGTCCGAAATGCTCCACGCTGCTGTCAATCAAGAAACGGCTCTTTTGATTGATTTTCGACCGCTTGATTTTTGATATTCCACGCCTCGATAGGTGAAACGTAGTTTACTCGAGATTTCCTCTTCAAAATTTCGAAAATATTCCAAAACCGTAAAAACTTCACTTCAGATTTCACGGTGCTCCTGTCAATTTTTTTTTTCCTTTGAGGACCTGTCGCCTATTGTTTTCTAGCTGGTAAATTGTTGTCTGTTTTTTCCCCCTGTACTTTTCCTGACACTTAGTTCTTCTCATCTTTGCCTGTATTTATTTTTCTGTAAATTAGAAGATGGTGATGTGAAATGTTCTTTTCAATGCTGGTACAAAACTTTTTTTTTCTTCTCGTGATATTTTGAGTGTGATATTCGCCGCTTTTTATGTAAAGACTTTATTGAGAATAAAAGCATCAAAAACAAAAAAAACATTTAAAGAGAAATTAAAGGGAAAGTAAGACACGTAGCGAACACTGAGGAATAAACAGTCGAAAAGCTGAAAACTGTCTAAAGAACTGTTAAAACTTCAACAATAAGGGAAACAGGCAAATTTTACAAGAATGCAAAACAAGACTCGATGAGGGCTTGAATTTGCGGACACGACGCTTCCGGGAAGTATCTGGAAGATTCACTCATAAATCTTAATATGTACCCAACTATGAAACTATTCGGTTGTTCACGAGAATTTTTTTAACCTGATGTAACTAAAAAAATCAAGATTTTCAAGAAAAAATGAAATATTTTTTGATACTCAACCGAAAAATTGTTATCGAAATTTTGAACTTTGATAATTATGTGGAAGAAATGGTAGCTAAAGTATGAAAACACAGTTTGAAATAATTTTTCCCTTCATGATTTTGCGCAGAAGACTTACTGAATCCCAAAACCCAAAACTCACTTTTTGGCAAAGGCACAGTTCCTCTGAATCCAATCAGAAGGATCTGTGATTTTGAAGACTCTCGTGAACTTGTTGATAGCGGCGCACTGAAAGCTAAACTAGAATTAAGTCTTGGAATACTCAAAACCTGAGCCGGTCTCAATCTGTAGCGGACTGAAGACGTCGTCTCCGAACTGACGGTGACTTCTTCAGCGTCTTCTGTAGGCTCGGCAGTTGTCCTAACAGAGGCGAAGGAAAGTTCTTGCTGCTTTTGTTCGAGTAGCTTCAATCTCTCCTGGAAATTTCCATTGATACAAAAGAAAAGCTAAAACGATTTGGAGGAACCTGCTCAAGAAGACGTTCTTGTTCCAGAAGTACTCTTTGCCGTTCTTCTGCCTCTCTGAGCTCTTCAAGCTGTCTCAACATCTGAAATAATCCTTGACTTGATTCCATAACAAACTTAATCGAACTTTTTCTTTGCGAGCTAAAATTTCAGCTCGAGCTTTCTCTTCAAGCTCAGCTTCTTTCAAAGCGGCCAGTCTGAGTTCTTCTTCTTTCTCATGTTTTTCCTGGAATTAATCTGTAGCCAGAGAAAGTGATTTTGTCTTGATACCTTCTCCATTTGGATTCTCTGCTCTCGAATTCGTTTTTCGAACTCGTCCTCAGTACTCATATCTGCAGCAGGCATACGTCGAACTTCTTCCTGTGGTGCTACAGTTGTAGTTGGAGCTTCTGTAGTTATAAAGTCGACAGTGGTCGGCACTGATTGGACAGGCATCGTAACGAATGTCGTGTCGATTCTTAATAAATTTTTTTTCCCTGAATAAAAAAAGGATCAATTACGTTGAAGGTGGATTCAAAGATTTCTCAAGCGCATTTTTCGCGCTTCCGATAAGACCAGTGATCAAAGATGTCAGAGCATCTGGCTTAGAAACATCAGTTGTTCTGCAAAAGATCATTTTGAGTGAGAGAAAACGTCGGTCTCAAACTTTTTGACCCCGTTTCCGGTCTGGTTGATCTTGCTCAAAATCTCAGCTGTTGAGAGGGTGCTGCTTGTTACAATGAAGTTTGCGCCTGTCGTCTCTAAAAAATTTGTGGGGCTCAAATCTTCGAAAAAAAATAATAAACCTGAAGATTCTGTGGAAGGAGATGTTGGAACCGTTGTTTCCGTGGATTCAGTAGTCGTCGTTGTTTTCTTCGGTCCATGAGTAGTACCATTCTTTTTGTAGACGAAGTCCCGTCGAGAGTTGAGATCATTGCCTTTCAAGGTTTCTGTTTCTTCGGGGATAGTTGAAGAAATTTCCGTTGTTTCGAAAGTAGTTGAGTCGAAGGTCGCTTCAGAAGCCAATGTAGATGATTCTGGTTGAACTGGAGTTGTTGCTTCAGTTCCAAGCGATGTCGAAGTTGAAGCTTCAGTATTCGAGTCCGTGGAACTTGCTATCGTCGTCTTTTCGGTAGTACTTTCCTTCTCAGTTTCAGTCGAACTAACTGCCTCCGTGGCAGGTTCTTCCGTTCTTGCTTCGATCGAAGTAGATGTGAATAGTTCTGTAGAAGTTTCTGGGACATGAGTCGATTCCTCGCCTTCCGGCGATTCCGCCCAGATGACAAAACCAGCAGGAACCGTCGTGGATGTGAGATCTACAATGGTCGTCGAGTTCTCTCTCATTCGTCTCTTTTGCTCTTTGAGAAGTTCCAACTTCCTTTTCAGTTTACTTATGACGTCTTGCCACCTGTAAGTTGAATAATTAGCTTGGGATGGATACATCACAAACCAACCGTTGAGGTAGAGGTTTTGTAGTCAGAGTGTTAGAATTCGTAGTTGTTTCGACGTCGTGAGATTCACTGGAAGCGACGGTGGCTTTCGATGCTGGCGTTTCTTCATCGGCCTTTGACGACTCTGGAAAGATGAAACTTTTTTAGGATATTTCGAAGAGCTTTTTTTCTCATCATAATTTAGTTTTTCAAAAAACTTTCTCTCAAATTTTTACAAAATTTCGAGAACGCGTAATAGTTAGTTTTTGCAGTTTGATGAGCCTCTCGTTTTCCAGAAAACTTATTCGATTTGATAAATTGATAAATGGAAATTTTTTCCGAAGGATAAGATTGTTTAGGTGAAAGATAATCAAAAAAATTTCTTATGGATCACAAACTTTCGTTATTACTAGTCGTCTAGGTCAATAAATACCTGTTGCAGATGTCGTCGGTTCAGTGGATGCAGCCTTTTCGGTGGTCGATCTTTCAGTACTGAACTTCTCAAACGCCACAGTTGACAAGCTTTCTGACGTAGAAGAAGATGAACTCTGATCTTGAGATGTACTGCTTGGAAGTTCAGTCGTTGTAAATTGTGTAGGTTCAGGGGTTGACTGTGTCGTGGAAGGCTTCGTGGACGTCAACTCTGTGGTTGCAGCATCTGATTTGGTAGGCGATGAATCTACGTTTTCTGCGATAGTCGATTCCGACGAAGCTTCTGTAGTCTTCGGCTCCAATGTCGTCAACTTAGTTGTTGTACTTTCTAGAGTAGTAGCTTTTGGTTCAACGGCTTCTGGCGTAGTTGTTGACGTTTTAGCTTCTGATGTTGTTAACTCTGTTGTCTTCGGCCCAGAAGTTGACGGCTCCGATGTGCTGACTTCCAATGGAGGAAGTTCTGTTTCTGACTTCAATGCTTTTTTGGTCGTTGATTCTGGTGTAGCTGTTAGCTCCGGCGTGGTGAGCTTAGAACTTTCTGGCTCAAAAGTTGTGGTCGTTGTCAGTTTTGACGTAGTAACTTCAGGGATTTCGGTAGCGGTTGCTTCTGATTCCGCGCTTTTAGTAGGAGGCGTTTCAGAAATGTTTGATTCTGCAGCTTCCGTTTTTGATTCGATTTTCAAGTTACTTGTTACCGAAGTTTTTGTTTCTTGTGTAAATGTCTCCGGATTCTTGGTTTCCTCAGTGGTAGATTCTGAGTTCGTTGGTGCCTCTGCGGTTATTACTTGAGTTGTTGTGTTTTCAATCGCTTTCGGGGAAGTTTTTTCTACTGTTTCAGTGACGTCTTCATTCTTTTCGACGATAACTGTGGAAGACGAAGTTGAAGACTGTGTTTTCTCAGAAACCTCCGAGGCAGTAGTAACTTCTGGAGTTGTCGTAGTGGTGGTAGCTTTTGAAGAGGTTGATTCGAACGGTTTTGTGGTAGTCAGCGGTTCCGTAGTGGTCTGCAAGCTTTCGGTTGCAATAGATGTTTCTGAAGAACTGTCAGAATGATTCTGTGATACTTCTTCAGAAGCAATAGTAGTTGTTTCGATGATGACTTCTTCGTTAGTTGAAATAGAGGTCTGGGTTGTATTTTCAGAAGTTCCAGAGCTTTGAGACACCTTCTCCACAGATGGAGATTCTGTGATGCTTGGGAGCGGTTGAACGGTTTCAGAAGGCTTTTCTGTAGGTTTTTCATCGATGCTGTTGAGTATTGTTGTACTGATTGCTTGAAGAGCTGAAGTAGCGTCTTCCGTTGAAACCGGCGTTTCTTTTATTTCATTTGCTGTTGAAAGAGATGACGTTTCTGGGGTGGTTTCAGAAGTTTGAATAATTTCTTCTGTGGTAACTTTCGTAGAGGTTGACGTGGAAGATTCTGTTGTGCTGGAAGCGGCTTCTGTTTCAATTTTTGACGTGCTAGTGGTTGAAGGAGCTACCGTCTTGTCTTCGATAGGCGTCACTTTTGTGATTTCCGTTGTTTCTTCAACGTTTTTCAAGGTTGTCTCGATAACTTCTGAGGTTTGAATAATTCCTTGAGTGGTAGCTTTTGCGGCTTTCGTTGTGGAAGGTTCGGTCGTGCTGAGAACGGTCTCCGCTACGATTTCTGTCGTGCCAGTTGTTTGAGGAACTTCCTTGTCTTTGGCGGTAGTTGCTTCCGTTGATTCATTTGCTTCACTTGTGGTTGTTTGGACATTTTTTTCATCCGTTGTCTCAATAATTTTGGAAGTTTCAGTGATCCCATGAGTCGTAGCTTCTACGGCTTTTGTTGTGGAAGGTTCGGTCGTGCTGAGAACGGTCTCCGCTACGACCTTTGTCGTGCCAGTTGTTTGAGGAACTTCCTTGTCTTCGGCGGTAGTTGCTTCCGTTGAAACTGGTGTTTCTTTCGCTTCACTTTTGGTTGTTTGGACGTTCTTTTCATCTGTTGTCTCGCCAACTTCTGAGGTTTGAATAATTTCTTGAGTGATAGCTACTGCGGCTTTGGATGTGGAAGATTCGGTCGTGCTGAGAATGGTCTCCGATACAATTTTTGCCGTGGCCGTTGTTTGAGGAACTTCCTTGTCTTCGGCGGTAGTTGCTTCCGTTGAAACCGGTGTTTCTTTTGCTTCACTTGTAGTTGTTTCGACATTCTTTTCTTCCGTCGTCTCGCTAACTTCGGAAGCCTGAATAGTTCCTTGAGTTTCTGCGGCTTTTGTGGTAGAAGATTCGGTCGTGCTGAAGTTTTGTTTCGCAACTGATTGCGTGTTTGCCTCGAGTGTGATGACCTTCACCGTCGCGGGAATCTTTGCAGTCGTCGCTTCGACATTTTTCTCGACCACCGCGGCATCAATTAAAAAGTCCGAATCGGGAGTTTTTTGAGTTGTTTCCGAAATTGGCGTCGTGGCTTGCACTTTCTCGCTGGTTGTTGTCAAAATAGTGGAGGCGATATCCGTGGCATGTGATTCGATTTCTTCCAGGATGCTCGAACCAGATGGATTCTGATCTTCTGCTGGGGTCTCATCGACGGCGTGAGCATGATCAACGTTTGCGGTCGTTGAACTGCCTTCGAAGGGATTTTGACGAGCTTCTGGCACGCACTGGCAGGTGCACGTGCATGTGTTCTTCTTGATGTGTTTCACGATTTTGAATTCTGAAAAAAAATGATTTCAGTTCAAATACTTTTCAGTTCACAGTATATTTATTCAGACTGATTCAACTGATTTTTTTCATTTACAAAAAAAGAACAAGAAGCTCTAATATGCCTCTTCTTTGAGGCTAATTTATTGAAAGATGTTTTCTCAAATTTCGAAAGTTTATAGTACATGAGTAAGGCTCTTTGTTTCCATTTATTCCACTTTTTGCTATGTCTCATGAACATTTTAGTACGTTTTCCAGAAACAGACAGTCATAATACCGAAGAAAAATTGAATTTTGAATTGTTCAAAAAAAGGGAAGGTGAAAAAGTTCCACAGAAAAATTCTCGAATCGAACATTTTTTCGGAAGGAACGTATTTTCAAAATAATTTGAGTCAAATGAAAGGAAAAAACTAACCTTTGCTGCCATCGGAATGAATCGTTTTGCTGAGTAGACTGGTCGCCGTCACCGTGCCAAACAGCATAAGAAGCAGAAGAATCCGCATCTGAAAATTTCAACATCGAGCTCTTTTGAAAACAACAACAATTCCTAGGAAAAACGGCACTGCGAGGAGCGAAAGCGAAATGAAGATAAAATCACGTAACTCCGATCGACTTCAAGGTAAGAGAAAGGTAACGACTTTTTGAGGCAGGCCCAGATACTTTGATGCGACCGAAATAGATTCCGATCAGAGTACTAGACATGGTGCTAGTTTATGAACAATTAAATTTATCTGTGAACTTTCATGAGAAATTATCAGAACTTCTAGGATTTTATTCCAAACATGGCAGTATTTAAATCAACTGACTTATGTTTGAGAAACAATCTGAAAAGAGAAATTTGGATATTTTCGTCCGAACTGATAAACCAACGGCCATAGTGAAGACCTTAAACGAGCCTAGGCATGTTCATAGTTTCAAAAACTGGCCCAACTGCAAATATTTTCTACTAAAAAAACGAAAAATGCAATGAAACTTGTAGAGAAGACGTTCTCAGAAGACGGAAGAGCTGAAATGAAACGGCGACGATTACAAGAACTGCCTGATTCAGAAGGTCGAACCCAAAAAGTAGGTCACTGCCATCGGAGTGTGCTGCTCCCTAGCATTCCGCTGATAACACTTGTCTCAACTTGCTGATTTGGAATCAACGGGTCTCCTTCAACGAAAGAAAAATTCGAAAGCACCAAGGATCCTAGGAGAAGGAAAATCTAAAAGGGCGTTCGAAGAGACATCAAAATATGAAATCTCCGTCGTGAAATGAAGATTTTTGCGACCTTGAGGCTTTTTAAAACGTCGGCGATCAGTGACAACAACCGTTTTTCAGCGTTCTGACCTCTTATTCAACGTTGTTTTTGTTCGATGCATCTGAAATAAATCTAGGGCATGTACCATTTTGCCTCCTTAAATCTTTTTCTGAGCATCAGTTTCTGCTTGAATAGATCAAATAATTGATTTAAAACTGTTCCACATTGGGGAAAAATTTTATGGTTTTTTTTTCCAGTCGAGACGTATTTCAACAAAGAAAAGGCGATTGTACCTGTATAAATGAAATTTTCTAGATATCAAAAAATTATTTTTGATGCCTTAATTTAGAAAAAAAGTTCCTTTTCACAATTTCAATAAGGAATTTGAAATTCCGCATTTTTCAGGCATTTTTCATTGAACCTTCTTTTTTTAAATTCGTTCTCAATTCATTTGATTTTTTTCAATTGATTCAGTAGCGAGTAGATTTCCCCATGAAACTGGGGATTTATGTAATTCCTCTTCGTCGGCTACTTTGCACTTGTCAAATCGTTACTTTTTCCTCCATGTTTCGAATTTTATACTGTTTGGTTATTTTTTCTCTGCCTCCCCTTATTTATTCAAGTGGTGAGTGACTTTTTCTTTCTTAAAAAAAGAAAGTTCTCGAAGTTTTGAGAAAAAATGATATTTCTCAAAATTTTCAAGAGCTTTATGTGAAGTTTTTTCCAAGAAATGTTCTGCTTATAGATGACTTCACTTCTATGTTGGAGACTTTAGCGCAAACCTCAAGTAAGTCAAAATGACAAAAATAATGAAGTTTCATGGGGTTTTTCAAGATATCGACATAGGCAGCTTCATAACAGACGTGATCCGTGGCTTCTCTGACAAAGGCGTTGATGTTAGTCTCATTTTAAATTTTGAAGATATTAAATTTGTTCTCATTTCGAACTCACAGAGCTCTGATACGAATGGCGATGGCTGTCTTGATGAAACCGAAATTGAAGATTTTGTGAGAAACCATGTTGGACATGCGCTCAAAGTTCCTCCAAGCCATCTCGTGGATCATTATGACACCGACCAAGATAGAAAATTGTGCAAAGATGGTGATTACCCTTCTGTATTTCAACTATTAAAAAGTATTACAGAAGTTTGGGGAATGATTGAACGAAAAGACGAGTCATTATTGGAAACGATCCCTGGACTTTTCGAAAACCAAGCCGAAGAAGAAGCTCCGGAAGATCTCCAATCAATTTTTGAAGACGAAAACAAAGGCCACGAAGAACTGTGAATGAATTTTATTCATCATACCCATATCACACTAACAATCGTCGGAATGGTTACTGCAACATGATCAATTAGCATAAAGCCCGTAGTTGGTCTTCTTACTCGCGATTCTGACTAGAACAGGAACAAAAACAAGAACAAACACATTGATGAGAGATCAGGACTATACATGTTTCTGAGCAAAGTTCACAACTTCAATCATCATTTTATTTTTCTCCTCGCTGTGCGGCATGTTGAATAGTCCATGAAATCCTTGCGGAAAATGTTTCCACTCTGTTGGAACTCCAAACTTCCTCAGTCTCGTTACGTATTGTACTCCTTCGTCTCTGAGAAGATGATATTCGAAGAAATCGAGTTATTGAACTTAGAAAATAATAAAAAAATTACCGAAGGACATCATAACCAGCCGTTATGACGAGAGCCGGTGGGAGGTCAGAAGTAACTCCAAAGATTGGACTGACTTCCGGATTTGTGCCCAATTTAGTGAAATTCTTAGCGAGCTCATTGTCTACCTAAGAATAAAAATTGTATCATGGAAACTAATCATTTTTGTAAACAGCTCTGCGCTTCGGCGGAATATAGTGCTCCGTAAACTCGTCCGGTAATGTCTCCAGACCCAACATTTCTTCGAATTTCGCAGAGTTTTCATAACTTCTGAAAGAAATTTAGAAGTTGACCAAAGTTTTCACTCACTCTTCCAAATGTTGATTGTGTGTGACTTTTTTGATATTATCTTGAGTTGCGGGTATCCCCAAGTAGAAGAGAATCCACCTGGCCATTTGCCTGGGGTTGAGCAGACCCGTACCTCCATATCTGGCAAAAAGACAAAATTTCGTCGCTTTCCAAATGGTTCTTACTTTTGGTAATATTCTTGATAAGATGGCGACGAAAAATTGAAAACATGTATGACCGGGTAGATAAGAATCTGCGCCTGCAACGGTTGAGCATCGACTAATGTACAAAAAATGTCGAAGACTATGATTTTTGGTCTTCCTAAAGAAATTCAGAAACTCCAAGATTATTTTTTTTTCCAGAAGTGACTTTTTTTGAGAAGGAGCTATAGAGGTTTTTTTTTCAAACATTTGAAGTTTTGTTGGATCCAAATAGAATTTTCATAGATATTTGGAATTCATAATTGCAGTCTTAATGACTGAAAAGTCCCGTTTTTTTCGATTAGAACAAATTTAGAAGCAAAACGCTTATACAAAAACCAAAAGACTTGAACTTTTTGTGAACATTCAACATCTAAATTTTACCTTGACAAACTTCTCGTTCTGCCGGGCGATTCTCTGACAAACGGCGGCGACGAGATTGCCGCCAGCGCTGTCGCCAACCACCACAATTTTCTCCTTGTCGAACGATAATCCTTCGCAACTGCAAAACCAACTCATCTGACTGAACTCAGTCTCAAGGTCGATCAAACCCGATTCGGTAAAGATGCCAAATGACGGCTTCGCAGTCATCCAGCCCTGCCGGATACGGATTCTCTGGAGCTAATCGATATTCGACCGAGACCGCACAAACGCCAAGCCGGTTAACAAGTTCGTACATGATTGAATCATAAAATTCTGGAAAAATGTATTTATTTTCTAAAAATGACCGAAAAGACTCACTAGCGCGGCCTGTGGCCCAACCTCCGCCATGGATAAAAACAAGAACACCATCGCTTTTTTTGCTTTCGGGATTGTACGTGATGACTTTGACGCCTCCCAGTTTACAGACTTTTCGCTGAATAGAATGAAATTCGAATGAAATCATTGTCTTTTTTGTTTCAAAAAATTGAACACGCTCAAAGAAAGAAATGCATGTCTCAAAAAAAAATATGCTCGAAAAAAAGTACAATACTGTCACAGAGAAATGTTTTTTGTTCATATCGTTTTTTATGAAGTTGAATTTTTCTGAAGCTCTTCAAAATTGCTCTGTAGACTGAATTCCCACCAGAGGATTGAAAATAGTAGCCAGCACCACTCCAAAAGGTTTCAGAAAGATCAAGCTCTATACAAAAACGTGGTGGTCAAAAAGCGTTTTTTTATATCCTTTCTGACGGTACTGTATAAAAAGGGTATTTTTGAAAGCTTGAGAGCAATTTTCCTGTATTGAAAAGTTTCCTTCTTTCAAAAAATTAAATCTTGGGAGCTAACTTCGATGTTATCTGGAGGTAGTTGTGGTAGAATGAATCCAGCGGCGACGACGTGTCTTGTCAGTTTATTTCTTCGTTCCGGACCACAAACACTTTCCAACATATCACCCTAAAAATCCTCATTCTGAAACTTGCAACCATCCGAAACCTTACCACATATTCATTGAATATGCGGAGTAAAAACTCGGCGACCGTCAACTTTTTGCGATCGGCGATGTCGTGCGGCAGTGGTATATGAAGCAAGAAGAGGGATCCGGAGAAGAAAAGAAAGATGAGAAGCCAATATAGCCATTCCGTGAGCATCGCGACTGGATCGAATCTCTGCCCAGCCCTCCGGCAGCCTTAAATATCAAGGTTGAGAGTTCTAATCGGGCTGTTTATAGAAGCAAGTCTAGGGTTCAATGATAAAGGAACACGGCGCTCTGTAGCACATAAGTTTGCACACGACTGCTATTGTGCTGAATGGCATAGAAAGTTGACGAAAGGGCTCAAATTTTGTTTTGAAAGAACATATTTTTCACTTTCATACTAACAGGGAAGGTCATTTTAGTTTTCTTGAAAATTATTCAGAACACTCTTTGCTTTACCAGAAAAATATTCTAAACGTCTCGACTTCCTAATTCTCCAGAAATAAGAGTCTTAAGCCCCAAAAAGCCCATTTTGAGCAATTTTGAGCGTTTTCTTTCAACATGCAGCGTCGTTTCTGGAAAAGTAGAAAGTTTTGCAAGTTGAAGTTTTCAAAATCTTCTTCTTGTACATCGAAGAGTCTTTCAGCTAATTTTCAAAAAATCGCAATTACAAAGTAAAATTAAGACTAGACACTATTTCCGGATTGGTGAAAAAAATATTGGTCATATTTATCATATCAAGAAGTTCGGGATGTGAAGCTATGTATGAAAAATGTTTGCCTTAAAGTTTTCGGACTCAACGAAAATGGAAAAAAAAAAATCTTTCTAAACTTCTGAAAATTTTTCCGAGATCAGCTTTCGAATAAGATCAATCAATTAAACAAGAAAATGAAAAGGAGCAAATTTATTCATGTTTACAAAATGATCTATTGACAGAATGTCACTAAAAATGATTATTTGAAAAAAAGAAATCTCTGTCTTCATCAAGAAAACCTCTCAAAAAATATGTCTACTGAGAAATTTATTCAAAACATACACCGGTATTTGATGCAAATTTTTGAATAGTGCAAATGCATGGAACGTGCAGAAATTGAGCGCAACGATGGACAATAGACCTTAAGTCCGACCTTTTGGAGATTTAATCTTCGCGAACCGAAATCTCTGCAGGATCCTTTCTCAATAAATTCCTTTAAAAATCATTTCCGAGCTACTATTAGACGATCTTCATTCTAATAAATATAGCTAGTTCCCTTCACACCACCGACCTACTCCCAAAGCGAAATTCCATTTCACAGGTGACCTACTTTTGGACCTTTATTACAGCGTATGAATTCGACCAAGTATAACAGTATGAACTTTCTTGCACAAAAAAAAAAGGAGAAAAAAAAAAGAAAAAAGCCGAAACTGAGATTTCGAGGTCGTTTGTTGGTATAACTGCAAAAGTGGCCTACGTAATCTGGGCCAAGAGGAGTCGCAATGGAGGAAAAGGCCGTGAGGGACCAAGAAATTAAAATTTGACCTTATTGAGACTCTCGGATTTGTATATAGGGACTCAATGGAGTAGGAAAAACGACTTCAAGTTTGAAAAAAAGGATATGGGAAACTGAAAAAAAGCTTCAAATAATAAAAATTCAAAAATAGTTCAAATAATGAAAAATTGACCTTATAATGGAGGAATTTTTATTCAGGTTCAGAAAAAAATCTGATTGCTCTGAGAAACGAAAAAAACCAGAACGAACCTCTTCTGAAGATTATTAATTTATAAAAATATGCAAAATGGATGCTTTTTCCGGAAAAATTAGCTCAGAGTTCTAGGACACCGGGAGATCAATTGAATATTCTGACTGATTTCTGTCAAAATTCACTAAAGGAGATAGGAGAAAAATCATGGAAAAAGAAAAAAATCCTAGCTTTGATTTATTTTTTTCCTTCAGAGAATCATTGCAAAAAAGGAAAAAAAAACTAGAAAAGAAGCGCTGCGGAGAATAAGGAGATTCATTCCCGTAGTGCACGCCGTGACGCTTGATCCGATCCGGTTATTGGCTTGGTAGCCGCGTTGCGTCACGTTCCCCTCTTCCTACCGCATACTCACTTTTATTATCCAACTTCTGGACCTGGCGTTCCTCCCGGAATCCCTCTTCTGTGTCACGATGAAGGAAGGCGCCACCTCCGCGAAAATCACAGCACCACCTGAAAAAATCAAGTAACAAAAAAACTCGAAAGAAAAATTGAGTAGAAGGTTTAAAAACACACAGTTTGGTATTATTGGCCAGAAACGTATTCAAAAATGGGTTTTTCTGTGAAAATTTTCACAAAAAAGGTTCAAATTTTAAAAAAATTCCAACTCTACGGAATAAAAGGATCTCGGAAAAAAAATGAATTCAAGTTCACTTTGTGGTTGGGAATTTCCTGGAAGATGGTCAAAACTCTCTAGTTTTCGAGAAATAAGGTCTCGAAGTTTCAATGTGGCTTACTTCAACGGATTTTTAGGGTTTTTTTGATTTTAGAATTCTCAAAAACAGAGAAGTTGTGTTGGTTGAAAACTTCAGGATCTTCATCTGGTACCTCAAGGTGGGTTCTGATCAATTTTGAGAAGATTCCCAACTGCAAAATAGAACGATTTTCCTTGTGAGCAAGGAAGGACAGATAATGAGCACAAGGTCACCAAACGAGATTGATAAGATAAATGGACAATTAGCCGAATATTGATGAATAAAAGCACCTGAAATAACAGCAAAAACTACGCTGCAATTTAATATAATAGCTAAATCAAAAAAAAAAATCAATAACGAAGTTAAGAAAATAAATAGAAAGCGAGCTTCTCTATTAGTGTACCATTGACGGTCCTTTCAATGAAAAAAGCCAAAAATTTCAAGATAATAAGAGGAAAAACATAGATATTTTCGAATGAAAGTCATAAAGTTATGCGTCGGAGCGAGAGTGCCAATCAATGCCAATAACTGGACCGCGAGCTCGACTCCATTTTGATCGGGCGCGAAAAAGGTGACGACGTGACCCTGCCACAGGATACTTCTGCCGCCCAATCAACCGTGAAGACAGATCGTCGCTTGGAAAACACGATGAAAGGCGAATGCGTCATGCTTTTCCCTATTTGTACATGATTCTAGACACCAACGTCGTCATACTTGTTGGCGAATGGATTACATTTTTCGTTTTTTTGCTCGCTATTGAAAAAGCGCTTACAAAAAAAGTAATGTCACTTTATGTCAAAAATTTCTGAAGATTGAAATAGAAGTTTTCCACTTTTCAATTTGTACGAAATCACTGTTTTAAACATCAAATATAGCCTATTCTGCGCCAGCTAGTTACGTTTTTCTCTCCGCCAATAAGACCGTATACCAAAATAGATCAAATTTATGCTTTTATAATGGCAAAAAACAAAGGTCTCAAAGCGAAGTTGGTCAAATTTGATCTGGCCTTTTGGCGGAAAGAAAAACGTGACAAGCTGGCGCGGAATGGCCTATATGAATGGTATTATGTGCTATAACGACCTTGGAGCCCACGTAAACTTTGTAAAAAAATATGAGAAGAGAGAGATGATTTTTATAAAAAAGTCAAAAATGAAGTTTTTTGACTGTCTCCTTTTCATTTTCCTAAAATCGCGCGATTCTGGAATGCTCCAAAAAAGAGGGAAAATAAATAACTGGAGGCGACCGAGGACATTTTATATTGTACCAGAGCTCTCACTGACGTCATGCCACTTCTGGGTTTTCACTTTCTTTATACAACTTTCACTCACCGGTTTAAAACTTGGTAAACACCGGACTTCAATAGAAAAAAAAATCAACAAGGCAAGGAAAAATATTTGAGATCTGCAAACTCAAAAAATTTAAGTTTTTCATGGTTTTCTCCACAGAAAACGCTTCATATTCAGAACATAATGATTCCTGCAGTACAGTTCCCGAAAGACAAAAAACTTCATTCAAAATTCTCTCTGTGCGTTCGCCCTCTCCATTTTTCTGCGTTGAATATTGTGAGCCACAGCCATGAAAAGCAACTCGAAAAACAGGCAGACAAATTCACAGATGGTCATGACTGAAACTCCTGACCAGAGTCCGAGATGGCCACCGAAATCAGCCATCATTTTGACAATCTGAAGAATATTCTCTCATAAAATTAACTTTTCTACTCACTCCATAGGCTTCCGATTCAGTAAGAACTTCAAAATTGAGTGCTTCATAGAAGACTTCTAACATTGCAGCGTCATCTCTGTAATAAGTGAAATGGTAATTTTTTTTCTCAAAAAATTATAAGAAAAAGAAAAGCATTTAAGATCAACTAACTGATATTCTTCATTGCACTCTTCCGGGGTTTTCTCACAATGTCCTAAAGAGATGTTCAAAGCTTGAGAAGGCCAAATCGCTTCAGAGTAGGAGGTGGTGTAGACGGTTTGATTACAGGGTTGCTGGCATCTGAAATGCGTTCCAGAGGTCAAAATGTTCAAAAGGAGGCTTTAATCAGTGAATCATTTATTCATTTTTTTTTAATCCATAGATTTTATTGATTAGGCGGTGAACAAGAACTTTTGAAGTTATAACGTGTAGTTGATCAAGTTGAATGCATGGATTTACGGCTCTTTGCCTTTTTCTACGCGTATTCCATTTAATTGCGCTTTGAGAAGCTCAGAAAATAGCAGTTCTTGAAGCTGTATAGCTGATTCACGGCTAGCTTGAGCCATCGAGAAAAGGTTCCTGCCAAGAAAAGAGACGAGACAGTGCCCTGGTTGGTGGAAAGCGCAGACAGGCCACGCGTTTTTGCGTCCCAAGCTAGCTGTGAATCGTCTATAGCCTGGAGACTGCGCCTTAAACGAGGGTCTCAAAATAATCAAAACAGAATGGATGCCTCAAAATAATCAAAACTCAAAACAGCCACTTCTAGTGACCTTACACGAGAGCCAAAAAATAGGATTTTTGTAGCCCATGAAAGCAAGTATCTTCAATTCAAAACCTCCAGCAAAAAACTATGACTAAAAATTAACTTCTCAAAGTCTTTACCTGCATTTGAAAGAACTGTGAACTTCGCTGACTTCATGGGTGTGCTTTTCCAAGCAATCTCCTAAAAAATTTGAAAATGAATTATAGAAGTCCTGAACTTACTGTGGGCTTTATTGAAAACTTCGCAAGGCATCGTTTCGCCGATTGTGGGAAACCTCGGGTCACTACATCCACAGCGATCGATGATCAACTCTTGGAAACAAGTCCGGTAACATCCCTTAAGCTCAAAGAATTATAAAACAAACTTTAGCTTCAAACCTCAGTAGAGTAGGCATATCCTTTATAGATATAGTTGGAAGTGGCTCCCGATTCGATGCAATCTCCATAAGGAGCTGGTAGACGACTCATTTTCTTCTGGGATAATGCTTTATTAAAAAAAACAACTTGGTTGTCAAACCATTCTCATTCCAAACGAAGATATGTAACCTGTTGGGGCGGAGTAACCAAAAGTGTCCTGGGAACCAAAATAAGTTTTTTCATGAAAATTCACACACTGGGAAGGGAAAATCTTCTTTATCGTGTATGGTGAGTCGAATCCCAACTGCCTCGGAGGTTGGGAGATAGTCGCTGGCGTTGACGTAAAGCATCACTCGCAAGCCTTGAATTTCGATATTGAGAGGTAAAAACGGAGTTAAAAAATGTAAGATTTTTGAAAGGCGTGCTTATCGGAGAAACATAACATGCTTCAAAACGGAAAATCGTGTTCATCGCTAAATTTGCTCCAGAACAGTACTAATTTTTGTTTTGGAGCAATTTTTTGCGTTTCGAAGCAGTTTTTGTTCTGTCCAATAAACATGCCATGAGACTGGTAAGTCAAAACGCTTGCTTCAGATAAAGAGATGAAATAAATCATTTTGAGAACCGTTTTTTGAACTCTGAGCTTTTTGACTGTCTGTCTAAACAGATTTATCTTGAGTTCAACAGAAAAAAAAACAACATAAAAGTTCAATAGATAGAGTACCGTGCAGTAACATTACAATTTTCTCTTTTCCGTTTACTTTTCGAGGAGTCGGCCAATTATTTTCAAACTCTCTACAGTTGCTTCCCGTGGGTCCAGTTTGTTTTCACAGAAAAATTAGCTCGATAAATTGTTTTTCTTATAAGTTGCAGCCTGAAAACTCTAATCAACAAAATCTCCGGAATCAAAAAACAACTTCTAAAATTTTTTTGGTTGATTTACGCTAGAAAAAAATCATTCAACACATTTCAATCGTTACCTTAAGTTCGAAGTTTATTATACGACTGATTGCTTTATCATAACTCTATTACCCACAATGAGAAAAGCTCGGCCTTTTTTTTGTGATATTTGGATCAACGAGCTCCACAAAAAAAACCGTATTGCGGCCCAGCTCGCAAGCTACTTTTCTGCTCCTTCCTGTCGTGGTTGAAAACAAAGCAGTTCCCAAAGGTTGGATCAGCCACGAGTTCGAAGTCTCTGAAAAATTAGGGTGAAATGATTGAAATTGTGAATAAGCTCCAATTTTTTCGATGAAAAGTTCCTCTATTTTTTTTCAACTTACTTGTCAATATCACAAGGCTTCCCGTTGAACGAGCACTTGTGGATCAAATTGTGCTTTGCTTGCGACATTTTGATCCTGAAATTTTCATGGATCATTTTTAAGAACTAATTTTATGCCTTTGTTCCTCGCTCAGCGCACTCATCGCGAAAATAATGTTTTCTTTGGCTTTCGTGACAATCGCCACTTCGTCTGTCATGTTCTGTGAAAAGGTTTTTTGAAGTTTTTCTGAATCTACTTACTGTAAAACCAAGAGCTTCGACCTCCTCATCAGTGACGTCAGCAAAAACTTCGTCTTTACCGAAATATTCCCAAAGGTTGAGCAGCGCGGTTACCTAATAAATATTATTTTTGTTTGGCAGGAAATTTCGACCAACTTGGTCGTGTTTGATGCAGAACAACCCGCGGCTCTCGCAAATACACGAAACGGGGTTAATATCCTTCCTTCTTGTTCCTGAATGACTTTTCAGAGGCTTTTTTAAAAAGGGATTCCACAGCCAAATCGAAATCGATCTAGCGCGTTTTTTGATTTTTTTTTTTCACTAGGTTATTCTTATTTTTCTGTGAGAGCGCTGGTTAGAGCTTGCAAGTGTATCGTTTTAAAGTTCACAAAACCTTTTTTTGCTTTTTTGCTGCAGAGGAAATGCTCATCACATGTCTGACAAGTAGTGTTGCTCCATTTTTCCTAAAATTTCAAATTAAAATAATTTTTCTACTGGTTATACTTATTCATTTTTAGCATGAGACAAACTCACGACAAATTTTTTACTTTTGCAAATTTTTTTGTTAAATGTGTGAAAACCTTTAAAATATTTCAAGTCAGTGGTGAATGGAATTTTTTTTATTTGATCATAACTTTTCGAACAGTTCTAACAAAAAAATATAGTTTAGATCCATTTTTAGGTTACCTTTGGATGGCAGGGCCAAGCGTCGTTCGTCTGCCGGTCAAAGGCACAAATACACATCGAAGAGCCTTCTGTAGGCTCCTTCAAAACGAAAAATTATCGAACAAGAAGATCACTCACGTCTGTAGATCGCTCCTCACACTCTTCAGAGCCTTCATCTTCACACTCGCAGACCGAGTTTGCCTTCAAACGGTACATAAAAACGGAAAAAAAAGATTCAAAGTTCACCGGCTCGAAAGATCCTTTGTCACCTGCTCGTTTTTTCCGTCGGTTACCCAGTTTGATTGTGAAATCCGGGATTTCATAGTCTTTCTGGAAACTGTAAACTGTGATAAACTCTTCAATCTATTGAAACATCGGAATCTTCGCCTCCACCCGCTTTGTTCATGGCTTTCTTGAAAACGCCCAGCTGGAAAAAAGATAAAGTTTTCTTGGAGAGAAAAAGCAAAGTTACAATTTTACTGGTACTTTCGTGTGATCGAATAAGACTGTCCTTGTAGGGGTTCAAGTTGCAAAGAGTGATCGCCGGAAATGGAGCTAAAAATTTGAAATTATAAATAAATCTTCATTGAGAACCCGTGTCGAATTTCAACTGGATATCGGTAATTTTGTCCATTCGGTTGTATTTGTTGATGACAGCAACTGCTTGATTGATGAATGAAGAAGCGCAAATTAACAAAAGTATGATCCATGCACCTCTAAATTCGGATGAAAGCTCAATTTTCAAACAGAAGCTGCAACTTTTGAATATTCCCGTAACATTTTAATAGCAAAAATAGATGTCAGTGCCTTATGAAAACTATTAAACAACCTGTAGATTTGATTCGGAGCTTGTCCCAGCATAGGTATGCCGTGGCTCGAAGTTTTATAACAGAATTGCTGTAAGTGCCATCTGATTCTTTCCCTGAACAGTTAAAATAAACTTTCATGGGTGATCAGATAATGACAAACTTGTAGGATAGCCTGGTTGGGTCAATCTCCATTCCTCCATTTTCCGTGAGTAAATCGCACTAAAATTCCAAATTTACCTTTAATTCAAAGTGTAAATGACCTGAATCTCTTTTTCATTCGCATTATTGCTCTCACCATGAGCGTAAGTGGTCAAAATACCGGCCACTTGCAGAAAATCCGTATCCGATGCCAAATAGCTCGAGAAGTCAGTTTTGAAACTGCGCATAGACCGGAGATCAGAGTCATCTACAAAACCTAATCAGTCAAAAACAAAAATTGATTTTCACCTTGAAATCTTGGACGGAGTTTGGGAAGTTGGTTGTATTTGAACATCAGAATATGCAGAGAGCAAAAGAAGGGTGCTTCGGGAAGATGTCAGATGGCGAGAAACTTTGAAATGCATGGATTTGTAGCTCGAGCCAGCGTCTTCTAGCTGTGGCATCTTGGAATCTGGAAAGGAGGGACCAGTAAAAGAAATAATGACTTTTTGAAAGATGAGATTTTTTTCTTTCGTGACTGGATTTATATTGATTAAAACTTTTTCTGTAGTTTTCAAAGATTGCTTTTTGAATGATATGTATGAAAGTAGAAAAAAATGAAGCTTGAAACAAGAAAATAAGATCTTGAAAAAAATTATTTGAATCAGTTTTGAAAAATAGAATGATTAGAGTGGGTGTCAATTATTGCGTTAAAAAAGCATATTTTAATCATTTTCAAATTTTGAAGTATTTCTAAGATATACATGTAGTTTTCGGCGAAATGGAAAAAAAATAAGATTCAATAAATTACCTGTTTTCTCCTGATGAATTCTGCCTCAAAACAGAAGACGTCCAAAAAAGACAAAATTGCAGTCAGCTTAAATAAATGCGTCCAATCGTTTTCTGTATTTTTTTAATTATTTTCAAAGTGCAAAGATAAATTATAGCAAAATTTTTCAATTTCAAGCTAAAATTAAACCTATCATTTTTTCGCAACCGCAATAAACCCCTCGAAATTATTTTTTGGAAGAGAAATTGCGGTAAAAACTATAAAAGAGTTGAAAATTCTCATTTTTCCATTCCGAAACCTAACATGAAGCTGCGTTTCGTCTTCAGTCTTCTGGCCATCTTCGTCTGCGTTGCCACCGAGGAGTACGACAGCCGGATGCTCTACAGTGTGGCCAGCCTTCTTTCAACCACCGGAGCCATCTACGACCGTTGTCAACCTCATCCCTCTCGAACTCCTCTTCTCGACTACTGGTAGAGTTCTTGTGGACCGAGGTTCGACCTTTTTTCTGCATGGGAAGACTCATGAAAGAAATTCCAGACACCAACAAAATCATTCACTTGCAAGCGATGGCCGGAGGTGACGACGAACTTGTCTGTAAGACTTGATTTTTCTTGCGGAGATTTAGAACTTTTTTAATGACATCTTTTTTGTTCAACCCCAATTTAACCTTCGATTCAGATCCTTATGAGAAATTCTACCCACAGATCCTGGCCCAACTCAAAGAGCTCGAAATCCTCAAGCCCAAGCTCATCGAAGCTCTCTACAATCGCGTGGGAAAGTAAGAATTCGGGCTTATTTCAAAAATTGAGCAAGATTATTTCAGACATGCTCGATGCGTCCAAGCCGCCATGGCCGGAGTGGCCAGAAACTGAAAGAAATGTCTGAATATTCATAACAGTTGTTTATCGCAGTTCTAGTCTCTGCTTGCTTGCGTGTCTTTTCCGTCTTCTGACGTTTATTACCCTGAAAAAAAAATATAATCTTGCCACTGATTCTGTTATCATCAAACTGTCATTTTTCGGCTTCTTTTTACGACTGTTATGAATGTTTCTGACAAGTTATAGAGAGCACCAATCGACCAAGTGATTCTCACCCGTTAATAAAAAAATTTCAATCGCAGTAATATTCAAAAAAAGGAGAAAAAAGAGCAACTTTTCGAAAAAGGGTGATTTTTACTAGAGACTTGAAGATGGCATACAGTTCCGATCATTAAGATACAAACACTCATATTTTTGGACTATAACTTTTTTTCTTCTTAGAGACTTTTTCCTTCAAAAATTTTTTTGCTAAATAAGACCATCATGAATTGTCGAATCATTGATAAAATAACGTATTCAAATGATAGGGGGATTGTGAAATCCTTGAACGTCCACACTTTATACTTATTGGGAGTGCTGAAGAACACACAAAAAAGTTAAACAGGTTTTTTCTCGTGCATATATTCAGAAAATCGTTTGCAACAAAAAATAGTAGTGTCGAAGTATCAAGAGCAACATTGAATAGACAAGGAAAAAAACTTTTATCCTTCTTGTTCACCTATTGAACTATTTGTTTCTTCTCATGCTGAAAAATACATATGCCAAAAATTCAGCTTGAAATTTTACATTTGATATTGCAATAATACGGCCTTAATCATTATTTAAGAAAGCTTCAATTTATCATCAAGAAAAAAATTCTGCGAAAAGTTTGGTTTCTTCATTTTCTCACGACCAGAAGTTTGCACTAAAAGCCCAGATATAAATTTGATGCAGGGCTTTTACTTAAACTTTTTTTCAAAAAGTTTTCACACCGCTGACTAAGAAGTTTCGTTGCAAGATCTTAGAAATTCCTGCAAATTTTTCAAAGACGGAACGAAAACGCGTGAGTTTTTAACCTTGAAAAAATGCGTAACTTGAAAATTCCACTCGAAATGAAATCACAATCGCCAAAAAAATTCTTTAGAAAGCGCAATAATTTTGTGCACCGGACTTAAACCAACTTCCGCATGAGGATATCAGTTAGAGATCTTTTCCTTCGCGGTAACGATTTTGGCACAGAAGTAAGATGAATGAGATGTTTTTGATTATTTAAACGATGGAGAATTTTTTTCTTCATCATGATTACTTGAATTGGAGCGAGACTACTCTCTTATCTCAAGAATGCGAAAATTCCAAACTTTTTGAAAAATGAAACTTGTGAAAATGAAGATCCATTCCAACTATCTTCGACATTTTTAAAGCTGGAAAGACTTTTTTTTCCGAAACATGGATTGCTATCCATGAAACCGGAAGTCAGTTTGCCGGATGCATCCCATTTATCTCCTTCAAAGTTCATAAAACCAACGATAGTTAAAAGCTCAATGAGTCCTTGATGGTCTCACAGGGAGTTCAGAATTTCGAAACCGCTGAAATGTCTCGCGAGGCGATTAGATTTTGAACTCTGATAACGTTTCAATGAAAAACTCGAGAAGCTTTCATGCCACGTAGAAACTCACAGGTTCCTCACGTATAAATGAAAAAAATTTCATTGTCGTTAACAACAAATAGTATTAACTTTTATCCGATCAACAGTTGCGAGGAAGTAATGCACAGTAATTTGATTTATCGTGGAGAGTTTGTTTTTTATGAGCCATTGACTAGAATTGAGAATTTGTTTTGTATGCTGATGTGATTGTTCAAATATGTTGAAAGAAAGCAGAAGATAACAATTATGGAATGTTGATGAAACGTCACAAAAATCTAAAATTCATCCTACTAATAAAGTCGAAGTTGGAATGAGATTTAATGCGAGTTACAGTTAGGAATGACACAAAAAGACCTCGAAGTTTTTCTGCGTAATTGAGTTTAAGAAATGATGACCTTCACTGGCAGCTGGCCCAAAGACGGGTTGAACTGCTGAAAGAAGAGTTGTTAATTGTTTTATTCGCGGGCTGATTACGGTAGCCAAGAAACACTCACCGTGGCCGAGTTGCTGTAAACGGCGGAGTTCGAGAGATTTGGCGAGGATGCCGGCGGCGAAGTCGAGGTGAAACCAGATAGAATCGGAAGAAGTTGCTGAGAGGCAAGAAACTGCGACAAAGCGTCCTTGTTCAACAGAAGGGATGTCGCACTCTGTTGGACACTTTGAGCAAAAGTCACGGGTACCCGAGTATTTGACATAACAACCAGTGGAGACTCGCTGAAACCAGATCCATAGAATCAACAGCAATCTTTTTTGATGTACCTTTTTAAAGGGAGATTAGCGTCTTTTGAACTGTCCCCAAGTCCAAATAGCTCACTAAGAGCGGCGTTTTCCATAAGGACATGACTAACTGAGATCAAGGAAGGGATGATCATTAGAAGAGACGAAACTCTGTAAACTTTCTGATCAGAAGGGTTAATGAGAAAAAAGGAAAAACCTTAAAGAAGCGTCAACAGTGGAATAAGCTTGGTTGAGGTAAGTGAAAAGCGCTTTTAACAAGGCGTCGCGGGCTTCTCGGAGCTTCTCACGAGAGGCTTGAGTGATGCCGACGGCGTCAGGACTCAGCAGAAGGAGAGCCTGAAGAAGATTCGTGTTTCAAAGATTCGGGTCCCAGATTACCTTCAAGCAACTGAACTCCGCCTGATCTGTGTGCAAACGACGGAGAGGGGTCAAAAGCTCATCGAGGACGCGAGTGAGAGCAGAAATCACATCCGGTGATTGTTCGGAGGAAATGCTCAGAAGCTGGTCGTTGGGCAGCACTAAATGCGGCAAAGCGATGCTTCGTTGCATCGTCCCCAGTAGCGTAAAAGCCGGGGCGTACTTCTTGAGGAGAAGAATCTGTAATCTTACGGTAACATTTTATTTATTTGCTTTGTTTGAGCGTTTTTCTGCAACGGTGTGATGAGTCGTGAGAGAGATACTATGAAGATTGCGCCGCTGCACGAGAATTCGGTAAAGAGCGCGGTCTGTGACGCAATTTCACATCACTTCCAACTTTGTGAACGTTATTTCGTCTAACATTGCGGTTTTGGTTCCTCAAAGTGCAAACAAGCCAACTTGAAAAGTGAAATGGTTTCGCTATTTACTCCGTTTTTTCTCATCTGTTAGAAATCGAAAGGGCAACATGCCTTATCATCGAAGATAACTTCTTGCAGGGGATGAAGCATATTGGTCCAGCCAATCAGATGATTGACCGCCCTCTGACGACTATTCCTCTGGTCACTGTCGTCTCTGAGCAAGGCGTTCATGCTTTGGTTGCTCACAAGCCGGTTTTCAATGTCCATCAGCATTTCAATCAACCTCCGTGAAGCCAAAGAACTGTTATCCTGAAAGATAATCTGTAAAACACTGATTCAAACAAAAAGTTTGACCATTTTTAGATTCGGGCTTCCTTCACAGTCTGAATTGTTCTCGGAACTAACTGCACTGCGTTTTCTTCTTTTTGTGCTTCCAATGCGGTCTCTTTCATTTTGAATGGCTGAAAGTTATCTTTTCCATCTTAAAGAGGATTCAAAAACTAACCTTCAGGCTTCATGCCGTCTGCCAGACATTTCTGAAACCTACAGTATCTGCAAGCGTTTCTGTGGTCTTTATCGATGTTGCACTGCTTGTTGAACCGGCAAGTGTATTGCAGGTTTTGCCAAACACTAAACGAACTTTTTTCCTTCGGGACAATGGTTTTTGTCCTACCTTCTGCGGAAAAAACCTTTGCAACCGTTACAAGCAATCGCGCCATAATGCTTTCCTATCGCCTTGTCTCCACACACAACGCAGAAATCAGATGAAGACGTTGAAGTGAGTTCACATAAAGATGGGCCCATTGAGAAGTTCATCTGGAAAAAAACTTCATTAGTGAGCAAAACGTGCCTCCAAAAGAACGAAGACAGAAAGCAAAAGTTCAAAGGAGTTCTGTTCGGAGAGCTTCGTAGTTTGAACTGGAAAATCTAAGGGGCGGGACCAAAGCCCACGGCTTGAGCAGGAAGTGGGATGCAGCTGCTGCTCGTGAATGAGCTATATTTACTTGAGGACCCAAACGAATCTCCCAAAAAAGAGAATGCTCTTTGAGGAGAGAAATGCGTCGAAATGGCAACTGGACTTTCAGGGCGAAAAAAACGGCCTGCGGAACTTTACTTAAAGGACGCGCTCCGCCTACTTTTTTGGTCAAGTTGTTTTAAAATTCGATGAATAACAACACATCTGAATGAGAGTCAATGAAATAAGGGTTTTCATTCAAGGAAGAGAACCAGTTGTCAACCGATTTTTGAGATAGCGAGAAGGAAATGAGCAGAAAAATCTTAGATGGTACTGATAAGAAAGCCCCTGTGGCAATCACGTAGGACACGGTGTTATCTATCACGCAGGATTGGGATGTCAAGAAATCAAACGATAAAGTTCAGAAAAGTTGTCTGGTGAGCAGAAGTGAGTTCTCACAAGAGCTGCTGGGAACCTTTTCGCTGTTCTGAAAGTGTATAAGGACACTTTATCTCCGATCTGATACAAACAAATGTATAAAAATAGAAGGTGACAAGTGAGCACCGGCAAACAGCCTCCACCTTGGTGAAAATGCGACAACGTGCCCCTTCAGATCATCGTTCATAGAGGAACTACGTCATCAGCATCGTTCGCAAAACCTGTCCAACTTGCGAGGTACCGCGCGAAATGGCGAAACGCAGCGTTGAGAAATACTGTAGAGACCAAGCGCGCGTAGACGTGCGTAAACGGGTAGAAATAGCGCTTCAAACTGAGAAATGTGGAACAGAGAGCGGTCTTTCCCGCGGCAGCGGAAATACGGTCGAACTTCGAACGACGAAGGATGATCGTACGCTTTGAAGGTGTTTCTTCCAACTTGAGAAAAACGTTTCAGGTTCCGAGAAGGATCTTCGATATACCTTTTTTTCATTTTGAAGGTCGTTGTCGAAAAACTATATGTAACTAGGAGCCCATTTTCATCCAGAAAAGTTCAAAAAGGCTCAGCTTTTTAAGAAAAGCTGAAAGAAGTGTGCAGTTACAAACCAGTGAAACCATTGCGCCAGTTTCAACAGGCCTGATAATGCCTCAAGTTTTTCATAGCTAGACAATGAAATATTTACAAATTTGAGGGATAATCTGACGGAAAATTTTTCCAAGTTCTTTTTCAAATCTGCCCTCATCAGTTTGGCAGAGTTAGTGAGCGCAAAAGTTTCTTTTAACTTACCTTTTTTTTTTAGAGACAAACTTCACAGCGCAGTTTCAATTTTTAAGTAATTGAGAAACCGGAGATTGATGTAGCTTGAAATGAAGGAAAAACGCATAGTAACCAACAAAAAAAAAAGAACTTTCTTAAAGTCAAAAACTCCTCCTCCTCGAGTTGATGACGAGTTTTTGATCTTTTGATCTTCATCAAGTTCTTCTCCATAAAGTACTCTCATATGAATAAAATCTCACACAACAAAAACCTTGTCAACATAAAACATACGTAGTGAAAAAGATTTAGCTGAATGAGTTTCCCAGACGAAAAAAACGAGCCGATTTCTCAGAAAATCCAGCTCATTATACTTCTTGCAGAAAATATATTATTGTCGCCCACGTTCTTTTGGTTTAATGAAATTCTAGAACAAAATGTGAACAAATAAGGAAGTGGAATGCCGTCACTGCGAAAAAAAAACTTCGAAGCCCTTAGCCAATTTTTCGCACTTTCAATCTTTGAAAAAAGCTAATGAAGTCAAGAAAGTTGCGCCGTTTTCCCACGTTTGCAGTCCATTTTATTTCGATCTAGGATATAAAACTTCGAATAAACTGTTTGGCAAGATATTTCGTCGTGAGCCGGAAAGTAAAGTTTTTTTATGAAGCGAGGTGAATTCTAAAATAGCAAAGGCTAAGGAGAAAAAATAAGACTTGCCCTCCTGATTCTTTCAGAGGTTTTCCCCATAATTCCACAAAAAATTGATGTTCTCGTTATGGTTTTATCATTTTTTTCTCAAAAAAACCTTCTTAAAACGCCCTAATCTTCTGATAAATGAGCTGCTCTCTCTTCATCAGCTCCCAAAAATAAATCTTCGGAAAAATATTTAAGAAAAAGCTACTTGAAAGAAGAAATATCCCCATCGATGAACATGAACATAGTTCAAAACAAGTATTTGCTTGCTCACGGTTTGCAGCCTTTGTTTGGTGAAATTTGAGTGGTTTGACATTTACGTTGTTTTTTTTCTTATGTAGTTTGCCTCCAGTCGAGTCGGGTGGTAGAGGAAAGAACAAATAGTTTTAAATTCAGCTTTCCAAATGAAGTTTCATGTCAAACGTTTGAAAAATAATTTTAAAGCTCGGAATTTTGATTGCCCAGTTTTTCATTGTACTCAAAAATCGTTTGAGTTTATCGAAATTTTCTTACAATACTGAGAGGACTTTGTTTCCTGAACTTCCTGAAAATTGGCGAGAACACTTTTTGAAGTACCAGGAGAAGATCCTGAAAGTCTCACCCTGCAAAACCTACTAGTTTTCGAGAAATAAGGACCCAAAGCCGAGAATAGCCTGTTTTTATGGATCTTTGACTCCGAGGCGTCTTTTCTCAAAAACGAAGAAGTTGTGCAGGTTGAGACTTTCAGAATCTTCTTCTAGTACATCTATGAGTGTTCTGATCAATTTTTAGAAAAATCCCAAAGTTAAATGACCTCCCTTGTCGGCAACAAGCTAAGCGACCTTCGAAGCATCCAAAGTCGTAAAGATGTGAGAATTGAAACTTTTAGATGTTTCTCCAGAGTAAAAAATTTTCTGGACATTGCCCTTCAAGTTGACTAAAACCTCTAAGTTGACTAAAATCGAATTTTCTCAAAATTTGGAGTGAAAAGTTCACATCCGTGAACATTTTTGCAAATTCCATTGGAAAGCCATCTTTTTCTGAGAGATCTGCTGCAAATTTTCCCGCATTCAACTGCAGATCATTGGGTTCACTTTTTCGTATCTAGTTAGAGCTAGCGGGACTGCCTTAAAAGGAAAAAAAAATAGCTGGACGATGGCATCAAGAGCGGTCTCCGAATAGAACCCGGAAGCAAACACGAGTGCCGAGCTCTGGAGAAAAAAAGCTCACGCTCTTCGGACCGACAAGGAACTTCTCTTCTCTCACCAACGCCTGCGGCGCAGTCTTACGTGCATTTGCTCGTTCGCAGTAAGGGCCAGAGATTCCGAGGACGACGTGCAAAGAGCATTCTGCTCATTGATTCAGCTGCTGGAGAAAACCAAAAGGTCGAAGTAAAAACACAGTTCACTCGAAAACAGACCAACAATCGGTCCAGCGGCCTCTCACTTGGCCGGAGCGCGGCTGTCACGCTTGCCGATGAACTCTCTTTTTTTTCAAAGCAATGAGAACAACGTTCAGCAAACGCGGTTTTTTACTGAAAAGCGACAAGGAATCCGATAAATTTTATCAACTCTTCAAACTTACTCAACTTGAAAGAAACGTTTGTGGTTACAAATTCACAAAACACTCGATTTTTGATTTCTTACTTTTTTCTCAACCATACTATCATGTTTCTAGGAGCTCGATGCAAAGGGAAAAAAAGACGCAGCTTGGTCAAATTTTTTCTAAGTGATTTAAAGCATCCATTGGATTTTAAAGCATCCAAAAGTTACGATTGCAGCTTGGTCTCCTGAAATCATTTTATTTCCCGCAGTTTTGGCTGCATTTTACTCTTACAGCTGATCCACGGCTGGCTTGAGCCTTCAAAAAAAAAAAAGGGTCCTGACACGATAATAAAAGTGCTTGGTTATTGGAGAGCGCAGACAGGCCACGTCTCTTTAGCGTCCCGAGTTAGCCGTAAATCGGCTATATCAACTATCAACCGCGAAGTATGACAAACCCTTGATGAAATAGGAAAAACCGAAAAAGTGTCAACTTCGTTGTCCTTTAACTGTTTTTTGTCTGAGTGAAAGTTTTGCGCGCCTCTTTCAAACCTTGGGTGAGACTGGCTGTAAAAAGTTTTAAAGACTCACAACTCTACGAGAAAGGAAGAAAGGGTTTTTCGATAGAGATTTCGAAAGAGAACAGATCATTTTTTATGAATTTTTTTTTTAGTTTAATAGAATACTGTTTAAAACTTCTCCTGTTTTTTACACGGACATGCATCATCATCGTCAGTTTATTCATTTTACAATGAATAAAACATTACTAAGGGCCATAAGATCTCTTAATAGATACTTAGAATTTTCCTTCCTCATATGGAGTTCAAGGAGAAGGGATCAACTCAATGCCTGAAAAGCTGAAAGAAAAGTGATGTCATTCTCATTTAAAAATATTCAACTCTAAAAATATCTGAAGCAGCTGAATAATTTTTGATATCCCATTTTGGTGTTTTGCTCACATTTGCAAAGGTTGGGATAGGAACGAAACGGCGACTCCTACGTAGGCGGAAAAAAAGAAGTTGGAGAAAAGCTAGGGAAGTTCACCATACGAGAGATATTTTGAAGTTCCCTTGAAGTAGAACTTATTCAAAAAAAAGTGTGGGCACCGTGCTCTTGAAGAAAGTCTTTAGAATTGGAAAATCGTCAGTAAGCCGAAATTGATATTGAGTTTATTTGAAATATTTGAAAGTCGATGCAATTAATAAACCTGACCATTTTCATCATCAAAGTTCTACTGAACAAAATGAAAAACGCAAAAGTGGTAGAGCTCAAATCGCGTTTTACAACGAATAGTTCTAAATTTGGCGTTTCAGTATCTCTTTCTCTCTATTTGGAGGTCACATCATCGAGATTTTTAGTTTGATCTTTCAGTTGAGATGATCGATGATTTCCCGACAGAAGGCTTTGTGTTCTTGTCCTGGCCAACAAATGTTCTGATGACGTGATTGAACTTCATGCT